AGATACCGGAAATATTAAAAATTAGCATTAGAGAAGAAATTATTGCAAATCTTTGAGCCTTCAAAATCAAGTTAATGAAACTGTAAGTGCAGAAACTAAGAAGAGTTTAGCCATAACGGACCAGTACTGCGAAAGAAACTCTAGAAACGTATTGAATTTGCAAAAATGTTTTCAGATGAGTCAAAATACAACATGTTTGAATGTGATGGTAGGGATAAAATTTGAAGAAAAGCCAATTTAAAACAAAATGGTATTCAATTGGGTCTTGGAAACCTTCCACCAAGATCAAGACCCAAAACATACAGTACATGTAGTTCGCAAATGGCTTTTATATAATAATAATAATAATGAATAATAATAATAATAAAGAAAATTAAGGAGGTTAATTAGGTAGCCAGGTCAGGCAACATCTTGGTAGTATATCCCCTGGCTCCTATACAGGGTGCCCGGAAATTGCGTTCATATATTTAAAGGTGTGATTCTACATAAAAAATCATGAAGAAAAGTTCATATAAAGGTGTGTCCTAAAATGCTTCCTAAGGGAGGTAGAGTGCTTTGAAGAAGACGTTCAATATGTGGTTATTTCTCATTATTTCAAAAACTACTAGGGTTAGAAACACGAAATTTTGCATATCTAGCTATTTTTACGGGGCGAATACGATAATCGAATGAAAAATTAGAAGGAATGTACAGTTGCGGAAATAAGGGATTTTTATTAGAATCTACGGAAAAAAATACATAAAAAATGTTCTGCTTATAAAATGGTCTACGACCACTCGTTTGCAAGATAAATAATACTAAGTAAAATACTGCACACAAACATGTGTATTAAACTATCACTAAAAATCTTAATAGGTTTCTTTCATTGGTTTGATTTAAGCTGTCAAATGGGTGATAAAAAATTACTTCGTACATTGTCTACAAAAATTTCTGCGAATCATGGTTAATTTTATCAAAATGATTCAAAAGATGATTATTACTAATTTTTCATAATAACTTAAAATTTTACCAAAACCTTAAAAAAACAATCTAAACAAAACGTATTAACAATTTAACAAAAATAAAAAGTTTAACTTAAAACATTAACAAAAAGCACTTAAATTTTTAACAAATAACACCAAAAAAAGTTATAAGAATTGTTCAAAAATTCCACCATCCATGTCAATGCAACATCTCACTCGTTTAATTAATGAACGTCTTACTTTCCAAAAAATACCTTGTTTGTTTCGAATAGTGTTACAACCGTCCCTTACACGTTGTTCTAGCTCTTCGACATTGTTAACTGGTGTTGCATACACTAAATATTTAAGATAACCCCAGAGAAAGAAGTCTATGGGATTTAAGTCTGGCGAACGTGCGGGCCATGCTACGGGCGCTCCTCGACCTATCCATCTTTCACGGTAGGTTTCATTTAAATATTGCCGTACTTGAACGCTGAAATGAGGAGGAGCCCCATCATGCATAAACCACATTTCCCTTCGTGTTTGATACGGCACTTCTTCCATCAGTTCAAACAAGGTATTTTGCAAAAAGTTAAGATAAGTTGTACCGTTGAGACGGTTATCAAGTACATGCGGACCAATTAAATGATCCCCAATAATACCAACCCATACATTAATAGAAAATCTTTCTTGATGTTTCGTGGCTAAAACATTGTATGGGTTTTCATCGGCCCAAACATGGATATTATGGAAGTTAATGACGCCATCTCGGGTAAATCCAGCTTCATCGGTAAACAACACTTTTTCCGGAAAATTTCTGTCATGGCGCCATTGTTCCATAATCCAACGACTGAACTGTAGTCTTGGGATGCTATCGGTGGGTTTTAAGGCCTGCACCTTTTGGAAATGATATGGATGCAGTAGCTGATCTTTAAATACCTCCCAAACGGTGGTTTTCGGCACATTTTCTTGTACCGATAATCTCCTAGTGCTTACCGTAGGATTGATAGCTACTGCATCGAGCACCCTTTCTTCCACTTCTACAGTCCTCGTAGTGCATGATCTTCCACAGTCGTAACGATTTTCCTTAAAGCGCCCAGTTTCACACAATCTTCTATGAATAGAAGCGAACGTTTGTTCACAGGGAAGTTGTAGGTTTGGATATCGTTCTGCGTACAATCTTCGTGCTTCTCTGGCATTTCCATCAGCTCTACCGTACGTAAAGTGAATGTTTGCCATCTCTTCGTTTGAGTATTGAACCATTTTGATTTAATTAAACGTAAATTATAATGGTTGTTGCACTAAAATAATTTTTTATCGACCGTTTGACAGCAAAGATCAACAAATGAAAGGAGCCTACTAAGATTTTTAGTGATAGTTTAATACACATGTTTGTGTGCAGTATTTTACTTAGTATTATTTATCTTGAAAACGAGTGGTCGTAGACCATTTTATAAGCAGATCATTTTTTATGTATTTTTTTCCGTAGATTCTAATTTTGAGGTTAAAATAGTAAAAAGATCAAAGCAAAAAAAAATATGGGAAATAAATTGCGCCCCCTATCCCTTATTTCCGCAACTGCACACTCCTTCTAATTTTTCATTCGATTATCGTACTCGTCCCGTAAAAATAGCTAGATATGCAAAATTTCGTGTTTCTAACTCTAGTAGTTTTTGAAATAATGGGAAATAACCACATATTGAACGTCTTCTTCAAAGCGCTCTACCTCCCTTAGGAAGCATTTTAGGACACACCTTTATATGAAGTTTTCTTCATGATTTTTTATGTAGAATCACATCTATAAATATATGAACGCAATTTCCGGGCATCCTGTATACAGGCTGGTTCAAATTCGATGTCCGAGTAGGGTAACTCGGAAACTATAAGAGTTAGAAAAAAAGTAGCTTACATGTCATGATCTCGTTTTTCGAGAAACTGTTAATGCCAAAAACGTCGAAGCGCTATCGTCTTTCATTTTTCCTAGGGGAAAAAATTGAAAAAATCGTAAAACCAACAAGTGCAATTATCTTGGTTATTATTATAGGTGGAGTATTATAATAAAGACATTATATGGACACATTTTTACAGAGAATTTCATGACGTAGTCAAAAAAAATTTTACGGTTTTAGATTTTAAGATATTATGACAATTTTCGTTTTTTTAAATGGAAACAATTATTCGCTTATTAAATTCCTTATTTTTGGCTTTTGATTTGAGAGGGCTGGCAAAATACTTACAGGTCTAAAATCTGTATAACTCTCAAGAGCACTGGTTTTCGGCAAAGGAATCACAATGGAATCCTTCCAGCAATCATGGAAAACCGATTCCAGGAGACAAGTGTTAATAATATGCGTTATAATATCTAATAAATATGGACATGACATCTTAATTGTGTTTATACCAAGAAAATCACTTCCCACAGCACCAGAATGAATACCTGATATAACTGCAGCCACCTCACTGCGTGCTACAGTACGAAAGACAAGTAATTCTTTAAATGTACATAAAGTGTACATTAACCAGATATTAACCCCATAGATCACGTGTGGTATTATTTAGAAAAAGCACTTAAAAAACACAACATTGGTAGTAAGGAATCGTTAAAAGTTGCATTGCAAGCAGAATGGGGAAAAATTCCGATTTCTTATATTAAAAAGTTTGGGCAATCAATGCCGAGGGGATTGAAAGTTGTACTAAAAACGAATGGAAGACCTATGAAGTATACTAGTACTACGCAGATTTCATCGTTCAAGAGTTTTTTACTTATAAATCTGTTTAAAATGAACTATTATAACTACTAAATAAAAAAAACTTTTATTTATTTCAAAACATTAATCATTTTATTTTAATTAATAATCATTGGTGTACGATGACTTTTGGAACTGACTGTACATCGCTTCCGTGACATTTAAGCAGTTAATCACTCGTAAATTCTCAGAAATAAATCTATTAGCAATCCAAATGTAAGAGAATATCAACAAAAATTATCAAAAATAAACGCCCAGTTTTCAACTAAATTGCTTAAATACCTAAAACCCGCATAACTAAGTGTTTGAAATGTCGATGGAATCACTAATTCATGATTCTCAGGAAATTAATCGTGATTCATCGATAATTCGCTGCCTTAACTTCATAAAAAAATAAAAAATAAAAACATAAAATAACCAATTAAGCGCTAAATTAAGACAGCCATAAGTAAAAATTACAAACAATTTCTTGTAGAAGTTATGACAGTTTGACTTTTTTTTATTATTCGCACGGAAATCTAGCTTTTTATTCGAAATGTCTATACAAAGAGGTGTTTGGCCTCTTCAAATTTGAAATATAGTGCTTAAACATTCCCAGGAAGTAAAATCAGTAGGACAACATCAGATTAATATTTGCGAAAGAGCACGAAAATAAAGATTTTTCTTTTTGGAAAACTGTTGTATGGAGAAAAAATGAGGTTAAAAAATTTAAGACCAACTATTTTCAGCTGTTGGACCAGCATGTTTGCATTTCATCTCTTGCATCTCTTGACGATTCTACCAAGACAATGATCCAAAGTACAAGGCGTACAAAGTATGTTCTTGGCTCTTATATAATTGCCCTCATGTAATGGAAACGCCACCCCAAAGCCCAGACATAAATCAAATTGAAAATTTATGGAATTATTTAGATACCAAAGTTCGGGAAGATGAAGTTTCTAATAAATCTGAGTTGAAGAGCACCTTGTTGGAAGAATGTTATAAATTGTTATTACTAAAGCCTCGGTTAAGAAGATTTACAACATAATTTGGCGCCCCAATGTGATGATCAGTTTCAGATTAATATTACACTGACATTTTTCAATCGGCATTTGAACGCAAAACATACAATAACATATTGTTATTGTATCGTGCGACATCAACCTTGTTTATGTTATTGTTAAAATTATTTTATATTGTTATTACAAAACAGTTTAATAAATAATGATTCTAAAAGAACAACAAATTAATTAAATTATCTTAATCCGAATCGAGTTAATCAATCAAATAAAATGGCGTAAAATTGATCACCTATATTAAACTATACAAAATAAGTCGGTAAAATAGAAATCAGTACAACTATAACCTCAAATTAATCCGTCAAAATGTTCGAAAAATTAAATATTATAAAACATTTTAATACGAATAAGTTCAAAACACGCATTTTTTTGATATCAGTAAGTTAGTAGAAAAAAATTTATCTCCTAAACTTAAATTTTTTTTATATCAGCAAATAAGAAAATACAGTTCAGGTAGTTCTGAGGATGGCATGAAGAAGATTCTGCAATCAAAGTTTCCAAACGCGAAAGAAATTGTTGTAGAAGATATTTCAGGTGGTTGTGGGGCGATGTACACCGTTTATGTTGAGTCGATTGATTTTAAGGGGCTCTCAAGGGTGAAACAACACCAGGCGATAACTAACGCTTTAAAAGAACAAATAAAAACGTTTCATGGGATAAGAATAGAAACGAAAATTCCTTCGAGTTAAAAAAATAATGTTTTAGTAAATTTTGTAATTATTTTTGTTAAGTAATCGTAATAAATAAACCGATTTTAAATAAAAAATGTTCTTTGTTTGATAATGGAAAATTTCTAAATGACATAACCTAAAAATAGTTCAAAATATATTTCACACGATAAGTACTTAAGATAAAACGATATTTTAAGGTGTCTAATTAAAACTTTACTTACATTATTTTTTCGATGTTGTCTTCACGAATACACGTCGAAAATAATAATATCTATTGTTTGAACGGCACAGAAATAGTAGGTTATATCGCGGTCAGTAAATGATAAATGTTATATTAACCAATAAATCAAAAGTGGGATTGCATTATCTTTTCGAAAATACTTGAAATCTAAGAAGGCTTTAGATATTAACGCAATTTAATACCATATTGTAACATTTTTACTCGTTTCATAATATAAAAAAGACTCTTTAATATGAGTTAATTTTTTTTTATATATTTTACATATTAGTAATATTATATGTACAAAAAATATAATAATACAACATTTATATATACAAATAAATGTATACACGTTTTGTTACTTGTATAAAGAAGTTAATTGTGAGACGGCATGTTCTTGAGCCAGCGCAGCAAGCTCTTTCACCCACTCATCCAGCAACACCGCGCAAATCGCAACATGTTGACTTTCCGTAAATTTCGGATAAACCAAACTTTCGGGACTACCATCTAATTGAACCATTTGCTGTGGCATACTTGTTTCAACGTGGCTATGCCGTCGATTGAACATGCTCGAAATCGATGATATCGACGATGTAAAACTCCTCCTTATACCTTTATTACGCGAAAACGGTTGATTATCACTATCAGACAAGTTTTGTTGTTGAGGCGTTGGAACGGGCGGTAATGGACAACTAAAACGTTCACGCCTCGCGTTTACTAATCTTGTTTCACGATCCACCAAGAATAATCTTGCTTCTTCTATTAATGCTGGCCAATCTGCTTGACGTAACATGTATGTGTCTATTACAGTTTTTAATGATGCTATAATCTGTAAATAATGTTTATTAAAACTTTTTTGTAAATTAACCAGCAGATATATGCATAAAATTGCTTGCGATGTTGTTTAGTGATGGATTTCACGGCAACTGTTTAATGAAAAAATTTGGAGTAAACTTTGGTATAATCACTGATCATTTTTACTAGTGGTGAAACGGATATCCGGCAACTATCGGGCTATTTTTTAAAATCCGGCCGAATACCGGATAGTTATCAAATATTCTAGTATAACTTATAACTTTATTTATATCACATTCATTACTAACAGAATTGTCACTGTAATCACTCTCGATTATTAATTAAAGTATCCTCTTTTTAATGCAAAAAGCCGTTTTGAAAAATCGCTTTTAGTTTTTGAGAAATACATTTTTGAAATAATCGATTTTGCTATTTTCGCCGATTAAGTTTTAAAAATTCGTATAAAATCCAGTTCTTGGAATATGAGTTTGAAAATTTTTCAAAGTGTTAATAAAAGTGTCCTCTTTCCAATGAACCAACCCGTTTTGAAAAATAGCTTTTAGTTTTTGAGAAACCAATATTTGAAGTTTTGATAATTTGCAATTTTCATCGATAATTTTCAAAATTCGTTATAAAATGAATTTCTTGAAGGATCCTTGTGGAAATATCACCAATTATTAATTAAAGTATCCTCTTTTTAATGCAACAAGCCGTTTTGAAAAATCGCTTTTAGTTTTTGAGAAAAAAATTTTTGAAATAATCGAAAATTTTTTCGAATTTTGCAATTTTCGCAGATTAAGTTTTAAAAATTCGTATAAAATCCATTTCTTGGAATATGAGTATGAAAATTTCCCAAAGTGTTAATAAAAGTGCCCTCTTTCCAGTGAACTTACCCGTTTTGAAAAATAACTTTTAGTTTTTGAGAAAACAATATTTGAAGTTTTGATAAATTTTTCGATGTTGCAATTTTCATCGATAATTTTAAAATTTCGCTATAAAATTAATTTCTTGAAGGATCCTTATGGAAATACCACCAATTTTTAATTAAAGTATCAAGCCGTTTTGAAAAATCGCTTTTAGTTCTTGAGAAAAAAATTTTTGAAATAATCGATTTTGCAATTTACGCCGATTAAGTTTTAAAAATTCGTATAAAATCCATTTCTTGGAATATGAGTATGAAAATTTCCTAAAGTGTTAATAAAAGTGCCCTCTTTCCAATGAATCAACCCGTTTTGAAAAATAACTTTTAGTTTTTGAGAAAACAATATTTGAAGTTTTGATAAAATTTTCGATGTTGCAATTTTAATCGATAATTTTCAAAATTCGCTATAAAATTCATTTCTTGAAGAATCCTTGTGTCATTCTGGTTTCTCGGGTATTTCCCCGAGGCCGACTAACGCTCGCCCGTTACTGCAATGGCGTCGCGTAGCCTATCTAATTCAAAATTTTTTCAAATACTTCGCACGCTCTAAAAAATCAAAAAAATTTAATTTTGAAAAACTATTACCGGAACTCGACACACAGAGTTATTGCACACAATTCAGTAAAAACCGCGTTGAAATCCGTCCAGCCGTTTTCGAAATAACATCCTCTTAAACCGCGAAACTGCACAAAATATGAAAAAAATAAAATATGTGTCGCATTCCAAACATATTTTTTTGATAAAAAATTCATAAATTGACGGTATTTACAGCAATTTCAAAAAGTTGTTGTGATATTCATCCCCGAAGTGCATATATTTGCTGGATATTCGCGCGCCTAACGTAGGGTTAATTAATTACCTGAAATAATGAAGGTACATTCGGTTGTAAAATTAAACTATGGTCCAATAAATAACTTCTTAACAAAGAAAGTGGGTAAACAGCAAGTCGAGATATTAACCCTGTTAGGTGTAAATTAACGTAAATAGTATTATTTAATAAAACTTTTAATTTGTTTAAAATAACGGTAAGAAACGGCCCGATCGCATCGGATGACGTTAAACAATTAGGGTCATCAACAAATTTTTCCATATCGTCTTTATCAATTTTTTTCGAGGAAATTTGCCAAATCGGCCTTTCTCTATCCCTTCCATCCGCGTCGCTTTCAATTTTTTGTTTCAAACTTTCGTATCCGCTACTTTCGCCCAAGGAACTATCACAACCAGCGTAAGAATTGTTCCAATTCGAACACATGATTTGGCATAAATTAATTTTGTTCCGAGCATCGTAAAGATATGCGTGGTAATTGCCATATAAACTTTGTTGATAAACCGGCCTTCCATCGATCTTTGGTATAACAGATAATGTATCGCAACATGTTGGTGATAAAGTTAATAATTTTTCGAAGCTTTGACACCGCATATCAAGCGGAAAACTCGTACATCTTTGCGATAACATAACATGTAAACACGGTCTTAAATATTTAAAAACCAACTCCAACATGACGTCCTCGCAATTAAGATCTAATAGGGATTCGAAAAGCGCTAAAGAAACGAGTGTTAATTGTGGTTCTGAATCGATTCGATCGATTAATATCGTTAAAAGTCGTTCGCCGTCGTATTCACTTTTTAATAAAAATTGTAATAAAGGATAAAGTAATCCCGGTTGGGTAACGGTCCTTAAAATTAATTCTAAATAAGCAATCGCCGTTGTTTGTTCGGCACAATTTGATTGTAGCAACGCCGGTCCTAAAACGGGTATAAAAAATCCTCTATGCATAAATTCTTCTAATCCTTTCGCAATATCCGGATGCGCAACATGAGCCACAGCATTTATAAATTCTAAAGATGTTATAAACTCCGATAAGTCTTTAATATCCTTAACATCATCCGCTGTTAATCTGTGCCAATCCGGCGCCGTCACATCCGTCAAAACTAACGGAAGAATCGAATACAATCCACCTAAACCAGAAACAAGAAGTACATCCATGTTTGATTGATTCAAAATGTAATCAGCTACATTTCGTTTCTTCTTCGAAAGCGACATACATAACAACAAAGCGTCTCTCGCTTGCATCCCAATCGAATCATCACGGTAAACATAATTAATTAATAAAGTAAACAATAAAAACTTCGGTTTTGGTTCCGTCCTGAGAAATAAATCAACGAGATCCACGTTTTGCATTAGTTGCACACATAATTGGTATAATAACGCTATCAAACGTTTTTCGCTTTGGTTTTGTAAAACATCATTTTGACATGACTCCAACAATCTTAAGAGCGGACGTAAAAATGAATCTCTAACCAACAAAACGTGTCTTGAATGATTTAATAGCGTTTCATATAGCTTCAGTTGTTCCAAACGCACTGCGTTTATATATCTATAGAAATAAAAGAAAATATATTAAAAAAATAGGCTTAAAACAACGAATTTATTTCATTTGCGTTTACGTGATTGAATGCACGTTACCTTGAATACAATAAAACCATAAAGTTTGATATAACCGTTGCCAAGAAACATAATAAAACTGTTATTTAAGATCGTATTTCTAACTTTGTTAGTTTCAAAAGTCGAAATTTTTATTGTAAACGGAAATATTATGATAACCTCACTCTAATTTTAAACCAATTTGTATAGGTTTAGTTAAAAGCAGTTGTTTAAATTGAAACCTCAAATAAAACATCCAATTTGACGTCGGAAAATTTGGCACGGCCGATATCTTCGAAGTACTGAATAATTAAGCTAAATAATTAAAAGTTTTTTCATTTGTATAGTCTCCATTTTTCTTTGTTCATCACAAATTTAGCAGCGACCAACTTAACGGCTCAGTTTAGAAACATGCATGATAGATAGTCATCTACGGTTTTTGTTAAATATGTACGTAGCGCTGTGATTCCCCAGAATTTATGTTTGTTTGGCGCATTTAAGTTTTGTAAGTTATTAAAGAGTGTTCAACACTTTCACGTTCTGCGTAAAACGTAATTAGTTTATGTAGTAATAATAGAGATTATTATGTAAGAAAATCAAATAAATATTTGTTAATTTAAATTTAAACATAATAAAACAAAAATGACACGAAAAAGCATTTCGCTCGACATTAAAATGCAAGTGTTGAGGCGATTGGAAAACGGTGAACATCAAGTTGACGTCGGAAATGCTAAATTTGTCTACTTTTACAATAACAACAATTATAAAAAACAAAGACAAAATTAAGTTGTCAGTAACTACAACCACATCATCTAGTGCAGCAAAGATAACTCGATCAAGAAGCAATATTTTAGAAGAAATGGAAAAACGTTTTTACGTTTGGATTGATGATGAAATCCAACGCAACATGCCGTTAAGTCAAAAAACCATCATGCAAAAGGCCATAAATATTTTTAATCACATTAAAAATGAAAGAGAAAATACGAGTGAAACCTTTACAGTTAGCCGAGGTTGGTTCGATAATTTTATAAAAATAAGCAATTTCCACAACATGCTGCCGCTTCAATTTTTCCTGCAACGTTAAAAACCATAATTAAAAGAGGAATTTATCCACCAGAATTGGTTTTTAACGTGAATGAAACAGAACTTTTTTTAAAGAAAATGTCATAGCGCACATTTATATTGCGAGAAAAAAAAGCGAACACTGGGTTGGGTTGGCAAGAATTAACTTTGAAGAGCTTGAATGAAGTGTGGAAGAAGATATGGCCGGAGGTATCCCAGGATTATCAACGAGAAGAGCCTATTGTTGGTCAAATTGTCAACCTAGTCGAAATAGCAGGACTGGTGAAGCTACTTCAGGAACTGGCAGAACAACGAATTGAAAAAGGCGAAAATCGAAATAGCAGATCAAATGCAGCAAAAGCAAGAAGAGGAGTTTTGGATGCTATCGCCTGATACCGATATTTGCTTAATGAAAGAAAAAGAAAGCGATAAATGACGATTTCTTCGCCAAAAAAATCAACAATATCAGAAGAACCATGACCTTCATCACAATTATAAACTTTATATACAGAATGTCCCACGACGTGACTGCCATAGCTTGGGAGTGTGTTGCTGGGGTGATTTCAAGTCAAAAATGTCTAATGAACCCAAAACGCTATCGTAACCGAACTACAAGCTGTTTATTTTGTTGTGAATGATAATTTGTGATTTATTGTGACAGCAAACGTCAATTAAATTAATTTTGCGTGTTTATTTTCGTGTGTTATATTAAAATACTCTTATTAAAGGTATGTTTACTTTTTCGAATGAAGAATACGCCAACATTCACTTTGTTTATGGATTGTGTAATGGAAACGGACGAGCGGCAGTTGATGAATATCGTCGACGATTTCCCACTTGTAAAGTGCCTTGTAGAACTGTTTTTAGCAATGTCCATCGATGGTTAAGAGAAACAGGCAAGTTTCCTACAGCTATTTCTGAACGTCCCGTTCAACAGGAAGCAATACTTAATACGATTGATGCTCAACATTCTACTAGTGTCCGAAGAATAGCCAGCACACTTAACATAGGCCGAATGAGAGTATGGAGAACTTTATGCAATTTCGATTTGTACCCGTACCACATCTTACCTGTACAAGCTTTAAAACCTGCCGACTACGCTTCAAGACTTGAATTTAGTCGCTGGATATTGAAAAATCAAAGGAGTTGTCGTGTCGGATAACATTGTTTAGTGATAAACAAACCTCATTCACCCAAAACGGCATCAATAACACCAGGAATTCACATTGTTGGGCATTTGAAAATCCACGACAAATCCGGGAATACCATTTTCAAGATAGACTTTCGATTGATGACCGCCTTATTGGTCCGTTTATAACTGAAGAACGTTTCACGGCCATTCGTTATTTACGTTTCATTGAAAATGATCTTCCAATATTACTGGATGATGTTCCTTTTAATGTAAGTAAACCTCCACACTTTGGTGTGGAGACACCAGTGGATTGGAAGAGGTTCTGCAGTTCCTTGGCCAGCACGGTCACCAGACTTTAATCCCTTAGATTACTTTTTATGGGGAAGACTGAAAAGTTTACTTTATGAAGAAAATATTGAAAACAAAGAACAACTAGTAGCTAGAATTATGGATGCCAGAAATTATTTGTGCTGATCCTGAGACTGTTAGCAGAGCTACCACTTCAATTCTAAGAAGAGCTAGACTATGTATATAGCAACTGGGTGGACATTTTGAACAATTAATTCAATAAAACTGTTTCTTTTTAATTGGTCTACTACTACTTATTTAAAATTTCAAATGTTTGTAGCTTGGTTACGATAGCGTTTTGGGTGTATGTTCATTATACATTTTTGAGTTGAAATCACCGCAGCAACACACTCCCAAACTATGGCAGTCACGTCGTTATATAAAACATTATATAAAACGCAAATTGTTTATTTTTGGTCGCATATTCCCATTTCCTTATTTACTATGTGATAAGATGACCTCAATGACCAATCTAAATGAGGTCTTACTGTATTACTAAAAATTTCGGTTAATACACTATTGCTGCGAATTTGTTAGCTACATGTTTTCGTTTTTAGTTACCATTACAAAATGTTGTTTAAACTACAATGTATTTTATTAGTTATTATTATTATGTGTATCATTTCTACAAGTGTGAAAAACCTGAAGTTACAATAAACATTTCTTTAGAGGTAGTATTTCTAGTTTTTCTAAACAGAAAATGTTCACTTATAAATTTATAAATTTGTCATAACTAACAAAAACATATTTTAAACTCTTAATTTGAAAAAAAGTTTATATTCTGATCCTATGTCAAAAAATAAATAGATTTTGCTAACTTAGTCTTCCTGAGTAATAGTACTTAGGATGGAAAAAAGATAAACAAATTTTTCACATTTTCTCAAAACTTCTAAATATGCAGATATGACTCTTATGATTAATAGGACAGTACATCAAACTTTGATTTTGTATGCTATGTCAAAAATTATTGCCTATATTATAGTCTTGGTCATACAAGGATTAATACAGCATCATCTACAAATTAAAATTATTAAGATAATTACTTTTTAAAGTTTATAATTTGATGTTGTATTTGTGGTTTCAATTTGGACTGCTTTTATGATGTTAACATCTCAAAAACATTCATTTCATGATAATAAAAGTTCCTAAAAAACAGATTAATAAATTAAATTACTAAGTACTCATTGTGTTAATCAATAATGTAAGCCACATAAAGTTTAATGGTTGATTATCGAGTATGCAATAAGTCACAATTGTTTCAAAATAACCTTAGAGGTCAAAATATCAAAGAAAACAAAATAATAATGATGTTTTTGACTTACTTTCCTGTACCAATGCTCCAATTATAAAGTTTTTCTAAGAGGTTTTCATCTAAAAGGTATCCAAGACAATCTGATGGATTTAAATTATTTTTAATGTCATAAACAAGCAATGAAACCATTTGTTCAAGGTGATTAACGACTCCAAGTACGTCATCGTGACTAGGTAATTGCTGAAAAGTAATAATTTCTTAAAAACAATGAAAAAAACAATGGAACTACGTTTAGGGTTATGGCAGAACATAACCTCAAAAAAAAAGTGATATGTACCAACCTGATTTCGTTGGATAATTAACCAGGCTTGTTGCCAATGTTCTTTAAAACTGTCGTAACAAGCTGTGGGGTCACAGCCCCCATCGGGGGGCCCAATAGCCCTTAGTGGTCGAACTGAGCCCACAAACCCGTTATTGCGTAACCATTCCATTTCGAAATCAATTTCTTGCAGTATCCCGTTAAAACGCTACATGATTTCCGACCGAAATAGATCACCGAAAATAAATACCCACGGTCGTCTTCGCCTTTGTTATTAACACAACTGTTATCGTTTTTCGTCGTTGTCAACGACGAGATTTGACGCGTTTAGGTTACGGGGTTTGGTCGGAAAAGTAAATGGAAATAACGTTCCAATTTGCATATAACATCGTTTACATTCGGTGTCGTGAGAATTAATCTTATCGTAACGCTTAATTAGGATCGTTTTGTCTATTCAAACTTGTATTTGAGATAAGATGGATTTCGCGGTTATTTTTAAATTATCTCAGTCGATTACGTCGATTACGATGACATCTTTTAAAATAATTATCATTTAATTTTTTATCGATACGCTTAATAATAATAAATTAATAATAATGCATGGAACATCGTTTAATTTGGGGCATTTAAGTCTTATATATAATCTAGAGTGCGTATGCTATGCTAAAATGAAGCCCGAAAGGTCGCCATGTTAGATGTACCAACAGCGGGAAATTCGAAATTCGTATATATAAGTTGTATACCACATAAGTTATAATCCACATTAATTAAGTTAATATCGATATGATATGTGAGCATTTTTCAAAAAACTCCAATTAATTCCCAAACTATTAATGTTAGGTATAGGACATGAGGAGTATAAAAGATGTAAAATGAGACGCCGAAGACGACTAAGTAATAAAAAGTGGGGGGTGCCGTTAAAAAAAAGAAGTTATGGTACTTCAAAATTTGCACTTAACTAAAGTGACCAAATGATCTAGACAGCCATTCTCCGCACCAAAATATACTCCATCATGTTGCTTAAGCATGTCTTGAATTGATAACCGGAAGTGTTAGAAATTTGAAAATATTTTAGTCGAAGAAAACGCAATTGATAATACTTAACTAAATCTTTAACTTAACTTTACTTAATCTAAATTCTTTATTTAAAATTTTTATTTTTTTTTTGGCAGAACCTCAGAAAAGTCTAATGACCGGTCTCGCTGAGATACCTGTATGAAAATTGAAAAACAATGTTACAACTTTTAGTTACTTCTAAGTTACACTTAAAAATGTAAATTAATAACGCAATATCTCATAGTATCGATGACAGTCGGGTTTTCTGTGGATTGGTGAGGTTTAATACCGTGTATCCTCACACCTACGTGGCATGGTTTGCACTAGTCTGCGAAGAGATTCTTGGGGCATCCTTTCCTATTCCTCAGGGCTTGTCAGTTCTTGTATGGTTAGTGGTGGATTAGGATTAGGTCAAGCTGATCCTACACGTGTTCAATAGGATTCAGATCAGGACTTAACACCATGACCTGAATTCCACGTTTTTGCAAAAAGTTTTTGGTGATGCCCGCGGTATGTGGCTTTGCATTGTCCTGCATTAGGATGAAATTTTGACCGACCCCATATGAAGCAGGCACCACATGGTCCTCCATGATGTTTTCGATGTAATTCATACCATTTAGTCTACCAGGAACAACAACTAGATCAGTTCTGTCGTGTATACTGATTCCAGTCCAAACCATAACAGATCCCCGACCACATCTATCTACTTCCTGTATAGTAGCGGCTGCGTAGCGTTCACCAGGACGTCTATATACACGTACTCGAAATTGCCAATCTCTGTGATCCAGAGCGAACCTCATTCGCGCTGCTTTGTGATGCTGCGTAAGGCGTGGTTCGCGGACAGATCTTCTAGGTTTCAAACTCGCTTCTTTTAATCTGTTTCTAACAGTTTGATCAGAAATTTCTATTCCATGTGGTCGTCTTAGGTCGGTTAGGAGGTCTCGTGCTTTGACAAGAAATCGGTCTTGATTTTGAGTAGTTTTTCGATTTCGACCTTGTCCAGCTCTTCTAACATGTTGGCCAGTCTTCCGAAGCCGATTCTAATCAATTCAAAGCATACTTGATATTTTTTCCACTTTGTTTTGTGTTATTAATTTACAATTTTAAGTGTAACTTAGAGTTGTGACATTGTTTTAGTATTTTTTTTAGTTAAATATATGCCGTTGAAGTAAACCAAATTTGATTTGTCTAGAACTATTATTTAAAAAGTTACAGATTTCGAAAAGTATTCCCTTAATTTTTTTGAGCAGGGTATATAAATATATCTGTGTGAGTGGGACACAGAGATATTTAGTTTTTAATACATAATGTATAATACAAATAGTGTATTTTTTTTTGCTGATCGAATAGTTGGATTATTCATTTGTTGATTTATTATTTTTCTTGTTAGGTCTACATTTTGCTGTATTTAATTAATGTCCGTGTAACCAGGAAAACGTTTTGTTCCCTAGTTTAAATGTAAAATATACCTAGAACAATTTGAAGCAGCAAAGTTTGAGTTATTTTAGATTGTACTATGTGTTTTAATCCTTATTGTGTAATTTAAAACCACTGACGCAAGAATTACTGACTGAAACTTCCACAAATTTTAATTTTCAAAAAGTAAAGTGTCCTTTATAAAGATGTTCTAGTGAAAATAATAGCTGTGCCAGATTGCTTTAGGTATAATAAGTATGGTCACAGCAATCAACTAGACATTTTGGCAGCCAAACCTATTTTTATTTATAACTTTGTAATGATGTATCCCATAATTTTGATTTTCTAGAACAATAACAAGAACAACTAGAACAACCCAGAACAACAAACAAAATTTGATTTTTCCAAAAATGGGTGGCTAGTCAAAAAACCCGTTTTTTCGGTTTTTCTCGCCAAGTTTTTGTTTTTTCTATTTGTCGCTTTGGAACAATGTAGAACAATTCTAGAACAATCTAGAACAACAATGAAAAATTTAAAAATCAAATAATGGGGGCTAATTTCCCGCACTCTCAAAGTTTACGATATACCAAAGCAAATCATCATAATGAAGTAAGAATGAGTGTACAAACATTTTCATAACATCAAAAAACGATATTTTTTTTAACATATTTATTTATTTAAATAGAATATGCTTTGGAAAATGGGAACAATAATTTGTATTCCTAAAAAAGACAACAACTTACTTTCCCCAAGTAGTTACGGACCAATTACTCTATTATCCGTAATCGGAAAAACCTTTGAAATTATTATAAAAAACAGATTGGTGCTGATGGTCAATTCGTTCATTCCACCATATCAATTTGGATTTAAATCAAAAATGTCCACAAATCACCCTCTTAAGATTCTAACGTCAAACTTATTTGAGCAAAACCAAAAAAAAAGGAAAATCAACGTTGTTATGTTTAGATACCAAGAAGGCATTTGATTCAGTGTGGCATAGAGGTCTCCTTTTTAAATTGGCAAAAATGAACGTTACACCACCCCTAATATTATTAATAAACAGTTTTTTTGTCGGATAGAACACTGAGAGTAAGAGTAAACGACGCATATTCGGATATTTTCTTTCCAAAACAAGGAGACCCTCAGGGTATGTTTGATATGATGACTGAGAAACATAATAAGGAAGCATACATTCTCCAATACGCAGATGACACGGTGTTAATATCTCATGACCGTACTTTGAATGGAGCAATAGAAAATCTTCAAAATCTGACGGAAAAAATAGAAAGCTGGTATAGGACGTGGCGTATTCAAATTAACAAACAAAAAATAGTTATTGTTACCATTCCATAGAATATGTGATAGATCACCTAAATATCGATAGCTAATATGTTGATTACTCCAATTAAGGTGTGCAAATATTTAGGGATTGATCTAGATAACAAATTAAAATTTAATATTCACACTAAAAAATCTAAAATGAAATCTAACGCTAGGGCGAAATATTTTAGATGTTTAACATATAAAAACAGAGGCATCAGTTTTAAATGCGCAGTCCACTTTTATAAAACCATCTGCAGATCGATTTTGGATTATGGAGCATCAATTTTGAGCGACGTAGGAAATCAAGCCAGACGAAATCTTGAAGTTGCCGAGAGAACGTGTTTAAGATGCATAACAAAACTAAGAAACCCTACAAATCCACTTTATAACCCATCGAATCAACTTCTTTATGAGAAATGTAAAATAACACCAATTACAGACCGAATAGTTGCACTTGCTAATAAAAGCAATTTAAAAATAACTGAAAACCAGAGTCTCACATCGTTATTTCTTTCGGATAACAACCCTTTACCGAATGTCAATTAGTTATTTATTGAAGGATATGAAGTAAATTGTAATTATTATATGTATGAGAGTTCAGCAAGAGTTCCGGAGAATATGAGAATATAATAAATTTAAAATATAATTGTAAATAATGTTTGTATAATAATTGTAATACCGGAATAAATACTTTTACTACTACTACTACTACTAGAATATGCTTTATTTTATCCATAAAACGTGATTAACTGTTTTATATTATAGCAAAATTTATAATTTGTTGTTTTTTCACGTGTACGAAGACTTTTGTGACTACTTAAGTGTAAGACCCCAATGATTTGGGGTAATTAAAATTTTCATTGAACAACGCCATCTTTAGAAATGTACCCGCACTAAGATATTTTCTTATCAAAATGATAAATTCGATTTAAATAGGTGTATTTGAATTTAATTTTTGGAACTAAATATGAATATGGAGTTATACTTATAATTGGAGAAATAAATTTTGATTTATTTAAAAATTTATTACTGCCATCTTTTAATTTATATTAAAACTTAAAAACGTCATTCAAATGTTCTTCATTTTTACCTTCTCCACCTGTTAGTAAACAAGTTTTTTTTAAAAGTCCGATTTAAAGCCTCAAAATATATAAAAATATGTGACCTTTTTTTCGAAATCTAATCAATTGGAATTTCGCGTATGAGCTATAAAAAGGTGATAAAGCTTTAACACTCACCTATAAGAAATGTTGGGCGTTTCACGTGTAGCTAACTGAGTAATCGCCACTTTTATTCAGTTCTCTACAAGAACCTCTAACGAATAGGTTCAACAATGAGTGCATCAATTCTTATATTATTTTGCTTACTTTTTCAACTTGGTGATTTTTCGCAAAAAGAATTTTTAGGCTGCTACGAAGACAACTACACCATTAAATTAAAAATTTCTACAGAAATTTACTCAGAACAAGATTGCGTGGAGAATTGTTACAAAGAATATTATCCTTACGCGTTATTTAGGGTGCTAAATAATTGCGCCTGTTCTCATTTCATTGGCGAAATTAAGAATGAAACTCATTGTGAAGAATTTTGTCCCAATTGTGAAATTAAAAATCAAATTCGAAATGTTTATTTCACAGGATTTAAAGGTAAGAATAAAATCACACAATAAATAACACAATAAAATCTAAAATAATTAATTTGTTATAAAATATATTAGTTTTGGGACCCCCAACGAATTTAATGATATCAAATGTAACAGAATCTCAACTACATATTTCTTGGAACCCTCCAGATGCAGCAAAAGCTTTGTATAGTTACACAGTAAGTGCAAAAGTTATTCAAACATATGCATCGGTCCCCCCGAGAGATTTGAGTTGGAACTTTTCGAACGATACTTTTAACAATGACTTAAGTAGCTTGCACCCTGCCACACATTACAATGTCTCAGTGTGGGCTAAAAATCACCAAGGCCCAGGAATAGCTGCTTATCAAATAGTTGAGACAAAAATTGGATTCCCAAGTCATAACCCGGAGACCCCAGAAATCTTATTCCGGGAAAAAAATTTTATGAAGATTAAAATTAAACCGGTGAGGAACGATAACGGCCCGATTTCTTCGTATTTGATTATTGTTTCCAATCGGAGTTCATTACAAACGGTTGATACACGCTATTTAATGACTGTAACTCAAGCTCTTAATAGCAGTTTAACTTATTATGTTACAGCTGAGTTTTTACCTGAGGTGAGATAAATACCTCTGTCCAGAAATAAGTGTCCAATATCAATTGGTTCAATTCTGCTAAAAAAACCTAGTCCAGTTTACTGGACTTTGAATTTCTAAGTTCTATACCAACGTGAATTTTTTCAAAGTCTCCATTTTCTTTTTCTAAATACAATGTTACAACGCTATACAGTAAAGCCTCGTTTAGCGCGGTAGATGCATAAAAACGTTATTTTTGACATAGCATACAAAACCAAAGTTTGATGTGATGCCATATTTAGCATAACAGTCATATCTGCATATTTAGAAGTTTAGAAGAAAATGCGAAAAATGTGTTTATCTTTTTGCAATCCTAAGTACTATCACTCAGGAAGACTAAGTTAGCAAAATATATTTATTTTTTTGACATACTATTAGAATATAAACTTTTTTTTTTCAAATTAAGAGTTTAATACCGGATATTCGGCATCCCCTTCAGCCGAATATCCGATTATCTGGCATATCTATCCGGCCATTATGGATATAATTTCTGGTCCATTTCTGAAGTGATACCCTATATTGCCACATTATTGCGATATTTGAATAAAAATGAAATTAATAAGAAAGCTGATAAGATATGTCAACTTATTTATATCCAAGATACAAAATGAACTTTTTTGATGCTGATTTAACTAACGAAGCAACTCTAAAAAGAACATCGAAAATGTTATCAAAACTTCAAATATTGTTTTCTCAAAAACTACAGGTAATTTTTCAAAACGTGTTGGTTCATTGGAAAGAGGACACTTTTATTAACACTTTGGGAAATTTTCATACTCATATTCCAAGAAATTGATTATATACGAATTTTTAAAACTTAATCGGCAAAAATTCCAAAATTTGAAAAAATTGTCGATCATTTCAAAAATTTATTTCTCAAAAACTAAAAGTGATTTTTCAAAACGGCTTGTTGCATTAAAAAGAGGATACTTTAATTAATAATTGGTGATATTTCCACAAGGATCCTTCAAGAAATTAATTTTATAGCGAATTTTGAAAATTATCGATGAAAATTGCAACATCGAAAATTTTATCAAAACTTCAAATATTGTTTTCTCAAAAACTAAAAGTTATTTTTCAAAACGGGTTGGTTCATTGGAAAGAGGACACTTTTATTAACACTTTGGGAAATTTTCATACTCATATTCCAAGAAATGGATTTTATACGAATTTTTAAAACTTAATCGGCGAAAATTGCAAAATTCGAAAAAATTGTCGATTATTTCAAAAATTTATTTCTCAAGAACTAAAAGTGATTTTTCAAAACGGCTTTTTGCATTAAAAAGAGGATACTTTAATTAATAATTGGTGATATTTCCACAAGGATCCTTCAAGAAATTAATTTTATAGCGAATTTTGAAAGTTATCGATGAAAATTGCAAATTATCAAAACTTCAAATATTGTTTTCTTAAAAACTAAAAGTTATTTCTCAAAACCTGTTGGTTCATTGGAAAGAGGACACTCTTATTAACACTTTGGGAAATGTTCATACTCATATTCCAAGAACTGGATTTTATACGAATTTTTAAAACTTAATCGGCGAAAATTGGAAAATTCGAAAAAATTTTCGATCATTTCAAAAATTTATTTCTCAAAAACTAAAAGTGATTTTTCAAAATGGCTTTTTGCATTAAAAAGAGCACACTTTAATTAATAATTGGTGATATTTCCACAAGGATCCTTCAAGAAATTAACTTTATACCGAATTTTGAAAATTATCGATGAAAATGGCAACATCGAAAATTTGATCAAAACTTCAAAAATATTGTTTTCTCAAAAACTAAAAGTTATTTCTCAAAACGTATTGGTTCATTGGAAAGAGGACACTTTTATTAACACTTTGGGACATTTTACGAATTTTTAAAACTTAATCGGCGAAAAAGAGGATACTTTAATTAATAATCGAAAGTGATAACAGCGACAGTTCTGTTAATAATGAATATGATGATCAATTACAAGCGAAGAGAAGAAAACTGGACGAAACTGCAACAAGAGATTTTATATATCGTATTGGGATTGTTACAATGAGGTTGCTAATGACAAACCTGATATAAATAAAGTTGTATTAAATGAAAAAAGTCCTAATTCCTGTGAATGGTGGAGTACTAAGTAATAGGTTATTTAATAGGATATTTGGTAACTATTCGGCCGGATTTTAAAAAATAGTTCCACCACTAATAATAACTAACAAAATACAATGTAACTTAAACAACATTTTGTAATTGTTACTAAAAACGAAAACATTTAGCTAACAAATTCGCAGCAATAGTGTGTTAACCGAAATTTTTAGTAACACAATAAAATCTCGCTTAGTGCGGTAGATGCGTTCCTGAAGATAGGAGCGCTAAACGAAACAGCGTTATATGAGGTCATTTTAACACATAATAAATAGTGAAACTGGAATATCCAACCAAGAATAAACAAATTTTATTTTTATTTTAAACTATAATACTAGTAATTTGCATTTTATATAACACAAATATATATAAGGTTTATATTTGTGATGAAGATCATCATCGCATCCAAAACTCCTCTTCTTGCTTTTGCACTCCTGTCAAAATTTGGGTCATTCGCCACAATTTGATCTGCTACTTCGGTTATCGTTTCTAAACTTTTTTTAAGAAAATCGTTTTCGCCTTCTTCAATTCCTTGTTCTGCCAGTTCCTGTAAGGCCTTCAGCAGAAACCTGCAGTAGCTCCTCAATATCCTGCTCATCTACACCTCCTAGTCCTGCTGTTTCGACTAGATTGACAATTTGACCAATAATAGGCTCTTCTCGTTGATAATCTTGCGATACCTCTTCTTCCACACTCCATTGATGCACTTCTTAAATAATTCTTGCTAAGCCACGTCGATATTGCCTATGGCATCCAGGATGTTATATTTTTTTCAAACTTTTTATTAAGTTTTATCAATAATTTATTGAAATGTACGACAAAGATAATGTGTCTTAAAATTTAGAATAACTCCCTGGTCCATTGGCTGAATTAACGACGTAGTATTGGGTAGTAGGAAAACTATTTCCACCGGAACGCAACTATTTAAGTCCGATAGGTTCGTTTTACAGATGGACAAAAATATGTGGTAAACCAATTTTGAAAAGATTCCAAGATTTCTTATTGAATTCCCAAATTTCCAAGTATTTTGGATTAAAAACTTATACTGTAGGAAAAAGTACAAAACTTTTTAATGGCAGTAAAAAACTTAACCTTTTCTTAATTTTTGAAAAAAATCGATATCAGACACTTATTTCTGCACGGAGGAAATATAAAATTAATTTTACTTTAAAATAACTTTTTAATTAAATTTAGCAACTAAATGAAACATTCATGATCGGAGATGGAAACGTTTACGGTGAATATTACAACGCCCCTTTATCTCCATCAACATCTTATGATATTTTATTGGGTATTAAGAGTAAAAAAGATGAGGTTGAAACGTCAGCTTTCAGTTCGTTGTCAGTTGAAACGAAATACATCGGCGATGAAGATAGGGGTTTCATTTCCAACGAGTTACTCATTGTGTTAATATTTCTCGTTTGCTTAGCGCTTGTGATCGCCTTAATCATTTTTGTAGTGATTAAGCGACGATTAGTGAACGATTATCGAAGACACTCGAATGAAATACAAGAATTACGAGTGCGTAGTCAAGTGATAAACGTTGAAAATCACGGTTATGTTGCAGAAGAACACCCCGATTATGTAAATCATTACGAAGAATTACGTAAACAAGTTTGGATGATTCCCCACCAATCATTAAAAATTGATTACACCAAAATTTTGGGTCAAGGAAAATTTGGCTACGTTTACAAAGCAACTTTGGAAAAGGATATGAGATATAGGGATGTTGTCGTTTATAGTATTGCAGATAAAACGTTGACGCAAAAGGAAAAGGCAGAGATGTTAAAGAATTTGGGGATTCTCATTAGAGTGGGAGAACATAAAAATATATTGCATTTTATCGGAACTTGCGAAAATTTAGATAGCATTTCCGTTACTATGGAATATAATGAGCTCACTTTAAAAGAATTTCTTTTAATGTCTCGTGTACGAAGAGATCAATCTTATACTAATTTAGAAGAATCGGTGGCTTTAAATATTTGTCATAGTATTACTAAAGGATTACATTTTTTGCATGCACAAAATGTAAGTATATGAAATGAATTTGTTATTAATCTATTATTCCTTAGCACTACTTGCTTTTCTACATCTCTATCTCATCTATGCAAAGTTAGCCCCCAATTACTCTAGAATGATGAATAGATCCAAACCAAAATGCCAGTTATCTATAGAAATTATCTTGTTTTGTATCAACACGGTATCAAACTGCAGCCTCTTGGAAGAAATAATCTCGGCCGACTTCGAAGACGTCGGCCGTCTCAAATATTGTTTGTGATAAGAAATAATCTCGGCCGACTTCGAAGAGGTCGGCCGCACCAAATATTACGAACAATACTTAGAACTATCTTGTTTTGTATCAGCACGATATCAAGCTGCAGCCTCTTGGAAGAAATAATCTCAGCCGCCTCAAATATTGTTCGTGATAAGAAATAATCTCGGCCGACTTCGAAGACGTCGGCCGCTCCAAATATTACGAACAATACTTAGAGCGGCCGACGTCTTCGAAGTCGGCCGAAATTATTTCCTTTCACGAAGAATAATTGGGGCGGCCGACATCTTCGAAGTCGGCCGAGATTATTTCTTGCATAAATTTCAAGCAGATTTTGATAATCGTAGTTAAATATTGTTCGTGATAAGAAATAATCTCGGCCGACTTCGAAGACGTCGGCCGCCCCAAATATTACGAACAATACTTAGAACTATCTTGTTTTGTATCAGCACGATATCAAGCTGCAGCCTCTTGGAAGAAATAATCTCGGCCGCCTCAAATATTGTTCGAGAAAAGAAATAATCTCGGCCGACTTCGAAGACGTCGGCCGCCCCAAATATTGTTTGTGATAAGAAATAATCTCGGCCGACTTCGAAGACGTCGGCCGCCCCAAATATTACGAACAATACTTAGAGCGGCCGACGTCTTCGAAGTCGGCCGAGATTATTTCCTTTCACGAAGAATAATTGGGGCGGCCGACGTCTTCGAAGTCGGCCGAGATTATTTCTTGCATAAATTTCAAGCAGATCTTGATAATCGTAGTTTACATCATTTTTCTGTTATTTCCATATACTTATTCATCTGCCTTCTTGGATTCTTTCTTAATTTAAAACATTAACAAATATTATTTTTATAGATAATTCATAAACAACTTTGCGCAAGACATATCGTTATGATAAACCGAACAATTCCAAAGATATCAGGTTTTGGTTTAGCGACTTATTACAAAGATGGAAGAACCGTGAATTGTACAAGATGGACGGCTAGAGAGGTATTAAATGGTGACAAATACTCAGTTAAAAGCGATATTTGGTCTATGGCTTGTTTAATATGGGAGATATGTTCTTTGGGGGCAACTCCATATGGTTCACTCACGAATACAGAAGTAGCTGAAAAAGTTTTAAGAGGACACACTTTACCGAGACTAGGTTGTATGGACACCGAATTTTATCAAACGCTTTTGAATTGTTGGCAATTAAGTAGTGATGAAAGGCCGTATGTTAACGCATTGGAGGAGTCTATTGAGCAGTTTTTGGGAGATCCGACGGTTTTTCTTGCGTTTTCTTTGTGTTCAGATGGAAGTCACGTCTACGAACTATTTAATTTTGAACTGGAATTGAATCCTCCAATGATGTAAATTTAGTTTAGCGACGCGATACAAAATAGTTGTTTTTGATAAAGGACTTAATTAATTACGAGGTGCTCCTAAAAATTTTTTAAAAAATTCTTATCGAACATCTTTTAAAATGAAATCACTTCCGTCCAAAATATACATTCCGCCAACTTTAATACAAATAACTATTTTAGTATCCGTAAAATTAATTTTTACCTTTTTTTTTACTTAGCGATTGAGAATATCGCAAATGTTATTGTGTATGTTATTAAAATGATAATAAAAGGGGTTATTAAAAGACGAGTTTTTTTCTAGCATACAGTTATTATTAGGCAGTTGATAAATATTGTTACAAATCTTTCGTTACAAAAAACAGAGTGTTTAACTCTTCCAGATAAGAGTTAACCATCATCATAAATGGGACGTTATCCCCCAAAAAAATATGAAAAGAAAAAACATATTCTACTATATATCCACATATGTTACATGTAAATTATTTATAGCCTAAGAAACACATGTTTACAATTCGTGGGTCTCAGTGGAAAGTTCTTTGCTATTAGATGCGAATGGGTGTTATCGGAATTGAATGGAATTTTGCGTTTTTGTTGGGGATGCGGGACATATTTGTTGTCGTCCCGCGTGGTATGTACAACAAAACCAAGACCCACAAGCCGTCAAGCAAGTAAAAGCTTAAAAACTATTATCGGTGTAACCGCCAAACGGCCAATTCCATGTTTTCTTCTTTTTTGTTTCTATTTTTTATTTGACAGATCAATTCCTAAGGTATCCAATACAAAGAAATTCAAAAAACAGAAACAAAACATTGCACAACACTATTTCAGATCGTTGATATACAAAGACAAGTTGATTTATACTCTTTTTCAATAAAATAAAATCTTACCAAATACTTTTTTGAGATGTGCTAAAAGAATTAAAGAATATAAATGAACAGCCCTTGATATATGATAAAGATGATATATGAATAAAGTACACTCTTGGAAAATATGAAAACAAACGATATATATATCGATAAATTACTAAAATAAAAATATATCACTTCTGTTATTTTTTTTTTTTAATTAATTGAAATGAATCGAGTCGAGTGCAGACACCCAGACTAGAAAATAGCAGACCGTCTACACAAATCACATTTCAGACTTATATCACTATGAACATTGACCTCGTGCCGGACAATTTTTCTTTTTTGCTTGCAAACGGTTTGCCGCGGAACAATTAGAAGCCCTGTCAGAACGGCTCGCGCTATAAAAAATCTCAATTACGTTAAATTTGTTTTAATAAGGGTTGGAAATATCGAAGGATTTATTTAGTGCATCCTAAAAATGGTAATACGACGAATTTCCAACCGTTCTTAAAACAAAATTAATCTTTTTTTTTTTTTAATTTCCCATCGATTATTAAAATACTACAATACAATTTTTTTCTTCCAATTTTTTTTACACCAAAAAAATAAGAACCAGTCGCCTAATGAAAGGAACAATTTTTTTTCTATTTTGTTTTAAATATTTTTTTTTTTAATAATTTATGGACTTTGGTAGCCAAGTGCCACAGTTATCTCGTTGATATTTCGGGAGGGCAACAAATTTATGAACGGATCCGACATTTACTACGCTAAAGAAGACATTGACCACAACGGAATTATCAGAAGTATTACTTTATCCACATCGAAACGTACTCAAGACGCCGTATATGTATATATACGCGTTACTCATACTCACATACTCACGCGATTTCAATATTAAAACATTCAATGCAAAGTTGAATTTAATTCCTATCTTCTTTCATTTTTTTTTATAAAGACTACGGTGAGATTCACGTATGAAAAATACAAATCGATCACTTGTGCGCCAGATTGCGGGGGCCCACCGCGAGGCGCCCACTTTTTTTTTTTTTAATTAACCCACGAGCCGGCCCACGTTCGTTTATCACAAGTATTATTTCGTACACCGGACGCCTCGCGTCGGGAGATCCCCGTATTTTTTTCTTTTCGACAGAGCTCTTGTGCGCTGACAACAACTTATTGTTGATGTGGTGCATTTTGGCGGCGATATTATTATTATTACACCATCACGAACGCTTCTTTGCCGCAGAACAGGAACGGGTACTGGTCGATCATCGTTTGAACTATGTCTTCTAGGTATGGTCGCATCTGCTCAAACCTACCCATATCACTGAACTCAATCGGTAGCAGCGTTGGCCACCAGCATATAGCTAAATTTTTACTATCCATACTGTTTAATTTTGAATTTTCTGCCACTCTGTATCATTTTTTAAATCAAAAATAAAAATTAATAAAAAGAATTTGATTTAACTTACTTAACAAAATGTTGAAATATAAACTTCAATACTTCAAAGTTAATAGCAGGAAGTTTATCGAGCATTTTTCTAAGAGCTAATAATCGGCAACTACGATCTGTTTTCACCTCCAAATTGCCTGTTTGCGTCGCCATCGGCTTTAAACGCGTCCCCGCTATATCTTCTAACTCCACCATAACATCCTCTTCGAAAAGCGGAGGTAATCGTTTTGATACGAAATCTTTTAGAGCTGTCGCGACCGCATTTACGGGAATATCCAAATCTTGAATTTCCACATTCGCATCTATTTAATATTAAAAATTAATTTTGATTTGATTCTTAATTAGACTGTTAGCACACCTGTATAATCTGAACGCGTGTATCTAGCGCAATGAAATGTGGTATGGCGGTAGTACTTAAGTAGTGTAATTTATCCTCACATGGAGAGAGGTGCAACTCTGCTGGGAGGGAATACATTAATAGCGAGAGTATCCCGCGTGAGGAAACTACAGTGGTAAAAGTTCAAACTGCTAATGGCTTAATATCTGTAGGAGCAACGAGAAAAGACTATCAGGAAATTCGACTATATCTTGACAACGAATTTATAGTTGGAGGAGACTTTAATGCAAAACATATGTCTTGGGGTTCTCGCTTGACAAATACAAAAGGAAGAGAATCTTGAATTCCGGTTATGCCTAACCTTAGAATGACTCTGAATGCTGTCACACAAGTTGAGGTTCGTCTGTCAGCTTTATAAAGAGAACTATCAACTTATATGTCTCTTCATTAACCAAACTTATAAATTGTTCTTTGAAGGAAGGCACATTTCCGGACTTGCTAACAGGGACTAGAAACGAAAAGTATTTTGTTCGTTTCCGATCAGAACGAAAACGAAAAATTTCGTTTTGGTTCTTTTCGTTCACACCCAAAAAATATCGTTTTCATGAACCGAAATGAAATAACGGTTAAAACCGGTTTTTTACTATTTTTCTAATAAAAGTATGCCAACATACTTTTTTATTTTTTTTTTATATTTGACAAATAAGTCACTTGTCATAATTTTAGTCATAGCTGGCAAAAATTACTAACATAAAATTTATGCTTTTAAAAACTTAAATGTTAAAAATTTCAATCAACTGCATTTTAAGTGGTGATGGCATTTTTGCTTTTTATAAATATTAAAAATAAAATTTAGAATGAATTGTTTGGGACCGTTTCTGTATTGAAGAGACACGAATCTGTTTTAGTTTCTTTCATTTATTCCCATTAAATTTAGTTACTTGAAAACCACGCACAAACTGCTATGTAGTTTAGTGGTATGCCAGTGACAGATTTTTTTGCTTCATATTTTAAATAATAATATTTGTTTCTTTTCTCTCTGATCTTGCTTTATTTCAATTAACTTTTACTTATTTAAAAATGTTGTGTCATGGTTAATTTTTGGTTATTTGTAAATAAAGTTATTATTATTATTAAAAATAAGAGAAAAAAATTGTTAACATATTTATTTTATAGTAAAAATATATATATAGAAGATATAGAATAGAAGACCCTTGCATCCCCGATATGTCTACTAGGAGTAGGTTACAAAAATATTGTGTCATTAAACCGGTTAAAACCGGTAACCGAAATTATTTATTTCGTTTTCAATCATGAACGAAAAATAAAAATTTCGTTTTCGTTTCCGTTTTCGTTCTTATAAATTATTCGGTTAATTTCGTTCTCGTTTTCGTTCCGTTCTTAGTCCCTGCTTGTTAAAGAGTGCATTGGTAGTTCCAGTTTTCAAAAATGGCAATAAAAAGGATATCAAAAACTACCGCCTCATAAGCATCCTGCCGGTGTTTTCGAAAGTGTATGAAAAGATTATTTATACTAGGATTGCAGAATACCTGGAGGGTCAAAATATGTTTTTTTGTCGCGCGCTTTCGAAAGTGTCTCTCATCGTATTCTCTTGCAGAAATTAGAAACTAAATATAATATGGATCATATAATTATAAATTTGCTACACTCATATTTGTTGCGTAGATCCCAAATTGTAAAAACAGGTGAACTAACATCTAGTTCTGTGAGTGTAACTAGGGGAGTCACACAGGGTTCGATACTTGGCCCGATTTTATTCCTTATTTATTTTAACGATTTTCTCTATTACGTAAGTAAAGAGAAGCTGTCGAGGACGCATGATTGGTGTGTAGCCAATGAGCTGTGTCTGAATGACGATAAAACTGTCCAACTTTCCTTGAGTTTGCGTAGGCTTGTAGTTTATAATCCTAACATGGTAAAATTTTTTGAAACATATATCACCATCATATTTTAATTGTATGGAGTCTAAAATAAGTAAAAATATTTATTTACTGCGTAGACTTGCTGCTGGTGTTTCGCTAAGTGTGGCCAAAAACGCTACTATGCATTTGTTCACTCATTACTTAGCTATTCAATCCTTGCATGGGGTGCCGATCCCGGGAGTGAAAAAATGTTTAAAATACAACGTGCGTGGTCTGGCAGGTATAGCTTACAGGGATGATTGCCGCCCTACTTTTTTTGTCTATTCTTACTGTGCCATCGCTTTCAGAGTGTCAGATAAAAAACGCCCCAAGCTGTAACTCTGTCATTTACATTTCGATTTTCATGAGCGAGATATCAAATGAAATGGTTTGATTCATGCTACAAATACATTTTTTCCAGCGCCATCTTCAATTTCAAGCCATTTTTGCCATTTTTGATTATCAAATTGGTATGTTTTTCTTCACGTTATTGAATAGAGATTTCTTTTCTGAATCCATTAATGTACAATACATCAACATTAATTGTAATTGTAAAGTCACTTGTGTTATACTGTAGTGTGCCATGGGCAAAATAATCATTTACAACTGCTTCAGGCATTGACATATCATTTAATGACTGTTACCAGTTTTGCGCGTTATTTTTTTCCATGGCACATTACAGTATTACAGAAGAGACTAAGACAATGTTCGAAAAATGTTTTAATTGCTTCTCTCTGCTAAAATTACAATTAATATTAGTGTATGGTCAGAAAAAAAATCTGTATCCAATAATGTGAAGAAAAACATATCGAGCAATTTGAAAATCAAAAGTTGATAATCGCTTGAAATTGAAGATGGCGTTGGAAAAAGTTTATTTGTAGTATGAGTCATAGTAAATGACAGAGTTACAGATTGTGGCGTTTTTTATCTGACACCCTGTATATTGCGATGTATTTGTACGTTATGGAGAACCGTAATTTGGTCAGAGAACATTCTAATATTCATTCTCACAATACACGAGGGAGAGAAAGAAACTTTTTCAGACTGTCAAGAACCCAGAGTTACCTTCCGCTGGAATTAAGGCAAAAACGCGTTTTATTGACGATATGTAAATTTTGAGTAGTTTTAATTACTATACAGGGTGATTCTCAACCTATATGCATATGTATTTTTTAATTTCCAACATATCCTTGAAATTAACTTTCAAATTAAGATTACATAGAAATTACTTGAAACTACGAATTGCAATTTCAAGCGACACACATATTCGACGAGGCTTGGGCAAAATGGGAAACAGGTAGACCTTTACACATTGTTAATGTCGAAAAAGAGATTTTGAATGTCGTCGAAGAGTAGCCTGGCCTAAGTACTAGGATACTTGTAGAGCAACATGGGGTATCACAATCCACAATTTGGCGAATATTCGTATACAGGGTGTCTCAGCGAGACCGGTCATTAGACGTTTCTGGGGTTCTGGCGAAAATAAAAATTTGAGAATTCAGACTTAAGTATTATCAATTACGATCTCTTCGTCTAAAATATTTTCAGATTTCTTGCACTTCCGGTTATACCGGAAGTCGCCACCAACTTTATTTTTTTAAATGGAACACCCTGTATATTTTTACACATTTGGATTTGTCTGTTATCAAGTTTTATAAATAACTTTACTTTTTGCAATTTGATTCGGTCGTTCTCGAGTTATTCGAATTTTTCTAGAAAAATTCGAATAACTCGAGAATTGCTGGTTCAAATTGCAAAAAGTAAAGTTATTTATAAACCTTCAAAACAGACAAATCCAAATATGTAAAAATATACAGGGTGTTCCATTTAAAAAAATAGAGTAGGTGGCGACTTCCGGTATAACCGGAAGTGCTAGAAATCTGAAAATATTTTAGATGAAGAGAACGTAATTGATAATACTTAAGTCTGCATTCTCAAATTGTTTGTTTGGCTAGAACCCCAAAAACGTCTAATGACCGGTCTCGCTGAGACACCCTGTATATTACTCCATTCTTGGAATGAATTGGCCCTTTCATTCTGGATAATCAATTAACTGGGGGTCATTATTTACAATTTTTGCATGATAATTTACCCAACCTCAATCCTCTGGATTTTTATTTTTGAAGTCACTGTGTTTTTAAGTGTTTTATGTATTCTTCATTGAAAGTAAATTTCACGGATATCTAGGAAACTAAAAAACTTTTGCTACAATTTTTTTCACCTATTAGTCATTATTTGTCATGAGGAATAAATCCCCAAGTTTATGTGTATAGGTTGAGAATCACCCTGTATATAATATGTAATATGTGTTTTGACAGGTGTAAGAGTGCATGCACTTTTTTGCATAAATAAAGAAATATTAATAACTAAATAATTAAATTAAAAACTCGAAACTCGCTAAATAAATTCGTCTACAGTAAACCTTTACGCTCCGCGAATATTATGGATTTATCTTCACGCGTTCAAATTATATAGGGTGTGCTCGTGAATTATTTCCAACAGTGTATCAGTTTTTACCTTCTTCAAACTTTTGGAAGAGTAAATCAACATGCGCTCTATTTCCAGGTACTCGATAAATTCCTTCAGAGTCTAAACCTTCATTTTCAATAAATCTGACACATTTTTCTAAGAATAATGGAACGTAGTTTTTGTCGGACTAAAAAAAATAATTATTTGACTCAACTTAAGTTTTAAATTTTAAATTTACCTGTATAAAATCAGCTATTTTAGGAATACCACTAGTCGAGGCCGACTTTTGTTTTAATTTTTGGTGCTTTTTCTTATCGCGATCTTTATCTTTATTTTCGGCAACTTTCCGTAATTTCTCCTCTTTCAATCGGCGCTTCTCCAACTTTGAGTCATCCTTAATTTTTTGCTTTTCTCGCTTTCTCAGTAACTTTTCTCGATCGGAATCTTTTTGTTTCGGTAAAACCCCAAACTGGAAAACAATTATTACGTCACGAATGAAATTTTAATTGTTATATTTTAATTTGAACCATTGGCGAGTTGTTGTCCCTCGGCGATGAAACATCCAAACTTGATTCATCGTCGTGAATCATTCCCGGAAAAGAGTTCGGTTTTCCAGAGAACAATTCCGGGGAATTTAATTGAATGCTGAGCGTGTTATGTAATTCAGGAGGTAACGGTACCACAACCGGAATCGGACGTTTTTTGAGACTATATGAACTGTTGGCAACAAAACGTCGCCGATCCGTTGGGACAAATTGTTCATCGCTACCTTCTGAAGATTCCGAGTTAGACTCGCTTGGCACTAAATAAAAACATTATAAACAAAGAAAATCAAAAAATTATTGTGATGGATGATAATTACCATTAGCTTTATCTGTATCTAATTCTGTGTTTTGGGTGGTGTGAGCCGCGGGTAAAGTGAAACTACCTAATTGTGGTACACGGGGTGGTTGAACTGGTATAGGGGTGGTCCGTTTTTTGCGGGGCCTCTTATGCGTCGCTGCCTTTCGGTTTACCTTGGAATAGACCTCGCTTGCTCGTTGTCTCCTCTCTAAGCTACTCCATTCGCTATCTGTATCCGAATACGCTTTTAACAATGAAATAAATTAATAAATTCTTCATATTTGTAGGGTATATTTACATGGTTGTCCCTTTTCTCGTCGCTGCCGCAGTTTACTCTTACCACTCACGGCGTCTTGTACGAGAGCGTAAGTGTAATCATCTTGCGCGTACTTATTCTGCACCATATCCTTAACCTGCGCATACTCGGACCCCAAATCTACAACTTCCGGTGTTGCCAAAGGTGCATTTCCGAAATTACGACTATCCTTACCGCTAATATTCATTCGGGCAATGGCTTCCGTCACCATTGAGTAATTTTTAAGGTTTAATTTTCCCGGTTGCTGCAAAGTTTTTATCAAAAAAAATCTTTTTTTATTTCTTCCCTTACTTTTAACGTTTGGGACACTCCTTTTGGCCTGGTTTTGGGTGGAGTTACGTGTCTTCTTCCGGTTGTAAAAGCGTGCTGCCCATAATTATTCCAACCGCTTGGCATTTGTATAAGAGGTTCCACATCTCCGTCTAAAAAAATATCATTAACATATTAATCTTAAAAAATCACTAAATTCTGTGTTAAATAAAGAAATAAATATAAACAGTTAGTGCCATTCAACCATCACCTGAATCATGCGTAGCTAACGATTCTCTTGATCCGCTAATGTCAGCTATTAAACGTTTCATTATTTTAAATATGATCGCGCGAAACCAACGATAAATACTTACAAGTTATTTCATCTAAACTAGTTTGAGATGCCGATAAAATTTGAGCACGTTTTTGCCGGGAGTTTATCAGATGATCTGGAGGAGCTGGTTCTGGAGGCGTTGTTGGTGGTGGGTAAACGTGAAAACCTATTAAATTGGTTAGTTCACAACCAGAAATTACAATATACAGGGTGTCTCAGCGAGATCGTTCATTAAACGTTTATGGGGTTCTGGCAAAAATAAAAATTTCAAAATTTAGATTTAAGTATAACAGTAAAATAGATAGAATACTTCCTGGGTGTAAAAATCCAAAAATCCCTAATTATATCCCAAAACATTAATGTTAGAAATAGGACATATGGGGTATAAAAGATGTGAAATGAAACGCAGAAGTCGACTAAGTAATAAAATATGGGAGGTAATATTTAAAAAAATGAAGTTATGGTACTTCCAAATTTCGAAAAGTTAATGTGCCATAATAAAGTGACCACATGATCTAGACAGTCGTCCTCGGCACCAAAACATACTCATGATGTTGCTTAAACGTTCTGAATAATAAATTAATATCGCTGGGACACCCCATATATTTCATTTAATTTGAAAACTATTACCATAAATACTAGTGATGGAACGGATAGTGATTTATACGAATTTTTAAATCTTAATTGGCGAAAATTGCAAAATTCGAAAAAATTGTCGGCTTGTTGCATTAAAAAGAGGATACTTTAATTAATAATTGGTGATATTTCCACAAGGATCTTTCAAGAAATTAATTTTATAGCGAATTTTGGAAATTATCGATAAAAATTGCAAATTATCAAAACTTGAAATATTGTTTTCTCAAAAACTAAAAGTTATTTTTCAAAACGGGTTGGTTCATTGGAAAGAGGACACTTTTATTAACACTTTGGGAAATTTTCATACTCATATTCCAAGAAATGGATTTTATACGAATTTTTAAAACTTAATCGGCGAAAATTGCAAAATTCGAAAAAATTGTCGATTATTTCAAAAATTTATTTCTCAAGAACTAAAAGTGATTTTTCAAAACGGCTTGTTGCATTAAAAAGAGGATACTTTAATTAATAATTGGTGATATTTCCACAAGGATCCTTCAAGAAATTAATTTTATAGCGAATTTTGAAAATTATCGATGAAAATTGCAACATCGAAAATTTTATCAAAACTTCAAATATTGTTTTCTCAAAAACTAAAAGTTATTTTTCAAAACGGGTTGGTTCATTGGAAAGAGGACACTTTTATTAACACTTTGGGAAATTTTCATACTCATATTCCAAGAAATGGATTTTATACGAATTTTTAAAACTTAATCGGCGAAAATTGCAAAATTCGAAAAAATTGTCGATTATTTCAAAAATTTATTTCTCAAGAACTAAAAGTGATTTTTCAAAACGGCTTGTTGCATTAAAAAGAGGATACTTTAATTAATAATTGGTGATATTTCCACAAGGATCCTTCAAGAAATTAATTTTATAGCGAATTTTGAAAATTATCGATGAAAATTGCAACATCGAAAATTTTATCAAAACTTCAAATATTGTTTTCTCAAAAACTAAAAGTTATTTTTCAAAACGGGTTGGTTCATTGGAAAGAGGACACTTTTATTAACACTTTGGGAAATTTTCATACTCATATTCCAAGAAATGGATTTTATACGAATTTTTAAAACTTAATCGGCGAAAATTGCAAAATTCGAAAAAATTGTCGATTATTTCAAAAATTTATTTCTCAAGAACTAAAAGTGATTTTTCAAAACGGCTTGTTGCATTAAAAAGAGGATACTTTAATTAATAATTGGTGATATTTCCACAAGGATCCTTCAAGAAATTAATTTTATAGCGAATTTTGAAAATTATCGATGAAAATTGCAACATCGAAAATTTTATCAAAACTTCAAATATTGTTTTCTCAAAAACTAAAAGTTATTTTTCAAAACGGGTTGGTTCATTGGAAAGAGGACACTTTTATTAACACTTTGGGAAATTTTCATACTCATATTCCAAGAAATGGATTTTATACGAATTTTTAAAACTTAATCGGCGAAAATTGCAAAATTCGAAAAAATTGTCGATTATTTCAAAAATTTATTTCTCAAGAACTAAAAGTGATTTTTCAAAACGGCTTGTTGCATTAAAAAGAGGATACTTTAATTAATAATTGGTGATATTTCCACAAGGATCCTTCAAGAAATTAATTTTATAGCGAATTTTGAAAATTATCGATGAAAATTGCAACATCGAAAATTTTATCAAAACTTCAAATATTGTTTTCTCAAAAACTAAAAGTTATTTTTCAAAACGGGTTGGTTCATTGGAAAGAGGACACTTTTATTAACACTTTGGGAAATTTTCATACTCATATTCCAAGAAATGGATTTTATACGAATTTTTAAAACTTAATCGGCGAAAATTGCAAAATTCGAAAAAATTGTCGATTATTTCAAAAATTTATTTCTCAAGAACTAAAAGTGATTTTTCAAAACGGCTTTTTGCATTAAAAAGAGGATACTTTAATTAATAATTGGTGATATTTCCACAAGGATCCTTCAAGAAATTAATTTTATAGCGAATTTTGAAAATTATCGATGAAAATTGCAAATTATCAAAACTTCAAATATTGTTTTCTCAAAAACTAAAAGTTATTTTTCAAAACGGGTTCATTGGAAAGAGGACACTTTTATTAACAGTTTGGGAAATTTTCATACTCATATTCCAAGACATGAATTTTATACGAATTTTTAAAACTTAATCGGCGAAAATTGCAAAATTCTCGATCATTTCAAAAATTTATTTCTCAAAAACTAAAAGTGGTTTTGCAAAACGGCTTAAAAAAAAGTTATTATTCAAAACGGGTTGGTTCATTGGAAAGAAGACACTTTTGACTATCCTGCCGGATATCCGTTCCACCACTAATAAATACTAATTACTTATAAAGTTGATGATAAATAATATTTTTACCTTGCAAATTATGTCTCTTCTTTGATGATATAATATCTCCGTTTTCGCTGCCGTACATGTAAATTTGAGAATATTTATCACTATGGTCGCTCTCGTCGGGACCGTTTAGGTCCGTTAGTTGTTCGTAATGTTCACTACCACTCCTAGATTTGTAAATTTTTTTACATCTTTTTTTTGAGCCAATGAAAAAGATTCGAAATGTATAATAGAAGGTCGCATAAACTCTTCACAACCCTTTTATATGTATTTTACGTCTAGTGGTTTATTTCAAAATTATTTGACTTACCCGTCGAGTTTTAAATGATAACTTTCGTGCCTTGGGGGAGGTAACGGATGGCCTCTTTGCGATCTTGGATGTTCTAGTGTACCTTCGCCGCTATCGTCTAATCCGGCCGGCTCCTCCATATGGAATGCTTGTTCTATTTCCGGCTTTTTCTCCCAAACTTCCTTGAAGAAAGGTGTGAAAAATGCGGCTAAAAAAAGTTTTGTAAAAAAAACAAATATTTTTATCTTAAATACGTCATACTTTTTTGTTGGCTATTGGCAGATGATGTAGTAAAATGTGCATGTAATCGATCCGCTGTAGCGTTACCCTCTGTTATTAGAGCGTGACTTAAATCGTTGTTAAAGAACGCATTCGCTGCATTGGAATCGGTAACAGCGAGAATTTGAATAGGTAGATTTGGAATGTTCATAGAAAAAGCGTTTAACGTTGCAAGTGATGCTTTCCTTTTGGTGGAATAAACGAGTATAAATCCATGTACTAATTCGTCTCTAAAAGCGTTGGCACCGTGGAATGAGGAAATGATGACCTCGACTTTGCGTTTGGAATCGCCGAGGAACGTTTCGAGTATTATACTGCGAGCGGCCGAAAGGAAGCAACATTGATGAGATAGTAAGGGAGCCAAAACGTTCTCCACCGAATACGGATCACCGCAAAACATGCACATAATTATTCGAATATCCGGTTCGACGCACTCAATAACGGATTGATAAATAAAGAAGCCGGCGCGATGGTGTATACTTTGCACTAGACGATGGAGGGCGTCGGATACGAGTTGTTCGTCGCTAACTTGGTCAAGACAAACGTCCATAAACGGACATTGAAGACTATCGGCAAGACTTTGACCTTCTTCTCTTAATTTTAAAATATCCTTTTCTTCGATGAATGAATCTTGAATAAACATTAATACTATCGGTAAACCTTGGAATGGGAGCTTATCCTCTTGTTCCAAATTTGAAAGAAGTGTTTTTTCTAAACTCTCGCGAATGTATTCGAATGATTCCGCGTTTGAATATATGCAAAAACTACCGTGCGGTATAAACTCTGCCGTGCGGAATGAGTTATGCGGTAAGCTAACGTCCCCAGTTATTGTTCTGTAATCTAAACTGTAGAATTGGCAATCTATTTCGTACTCATCGTCTTCACATTGTGCCCTAATTTTCGCAGCGAACTCTTCCGCCAGGTTGTTGATACCCAGCAAAACGAGATTCAACTGATTATTGTCTGAGTTAAGAAGCCACTGCGTGCTTCGGTTCCAAGAAGACGGTCTATGCGCCTTAGTCATTAATATCCTTTCAATCAACGCATCCATACAATTCGGATAAGCCGGACAATGTTCCCTTCGCGGATGATGAACGAAACCCAAGTGCTGAAATAGCATCAACTTCCTGTCCTGGTCCAACCTATCTAGCATTTTATACCTACACAATTTTACGTCAAAAATAAACAATTTATATTAGTATGAGATGATTACAACTCATCATCTCACCTGAAATCGTCCTGCAGGACATCAGTTATATCTTTGATGTCTTCTTGCGTTATCGTACCTGCAGGAGCGATCGATTTGAAATGATAGAATAGATCGGCATGTTCCAAGAGTAATTCCTACAAAAAAAATTATTACATACAAAAAAATTTTAACTTAAAATAGAGACTCTTTCTCTCTGCGCATATAAATATATGTAATAATAATATGTAATATACAGGCTGAGTTATTAATATCCCTGCGGACGATATTTGCTAAACCGTTTGGGAAAGAAGAAAATGCTTTATACAATTTATTACGTAAGATTATTTTTCCTTATATAAACTGTTCCATGTAGATATTTTTAAATGGAACACCCTGTATATTTTATCATGTTGTGAATAGCATTAAATTTGTTTATACAACCGTATATGTTACTAACTCATCAAGTTACCTTTAATTAATGATAAGTATGTCACAAATCTAACTTTAGTAGTTTTCCTGATATTTAGAATTTAACGAATAATATGTAATAAAATATGCATTATTGTACTTAATATTATATTCTGTCTATTTTTATCCGTTTTTTTGTTCTTCCTTTTATTAATATTTTATAATGTAAAATAACATACAAGATTTTAATAAAAAAATTCATAAACAGATAAAAACTTCTAACTTGCTTTATTGTAATATATAAATCGGAACCGGTTTCGAAATGAACGTTCCATCATCAGCCGAAATTGTCATAGAAAGTAATAGGCGAGAAGAGATTTATTCAGCCTCTTCTTCTCTCTCCGCCAATATGGTTGTTTCGTAACACCGAATACATTAAATAAATTCTTATTTTTCTCCAATTTTTGATGACCATCGGTCACTAATTTGTTTCACATTTTTTATAACGATCCACGTTTCACACTTTTGTAACTTTAACTAAGAATTTAATTTTCAACGTTCAATTTAACTTAACTTTTATAACAAATTAAATTTAACTTTTTTGATTCTTTCGGCTGATGATGGAACGTTGATTCCGAAACCGGTTCCGATTTATATATTACAATAAAGCAAGTTAGAAGTTTTTATCTGTTTTTGAATTTTTTTATATTTTTCACTTGCAACATGGATAATTGGTTAGATTTTAATAAGACTACTTTATGAGATTTAAAAAGATGTAAGTAATAAAATATGCAGTTGTTCTGCCATATAATTTACGACTTTAGTGAAAATAAGATGCACATGTTAAGAGATACCGCAAGATCTTTTATACAGCGCATTAATCCTTGTAGAAGAAAAAATGGGCGGCATTTTTGACAACTTATAAATATTAATTAAACTAATGAGCAACATTTAGTAATTGTTTATAGTTTGTTGCTGCATTTCCTTCAAATAATTTAGTAATTAAGAAAGGGATTTATTGTTATGCTATTTAATTGTATTTTTATCACGTTTTGATTATTTATTTATTAAAGTTTTTTTTAAACTGTACTTTAATATAATATTACTGATTTAGAAATGACAAACAAAAAAGTGACAAAAAAAGGACAGAATATATTACATTCTGTTACTTTTTTAAGTACAATAATGACATTTTATTACACATTTTGCTTTAAATTCTAAATATCAGGAAAACTATTAAAGTTAGGCATATGACATAACTATCATCAATTAAAGGGAACTTGATGAGCAATTCAACTAGTACACAATATACGGGGTGTTCCGTTTAAAAAACTTAAGAAAAAGCCATTTGAAAAACATCAAAAGTAACTAAGCTTTATAAACAGCCTGTATAGTGTATCTAATATCTTTGAATACTATCATCTACCTACTGGCTTTGACTATTGTGTGACGTAGTTTCAAGGCAAAATCAGCAAAAATGTCGTTTTTGACATATTTTATTATACATTTTTCTTTAAATTCTAAACATCAAGAAAACTATTCAAGTTAGGCATATGACATACCTATCATTAATTAAAGAGAATTTGATGGGCAATTCTACCAGCACACAATATACGGGGTGTTCCGTTTAAAAAACTTAAGAAAAAGCCATTTGAAGAACATCAAAAGTAACTAAGCTTTATAAACAGCCTGTATAGTGTATCTAATATCTTTGAATACTATCGTCTACCTACTGGCTTTGACTATTGTCTGACGTAGTTTCAAAGCAAAATCAGCAAAAATGTCGTTTTTGACATATTTTATTAAACATTTTTCATTAAATTCTAAATATCAGGAAAACTATTAAAGTTAGACATGACATATTTATCGTTAATTAAAGGCAACTTTAAAGCAATTCAACTAGCACACAATATACAGGTGTTCCATTTAAAAAACTTAAGAAAAAGCCATTTGAAAAACATCAAAAGTATCTAAGTTTTATAAACAGCCTGTATAGTGTATCTAATATCTTTGAATACTATCATCTACCTACAGGCTTTGACTATTGTCTGGCGTAGTTTCAAGGCAAAATCAGCAAAAATGTCGTTTTTGACATATTTTATTACAAATTTTTCTTTAAATTCTAAATATCAGGAAAAGTATTAAAATTAGACATATGACATACTTATCATTAATTAAAGGGAACTTGATGGGCAATTCAACCTGCACACAATATACGGGGTGTTCCGTTTAAAAAACTTAAGAAAAAGCCATTTGAAAAACATCAAAAGTAACTAAGCTTTATAAACAGCGTGTATAGTGTATCTAATATCCTTGAATACTATCATCTACCTACTGGCTTTGACTATTGTGTGGAGTAGTTTCAAGGAAAAATCAGCAAAAATGTCGTTTTTGACATATTTTATTATACATTTTTCTTTAAATTCTAAACATCAAGAAAACTATTAAAGTTAGGCATATGACATACCTATCATTAATTAAAGGGAACTTGATGGGCAATTCAACCAGCACACAATATACGGGGTGTTCCATTTAAAAAACTTAAGAAAAAGCCATTTGAAAAACATCAAAAGTAACTAAGCTTTATAAACAGCCTGTATAGTGTATCTAATATCTTTGAATACTATCATCTACCTACTGGCTTTGACTATTGTGTGGCGTAGTTTCAAGGCAAAATCAGCAAAAATGTCGTTTTTGACATATTTTATTATACATTTTTCTTTAAATTCTAAACATCAAGAAAACTATTAAAGTTAGGCATATGACATACCTATCATTAATTAAAGGGAACTTGATGGGCAATTCAACCAGCACACAATATACGGGTGTTCCATTAAAAAAACTTAAGAAAAAGCCATTTGAAAAACATCAAAAGTAACTAAGCTTCATAAACAGCCTGTATAGTGTATCTAATATCTTTGAATACTATCATCTACCTACAGGCTTTGACTATTGTCTGACGTAGTTTCAAGGCAAAATCAGCAAAAATGTCGTTTTTGACATATTTTATTACAAATTTTTCTTTAAATTCTAAATATCAAGAAAAGTATTAAAGTTAGGCATATGACATACCTATCATTAATTAAAGGGAACTTGATGGGGAATTCAACCAGCACACAATATAGGGGGTGTTCCGTTTAAAAAACTTAAGAAAAAGCCATTTGAAAAACATCAAAAGTAACTAAGCTTTATAAACACCTGTATAGTGTATCTAATATCTTTGAATACTATCATCTACCTACTGGCTTTGACTATTGTGTGACGTAGTTTCAAGGCAAAATCAGCAAAATGTCGTTTTTGACATATTTTATTATACATTTTTCTTTAAATTCTAAGCATCAAGAAAACTATTAAAGTTAGGCATATGACATACCTATCATTAATTAAAGGGAACTTGATGGGCAATTCAACCAGCACACAATATACAGGCTGTTCCATTTAAAAAACTTAAGAAAAAGCAATTTGAAAAACATCAAAAGTAACTAAGCTTTATAAACAGCGTGTATAGTGTATCTAATATCTTTGAATACTATCATCTACCTACTGGCTTTGACTATTGTCTGACGTAGTTTCAAAGCAAAATCAGCAAAAATGTCGTTTTTGACATATTTTATTACTCATTTTTCTTTAAATTCTAAATATCAGGAAAACTATTAAAGTTAGGCATATGACATACCTATCATTAATTAAAGGGAACTTGATGGGCAATTCAACCAGCACACAATATACGGGGTGTTCCGTTTAAAAAACTTAAGAAAAAGTCATTTGAAAAACATCAAAAGTAACTAAGCTTTATAAACAGCCTGTATAGGGTATCTAATATCTTTGAATACTATCATCTACCTACTGGCTTTGACTATTGTGTGGCGTAGTTTCAAGGCAAAATCGGAAAAAATGTCGTTTTTACATCGTTATTAAAAAGATCCTGTAATGGGCACATTTTGGAAGAACAATTGAATATCTTAGGAACTATGAACGCTGTGAAATAGTAACATATACAGTTGTATAAACAAATTTAGTTGTATTCATAATATGATAAAATATACAGGATGTTCCATTTAAATAAAATAATTAAAATGGAACATTCTGCATAAGTAAAAATAATTTTACGTAATGAGTCAAACAACTTTTGTATAAAATATTTTTTTGTTTTTCAAACGGTTTAGTAACTATCGACCGCCTATACGGGATATTAATAATTCACCCTGTATATCTATTAATAAAATAAATTAAAATTGAAGTTATAGTCCCCAAAAAGATAACTAATAAGTGCAAATAAAAACTACATAGAGTAACATAAATAAAAAAATTATAAGTTCGGTGCGGTTTTATAAAAAAAACTCGGTTGAAGAGAATGGGTGATGGAAGAGATGAGAAATAGATACCTGAAAGTTGTGTTTTGCGTTTTCAATAAGTTCCCGTTGGTGTGCGTCATAGATTTGCTGACAATCGTGTTCAGAGAGTGCCTCGAAACATTCCCTACCCATAAACAGTACGCGCACCTCGGATAGATGTTTGCCAGGCGTAACGTAGCCCGTGTCCTCAAGAAGTTGCTTAAATTGTTTCTTCCATCTAAACAAAACAGACTCGTTACGACGGGCTGGCCCGCGCGCGACCGCGACATTTTTTACCTTTTTGGCATCCTAACGTTAGTTTTTGTTTACGTTAGACAGGAGAGTTTACGAGAACAGAGAGAAACGAGTTTGCATTAGTGAAGCGTATTTACAAAAAATAAAGCGAACGACAGAAAACCACCGGAAGCCCGAGCGTTTTTTTTTTTCGCGATGCCGGCGCCCTCCCGTTTTTTTACTTACTCTAAACGCTTCTGCTCCTGTTGCAACACATTTACATGGTTTTTGTACACCGTTTCGGCGTCGCTTGTATCTAAAACGTCGTAAGGAATTCTTGTATCTTCATCATCCGAATTAAATTCACATTCCGTCCATGGCATATCTTCAGGACATTCATAAAAATATTGTAGAAAATCCGGGTGTGATTTTAAATATTGTTGTATAGAGGACCAATCACTAAATTAAAATTTAAAAAATAATTATAGAAATAAATTTATTTGATTTAAATTTGGTACCTATCAGAAAATGTATTTACGTCCGGAACTAATTCGTGTAAAATATCCGGTAACATTTTCATGTAATGAGCGATGCGTTTAGCTAATTGTTCATCTTTCAACTTTTTAATGTGTCGCCGGAAGAGCCTTTGTGTTCCATCGAGACCAAATAATTGCACAAAATAGATCCATTCGCGGTGCGAGTTCAATTTTTTAACAGTTTGTGACCAAAGAGCTCGATAATCCGTTACGTGGATTTTAATGAGTTTTAAGAAAGCCTCGCTCGCCGCGTCCATTAACTCTTTACGCGCTTTTGAGGCCTCTGTATATGAAACAACCTTCGAACGTACCTTACTTCTATCTACCATTTGCGCTAGCAGTATAAATGCTAAATCTACATTGACGTTATCGTGGGCCGAAGTTTCCACTAACGGTATAGCACCTTTGTATTCTTTTCTTTGTACTAATTTTTCCGCCTCGCGTACGTACGCCTCGTTGCAATCATCCTGTTTTGTTGTCACAACAACTATTGGCTTCTTTGTTTTTATTAGATTATTTAAAATCGCCGCTACGAACTCAACTTGTTTTTCTATCGACCTACTCGGCACCACACTTACGTCAAACACGCATATAAACCCATCCACATTTAATTTTCCTTCAGCAAGTACTTTTTGTTCATATTCTTTTTCTATTCCCAATTGATTTTTACAGATGTACATCAATTTTTCTGCTGATGTTATTTTCGTTGAAGCACACCTTTTTACGTATGGTTCCATTTTGCCACCTTTAAAAGGTTGAAACGATGCATCATCAATAAATTCAGTTTGCTCAATAAGACTAAATTGGTAGTCGATGCCTTCCTCAGACGTTTTAATAACTTCCCCCCAATACAAGAAATGATCGTTGTTAACTACGCGACCGCTAAAGTCCGTCTAAACAAAGAAAAATGATTTTAATTTAATTAAAAGAGGTAAAATCAAAAAATTTACCTGACTAAGCACAGATATATGATCGACGTTGTAATCATCAGCGACGGACCTCATAAAACGATTGCAGAGGCACGATTTTCCAACCCCAGCGTGGCCCTTGTCGCGTTCCATACCCGACAACCCGACCACAGCCACATTTATGGCTCGCACAGCCTCTGCTTTCCTCGCCATCTTTAAAACCCTTTTTGGGAAGGTGATGTTTATGTTCCACTACTTTTGTCTGTATGCATCTTTTTCACAAACTAAAAAAAAAATTATTGAAATAGTAGAATAAATGTTTTGCGTATACTTGGTGTCCAAATATTTCTATCTATAAAACTCCAGTATAATTTATTTTATCAAAAAATAATTTGAATTGCCCTAAATGAGTAATGAGTCCTGCTCTGAATTAGGTATACAATGCTATTGATGATATTGATATTGATGGCAATTTGTAGCAAATTTTATTCTTAACAAAATTGATCACTGGCACTTTTGCTCTCAGATGCATAGATATCGAGAATAACACCAAAATATGAAGAATTCGTTTTTTTCAAACTATTGATGGTAGTTAGCAGTTGGGAATCTGAGCATGTTACAGAAAAACTTTTCCAACGAATGTTGTAGCAAATTTTATTCAAAACAAAATTGCTCTCTTGCACTTTTGCTCTCAGATGCATAGATATCGAGAAAAATACCAAAATATGATGAATTCGTTGTTTTTTCAAACTATTGATGATAGTTAGCAGTTGGGAATCTCAGCATGTTACAGAAAAACTTTTCCAACGAAAGTTGCAGCAAATTTTATTCTTAACAAAATTGCTCTCTTACACTTTTGCTCTCAGACGCATAGATATCGAGAAAAATACCAAAATATGAAAATATGACGAATTCGTTGTTTTTTCAAACAATTGATGGCAGCACTTGGGAATCTGAGCATGCAACAGAAAAACTTTTCGAATAAAAGTTGTAGCAAATTTCATTCTTAACAAAATTGCTCTCTTACACTTTTGCTCTCAGACGCATAGATATCGAGAAAAATACCAAAATATGAAAATATGACGAATTCGTTGTTTTTTCAAACAATTGATGGCAGCACTTGGGAATCTGAGCATGCAACAGAAAAACTTTTCGAACAAAAGTTGTAGCAAATTTTATTCTTAACAAAATTGCTCTCTTACACTTTTGCTCTCAGACGCATAGATATCGAGACAAATACCAAAATATGAAAATATGATGAATTCGTTTTTTTCAACTGTTGATGGTAGTTAGCACTTGGGAATCTGAGCATGTTACAAAGAAACTTTTCTAACGAAAGTTGTAGCAAATTTTATTCTTAACAAAATTGCTCTCTTGCACTTTTGTATTCAGATGCATAGAAATCGAGAAAAATACCAAAATATGACGAATTCGTTGTTTTTTCAAACTATTGATGGTAGCACTTGGGAATCTAAGCATGCTACAGAGTAACTTTTCGAATAAAAGTTGTAGCAAATTTCATTCTTAACAAAATTGCTCCGTTACACTTTTGCTCTCAGATACATAGATATTGAGACAAATACCAAAATATGAAAATATGATGAATTCGTTTTTTTCAACTGTTGATGGTAGTTAGCACTTGGGAATCTGAGCATGTTACAAAGAAACTTTTCTAACGAAAGTTGTAGCAAATTTTATTCTTAACAAAATTGCTCTCTTGCACTTTTGTATTCAGATGCATAGATATCAAGAATAACACCAAAATATGAAAATATGATGAATTCGTTTTTTTCAAACTATTGATGGTAGTTAGCAGTTTGGAATCTGAGCATGTTACAGAAAAACTTTTCCAACGAAAGTTGTAGCAAATTTTATTCTTAACAAAATTGCTCTCTTGCACTTTTGTGCTCAGACGCATAGATATCGAGAAAAATACCAAAATATGAAAATATGACGAATTCGTTGTTTTTTCAAACAATTGATGGCAGCACTTGGGAATCTGAGCATGCAACAGAAAAACTTTTCGAATAAAAGTTGTAGCAAATTTCATTCTTAACAAAATTGCTCTCTTACACTTTTGCTCTCAGATACATAGATATTGAGACAAATACCAAAATATGAAAATATGATGAATTCGTTTTTTCAAACTATTGATGGTAGCACTTGGGAATCTGAGCATGCAACAGAAAAACTTTTCGAACGAAAGTTGTAGCAAATTTTATTCTTAACAAAATTGCTCTCTTGTACTTTTGCTCTCAGACACATAGATATCGAGAAAAATACCAAAATACCAACAAAAACAGAATGTAATATTAAGTACAATAATGACATATTTTAACATTTTTCTTTAAATTGTGAATATCACGAAAACTACTAAAATTGGGTATGTGATATACTTAACATAAATTAAAGAGAACTTGATGGACAATTAAATCAGCACATAATATACAGGATGTTCCATTTGCAAAACTTATAAAAAAACCATTTGAAAAACATCAAAATTTGTAATGTGTTGGAAAAACACTTGAATATCTCGAGAAGTATTTAACACCCTGTATAAATGAAAACAATTTTACATTATAGAAAGTAGAAAATCAAACAACTTTGGTTTAAAACATTTTTTTCTATCTCAAATGATTTAGTAGTTATTCAGGTAAAGTAACCTTTTTGTTCATGATACAGCAAAATTTTATCAAACAAAGCTGTTCAAAATGAGAAATTATGGTTGCATGCAAAATTCCAAAAAGATCTATCTACTTTGGTTGAATCGTCACATTTTAGATTAAACATTTTAGTATTTCTCGATTGTTTGAGCGAAAACTAGTTTGTTTAAGGCGATCCCATAAAAAAAATTAAAGATTGTAACGTTGTAACGCAATTGGACCATTTCTAGATATAATCTTTTCAAGTAGTTGTAGATAAGTATACTGATTTAACCATTAGTTGTCAAGTAGTGTCTTAACTAGTAGTATACATGTATTTGGAAATCTCTTATTAAACTACTGCACTACTGCTCTTAGTGTCTTCACTCTGATGTAAGCTAAATTTTAGATCTTTCTGAAATTTTGCCATATTATGAACAATAAGCTTTCTTTACCTGAATTAAAAATAGTTTTTGCTTCAATGACTGACTTGATTTTCAAAATATGAATATGATCTTCATCCTTAAAAGAGAGTTCAAAGATTTTTAGGTTACTATACCTCTTGTAACATCTATCTTGGGACACACTGTATATAAAATTTCTTAGCCTCAATTATTTAGTTACTAAAATGTTACTAGAATTCAGGAGAAACAAATTTGACATTGGAATGGAAAAAAATTAAAAATCTGACTTCTCTTGGTTTTTCTAAAAATATAAAAGCCATGTTTAAGGAGCACTTACACAGGAGAATTTACTTGTGTTGTTATTTATGGGTTTTAGGCTGTAATAAATAATAAAAAGCAAGTATAGAGCACCCAAAGAGGACAAAATAATGTTAAATCGCTTACTTACCAGTACAAAAAAAATTATAATTTACACTTCAAGTATTTGACACAATCCTTATGTTTTAATAACTAATAAAAAGATATCAATAAGGTCAATTAGATTAATAAAATATAATCTGATTAAATTTTATCATTTTTATAACATTCCCATATTAATTTGTGACCTCTCCTGGTTAATTTACCATATTTCTAAAGAACTGGATTAAGCTTTGAAAACACATTTTGGACACCATGTATATCAAAAGGAAGGATCAATTTGGTTGAAATTGTGATAAAAAATAAAAGAAATGTGTAAGAATGGACGATGTAATTGGAAAAACGGTGAATAATAATTTTTCACAGGTGACAGGAAAATTTCGTGCAAACAACAAGAGGGTCTTAACATATAACTTTACCTTATTGTTGCAATTAAACATGATAGTGTTCCATTCATGAATCATGTTTGGGCGAGTTCTTAATATGAAAGGTGAAAAAATGCCATACTATAAACTGAGGCTGCTATGATCTAGAGGCTGTCAGATATCTACACCCATAAGCGACGAACGAAGAGCATACTAAACCGTTGACTGCTTAATAATTTTCGATTAGATTCGCGTCGTAATCGTGAGAATTGTTTCGGGTTCCTTTAAATTTGTTTCCGGTTAGATTATTCTAAACTTAGAGAGAAAGCACTGTCAATTTAACATTATACTACCGACCACCCACTGTACGCCATTACTGTTGGAGGGGAGGTGTTGGAAGATCAGCGCTCAATAGACACTACTACTGGGCATAATGGCTGACTTCCCTGGATTTTGATTTTTTTTATAACAAACATCTCAGAAAAAAAAATTAACATTCATTCGCATCACGAGATTAAACTCACTATAATAATTTTAATTTCTAATTTACTCTTTAAAAAACCTTGGACGACCACACCGCGAACTATCCACTTATTCAATCTGCAACAATTTAACAACAAGAGATTTTACCATATCTTAAAATAAAGCGCATTCTTTTCATAATCTAATATACAATGTTATATATAATTATAATAATATAAAATAGCACACAAAATTTCAATATATTTAACACATTTTCAAACAACCATTTATTTGTTTTTAAAGGAAATATCAAAATAAACATTAAAACGTGATAAGAATTTATTTTTTATTAAATTATCAATTTTATTTATAAAAATCTAAACATTACTTAAACAATTTGTATAATAACGAGAAGATAGGTACAAAATAAATTTAATGTTGGTATTTCGATAATAGAGAGCGCTTCTACACAATTATACAGGTGGTCCATTTAATATAAGACTTCATTTTAATAAGATTTATTTTACATAAAAATGAATCAAATGAAAGTTGTTTTGTGCGAAGGGATCTAAATAATTTTTTTATTCAAATAGTTTTAAATATTGTTTATTTATAAAAAAATGATTAATCAACAAGTATAAAATAAAATAAATATAAATAAAATTTGAAGGAAAGACATTACGCAAATATTCAATTCATTTTGAGTCATTTTATTGATTTTCGAGAATTGTACCAACTTAGAAACCTTCGTGGGCTCATGCACAACAACTTTGCTAAAGATCATCACATGATTAAATGCATAGTTTACGATTCTATAAAGGACACATAGAAAAACATTCATTTTTAAATATACAGGATGATTCATTAGCTCTATGACAAACTTTGGCAGATGAAAGGTGATGCGATTCTAAGGAAAAAATGTTATGTGAATATGGGTCCGATTCATTTTGGTTAAAGAGTTACAAGCCTTTGAAAATTTTACACAGTTTAATAGGCAAATGAAAATGTAACATAAAAAATAAGTTTAAAAATTACAAAAATTGTTCGAAATGTCCGCCTTCAGCTTGAATGCACGCTTCACATCGACGAAGTAAAGATTTGCAACAATCGCAACAATAATTATGAAACACAAATACAGAGTTGGCTGTGATAACAAAACTGAGTTCTTTATGTCAAACATTTCAATTTACTCTATTCTGTGTGTTTCAAAGTTTATAATTGTCAGAGTTTTGATCGAAAACGAAAATGCATGTATTTACGACTGAAGAATATGCAGATATTATTTTTGTATACGGGCTTTGTAACGGAAACGCTCGGCAAGCAGCAAGAGAATACCTTCGTAGGTTTCCAAATAGACATCAACCTGCCCATACAGTGTTTAGTGCATCATTTCGCAGACTGAGAGAAACAGGTAACCCCGCTCCACTACATTCCGTTCGTCCCCATGATGTGAATGTACAAAATGAAGAACGTGTTATTGATTTAGTACTTGACGACCCTTCAATTAGTACTCGGCGTATAGCGAGCATGTTACAAATATCCCAAAGTTTTGTATGGCGTGTATTGAATCGAGAAATGTTACATCCGTTTCATCGCCAAAATGTTCAAGCATTACATCCTGGAGATACTGAGCAACGCTTAGCATTTTGCCACTGGATTATTCAGCAACATGCTCAAAATAATAACTTCATTTCCCAAGTTCTGTGGTCTGATGAAGCGTGTTTCACTAGGGACGGCATAAATAATTATCATAACGAACATGTGTGGTCCTTGCAAAATCCACATGCAATTAGACCAGGAAGATTTCAGCAACGGTTTAGTGTAAACGTTTGGGGTGGCATTTTTAACAATTCTTTGCTACCTGTATGGGTGATAAATGAACGCTTAAATGCAAATATGTACAGAAATTTCTTGGGACATAACCTTTTCGATTTTATCGACGACGTACCACTTAACATCGTTCAAAATATGTGGTATCAGCACGATGGTGCACCACCACATCGAGGAAGAGAAGTCATCGCTTGGTTACATGAACATTTTCCAAACAAATGGATTGGCAATGGAGGTCCAGTAGTCTGGCCACCACGATCCCCAGATCTAAATCCGCTGGATTATTATTTCTGGGGACACATGAAGCAGCTTGTGTACCATGTAGAAATTACTACCCGTCAGCAACTACTGGACAGAATTCAAGATGCAGCTAATAGCATACGGAATGATCCAAATATCATACGTCGTGTGATAGAATCTTTACTTCGTCGATGTGAGGCGTGCATTCAAGCTGAAGGCGGACATTTCGAACAATTTTTGTAACTTTTAAACTTATTTTTTATGTTACATTTTCATTTGCCTATTAAACTGTGTAAAATTTTCAAAGGCTTGTAACTCTTTAACCAAAATGAATCGGACCCATATTCATATAACATTTTTTCCTTAGAATCGCATCACCTTTCATCTGCCAAAGTTTGTCATAGAGCTAATGAATCACCCTGTATAGATGTTCAAATATTTCCCCACTCACTTCAATACATTTATTAACCCTTCTACTAAAACTTTCTTTATATCTTAAAAGGTTTTCTTGGCTAATATTTCTGCATGCATTTCTTATCCGATCCTGCATGCGATAAACATTATCCTTAAGGACAACATTAGCCTCCATTTCTTCCAGTGTTATCTCTTCTCCTCCTTGCACCTCTCGCTCTCTCTCTCCCAGTCTTCTCTCTTCCAACCCTCCCAATAATCCCATGAAGTAGGTTCTCCATTCAGTCATTTGTATCCTCTTCCTCATCCTCTTTAAGTATCTCCATACCTCACTTTCCTCTTTCAACTCCTTAATCTTCTCAGTCTCCCTTTCCTTCAGTTCCCTCCTCTTTTTTTCTCGCATTCTTCTTTGTATTTTCCCCTGGCCTCTATATATCTATCTATCTCTACCTCTCCTCTCTGCCACTGTCTTAATTTCCTTATAGCTTCTCTCTTGGCCTCTTTGCATTTCCTATCCCACCATTTGTTTCTTCCTAGTCTAATCGCCCCCCTAACCACCTCAACTAGTTCATTCAACCCGTCGGTCCTCTCCACCCTCTGACCCCAGCTTGCCAACTTTCCCCTATAATGTTCTATCCTCTCTTTCGACCAATCTACCCTAATGTATTTTCCACCGTGTTCCATTATCTTTCTGTTCCTTCTTCCCCTCGATCCCTTTATGCTGCTATTATGAGGCTGGTGATCCGACTCTACCAACGCAACTCAACCCAACCCTAAATGTTTCTATCCTCTCCCACATTCCTTGGTCCATTACCACATAATCTATCACTATGTATAGGTATATTCCCCTTCATCTCCTTCCTCCATATTCCCATTCAGTATTTCGATCAGGAAAACGTTCTTGATACAAAGTTATACTATCAGCAACTTTTCTGCCACTTTCTCCATAAATAAAAATCATTTCGACTTTTTCTGCCACACTTAGAGTGTCCATAATTTAATGGCTTAGTTTAACCACTTTGCCTTAATGTAAAACGATGGAATTAATTCAGAATTTGTTGCCAAGCAGTTTTTATGCAAATTTAGTTTTGCCTGTTGCATTTTAAAACAGTTCAAATAATTAAGTCTCTGAAAGCGATATTCTGAAAATGCCGACATCAGCAGCTCCACGAACTCTTGTTTTTTATGCGTTATTCTATTATCAAATTGACAAAGGTGGAGAAATGTCGGAACCTTTTAGACCTCTTTCTAAAGGTATTTCCGACGAGCCAGGTCACCCGATGTACCTCTTCTGGATTTTTTTTTGAGCATTCTTAAATAGTATTCTAAGAATTAAGAACTAAAGACAATGTATAGAAGCGGGTAGGAAAATGTTTAAAAATTCATAAATCTTATTTGTTCTTGCTAGATTATAAACGTTGGTTAATTGTTTCTAAAGAAAGATGTTTTGCCGTTCTACTGGCAAAACCACACAGTAAAATGTTTTTATTTTTATTTTTGAATTACTTTACTTTTATCCACAGATTCAGATTTTACAATAAAATATATAGGGTGCCATTGCAAAAATTGGTTGTGACCTTCATATAACCTTGAAAATAAGGTCAAGGTCAAAAAACGCACAGAACAACATTAATTTTTATGTAAAATGAACCGTTTTCGAGATAATCGCTTGTCTCACGTTAAATGGACCATCCTATATATTAAAATAATTTTTTAAAATTGCTACTCACATTGTAATTTAAATCTATACCTCCTAATTTAAATTCATGTCTCATCTATACATCTATACATAAATCATATTTATTTAAATTTAAATATAAAGTTGGTAAGATTGTAACCACTTAATTATTATTAACAATTCTAAACCGCAAATAAACACGATAAGATAGGCAACCGTAAACAAATTCCCAAAAAACCTAATCTTATCGGCCAACCAATTTATAACCCCGATTTAGCCCCAAAAAAAATCATTCCTTTTCAAAAATTGTGAAGTGTGCCACAATGATCGTAACAGAAGATATTTTCGATAATTTTAAAGACTCTGAAGGTCAAATAATTCCTATAAAACGCTACACTTGGCGAAATTGCAATGGAATAACCGTTCAAGTGATCGCTTATGGGTCAACAATAACGTCGATTCAAATTCCGGATAAAAATGGCGTTTTTGGTGATATTGTTATGGGGTTTGATGATATGGCGGGATATCGAAATTCTTTAAACCCTTATTTTGGCGCGACTGTTGGTCGAGTGGCGAATCGAGTTGGTTACGCTCGATTTTTTATCGGCGATCAACAATATCAAATATCGGCGAATTATAATAATACTCATCAACTTCATGGTGGGTTTAAAGGTTTTGATAAAGTCGTTTGGGAATCTTTTAAAAACGGGGATGAAGTTGTGATGAGTTATGATTCGAAGGATTTAGAAGAAGGTTATCCCGGAAACGTTTTAGTTAATGTTACATATTGTTTAACGGATGATAACGATTTTATCATCGATTTTAAAGCGACCACCACAAAACCGACGTTTATCAATTTAACAAATCATTCGTATTTTAATTTAGCTGGACACGATAAAGGTGCTGTTGAATTATACAAACACGTTATTAATATAAACGCTGATAAAACAACCGATGTTGATCAAGATTCTATTCCTACCGGAAAACTTTTAAATGTTGCTGGAACGATTTTTGACCTACAAATTCCTAAGATATTAGGAGACGTTATTCATAAAATTCCTGGATATAGCGGTTACGACCATAATTTTTGCATCAATAAAGGTGTTAAACAAGAAGAAGGATTTATTGCTAGGGTTTGTCATCCACCGAGCGGGAGGACACTCGAAATTTATGGTAAGCAACCTCGTGTTCAATTTTATACTTCCAATTTTTTACCTGGTGTAAGCAAAACTTTTTAATTTAGAAAAAATTTAATATCATTTTTTTTAACAGCAATCAAAACCGGGTGATGTTATAACAGGAAAGGGGTCTGCGAATTATTACAAACACGGAGCTCTCTGTTTGGAAACTCAAAATTACCCAGACGCCGCTAATCACGTAATTATAAATTTATCATCTTTATTGATCTTATTTTATTAATTTTTTTTTATTTAAGAACAACTTTCCAAAGTCGATTTATAACCCAGGGGAAACATATCATCACAGAATCGTATACAAATTCTACATAACAACATAAAAATATTGTTATTGCTAAAATATTGTTTATTATTGTAAAGAAGGGATACGTAATAAACTTATTATATCATATTAATAAGCGTAAAAATTTAATTAGATATGTTTAATACAATAAAGTAAAATATAATAATAAAAAAATTAGACCTAGAACGGCTAAACCAGAATGATTCTTGTTCTAAGTCTAGTGTTAGTTCTAGTAACAGTGCTAGTGTAAAACTAGAACTAACACTATACCTAGAACTAGAATCATTTGGGTTTAGCCGCAAGTCTCTAAAGACGGCTAAACCCAAATGATTCTAGTTCTAGGTATAGTGTTAGTTCTACATAGTAACACCGTTAGTTCTAGTTTTAATTGTTAAGCAGCGCTAGACCAAGAACTAGAATCTTTCGGCTTTAGCCGTCTTAAGAGACGTACGGCTAAACCCAAATGTTTCTAGTTCTAGGTCTAGTGTTAGTTATTGTTTTACACTAACACTGTTACTATGTAGAACTAACACTATATCTAGAACTAGAATCATTTGGGTTTAGCCGTCTTTAGAGACGTGCGGCTAAACCCAAATGATTCTAGTTCTAGGTACAGTGTTAGTTCTAGTTTTACACTAGCACTGTTACTAGAACTAACATTATACCTAGAACTAGAATCATTCGAGTTTAGCCGTCTTGAAAGATGTTTGGCTAAACCAGAATGTTTCTAGTTCTAGATCTAATTTTCTTATTATTATATTTTACTTTATTGTATTAAACATATCTAATTAAATTTTTGCGCTTATTAATATGATATAATAAGGTTATTACATATCCTTTCTTTACAATAATAAACAATATTTTAGCAGTAAAAATATTTTTATGTTGTTATGTAGAATTTGTATACGATTCTGTGATGATATGTTTCCCCTGGGTTATAAATCGACTTTGGAAAGTTGTTCTTAAATAAAAAAAAATNGGGATATCGAAATTCTTTAAACCCTTATTTTTGGCGCGACTGTTGGTCGAGTAGCGAATCGAGTTGGTTACGCTCGATTTTTTATCGGCGATCAACAATATCAAATATCGGCGAATTATAATAATACTCATCAACTTCATGGTGGGTTTAAAGGTTTTGATAAAGTCGTTTGGGAATCTTTTAAAAACGGGGATGAAGTTGTGATGAGTTATGATTCGAAGGATTTAGAAGAAGGTTATCCCGGAAACGTTTTAGTTAATGTTACATATTGTTTAACGGATGATAACGATTTTATCATCGATTTTAAAGCGACCACCACAAAACCGACGTTTATCAATTTAACAAATCATTCGTATTTTAATTTAGCTGGACACGATAAAGGTGCTGTTGAATTATACAAACACGTTATTAATATAAACGCTGATAAAACAACCGATGTTGATCAAGATTCTATTCCTACCGGAAAACTTTTAAATGTTGCTGGAACGATTTTTGACCTACAAATTCCTAAGATATTAGGAGACGTTATTCATAAAATTCCTGGATATAGCGGTTACGACCATAATTTTTGCATCAATAAAGGTGTTAAACAAGAAGAAGGATTTATTGCTAGGGTTTGTCATCCACCGAGCGGGAGGACACTCGAAATTTATGGTAAGCAACCTCGTGTTCAATTTTATACTTCCAATTTTTTACCTGGTGTAAGCAAAACTTTTTAATTTAGAAAAAATTTAATATCATTTTTTTTAACAGCAATCAAAACCGGGTGATGTTATAACAGGAAAGGGGTCTGCGAATTATTACAAACACGGAGCTCTCTGCTTAGAAACTCAAAATTACCCAGACGCCGCTAATCACGTAATTATAAATTTATCATCTTTATTGATCTTATTTTATTAATTTTTTTTTATTTAAGAACAACTTTCCAAAGTCGATTTATAACCCAGGGGAAACATATCATCACAGAATCGTATACAAATTCTACATAACAACATAAAAATATTGTTATTGCTAAAATATTGTTTATTATTGTAAAGAAGGGATACGTAATAAACTTATTATATCATATTAATAAGCGTAAAAATTTAATTAGATATGTTTAATACAATAAAGTAAAATATAATAATAAAAAAATTAGACCTAGAACGGCTAAACCAGAATGATTCTTGTTCTAAGTCTAGTGTTAGTTCTAGTAACAGTGCTAGTGTAAAACTAGAACTAACACTATACCTAGAACTAGAAAGATTCGGGTTTAGCCAAACGTTTTTCAACACGGCTAAATCCGAATGATTCTTGTTCTAGGTATAGTGTTAGTTCTAGTAAGAATGCTAGTGTGAAACTAGAACTAACACTATACCTAGAACTAGAATCATTTGGGTTTAGCCGTCTTTAGAGACGTGCGGCTAAACCCAAATGATTCTAGTCCTAGGTATAGTGTTAGTTCTAGTAACAGTGCTAGTGTAAAACTAGAACTAGCACTATACCTAGAACTAGAATCATTTGGGTTTAGCCGTCTTTAGAGACGTGCGGCTAAACCCGAATGATTCTAGTTCTAGGTATAGTGTTAGTTTTAGTAACAGTGCTAGTGTAAAACTAGAACTAACACTATACCTAGAACTAGAATCATTTGGGTTTAGCCGTCTTTAAAGACGTACGGCTAAACCCAAATGATTCTAGTCCTAGGTATAGTGTTGTTCTAGCAACAGTGCTAGTGTAAAACTAGAACTAGCACTATACCTAGAACTAGAATCATTTGGGTTTAGCCGTCTTTAGAGACGTACGGCTAAACCCAAATGATTCTAGTCCTAGGTATAGTGTTAGTTCCAGTAACAGTGCTAGTGTAAAACTAGAACTAGCACTGTTACTAGAACTAGAATCATTCGGGTTTAGCCGTCTTGAGAGACGTTTGGCTAAACCCGAATGATTCTAGTTCTAGTAACAGTGCTAGTGTAAAACTAGAACTAACACTATACCTAAAACTTTTAAATGTTGCTGGAACAATTTTTCACCCACAAATTCCTAAGATATTACAAGACGTTATTCATAAAATTCCTGGATATAGCAGCTATGACAATAATTTTTACATTAATAAAGGTGTTAAACAAGAAAAAGGATTTATTACTAGGGTTTCTTCATTTCTTCATCTGATGTAAGCAAAACGTTTTAATTCAGAAAAATTTTATATGAAATAAAAAATATTTTTACTGCTAAAATATTGTTTATTATTGTAAAGAAGGGATATGTAATAAACTTATTATCTATTAATAATATTTAATTCATATTCCATTAATATTAATTAACAATAGAAGAAATTATATGATATTAATAAGCGCAAAAATTCAATTAGATATGCTTAATACATAATAAAGTAAAATACAATAATAAGAAAATTACTACTCAATAATTGCTAAATAAAGCTAATGCTTAAAATTCTAATGTAATTCTATATGAAATTAATTAATTAACATTAAATTAATTGGATTTTTGGCCAATTAAACCTTCAACAACGTTAGAAGAGGGTAAATTCCAATGAAGTTTTTCTTTTAATAAATTGTAACAATCTGGTGACAATTTATAAAGAGTGGTTAAAAATTCTGATTCGTTCTGACTAAAATTCGACTGTTTTTTGAACAAATTTATTGTCAAAGCGCCCAAAAACGTTGGATGGACCTTACCTTTAATGGTGTTCAAATTAAGTGTATTAACTTTTCTTAAATTCGATTGTAATAAAGCCTTTTTAAGGGAGGCTATTTGTCTACTGTGGTTATTAATTTGTTTTAACACTTTCTTTTTCACACTGTATTTATTTTTGGGGTGTTTCTGATTTTCTATTTGTTTCTGATTGTTTTCATTCGAAACTGTTTCAACTTGGTCGTCAATTATCATTTTTGTATCAACAGATTTCGACTCTTCAACTTCTTCATCCACCGGTTCATCTTCTATGTTTGGTTGAACGTACACGTATTCAATTGGAGCCATTTGAACCTTTTTGGGGTCGGATCTTGTGTAACCTGTGGTTGTGGTGATTTCCATTGTGGTTGTTGAGGCGCCCTTTTTCTCAATTGTTGGTTGTTGCGTTTCTCCATTAAATACAATTTCGTAATTTTCTGTTGTATCTGATTCTTTGTTTGTGTTGACGAAAACGTAATTTTTCTCTGATGATGTTTCGCGGAAATTCGGAACAACTTTGAATTCGTCTTGGTCAAGGGTGTAAACTATTGGTTCTGTTGATTCTTCTTCATAAACAGGGACCAAAGTGCCGTTTTTAAAACTATAAGTGCTTATTGGGTCATCAGATTTATGCTGCATGCTGTCAGTGTCCAAGGTAAATATTGTTCCATCTTCATTTGCTGGTAATATATCAATGTTTTGAAACTCCCCTGAGTTATCATTTAACACTTCATCTTCACACCCAACACCCAATGTGGGAACTGCGTTATGAACCAGGCGTTTTCGTAGCGCGTTTGTGAAATAACACTTTTCAAAGTGTAAATCACAAACCACTTTGTTGCGTAATTGATCGTCGGGTAAAACGAAGAAATCTGGTCGACGAGCATTGCGAATCCACTCGTTGCATCTCTCCTTATGCTTAACAGGATAATGAAAAAAATGGAGATCACCATTGGTTTTTGTAGCACTTTGACAATTACGAAAGCTACATCTGCATCCCCCCATGTCTAAAATCACAATAAATCGCCGATTATTACTGTTACAAAATCATAAAACACCTAAAAACCGTTATTACTCTTGGCTTATTGAGCGTCTAAGATGCATAACCTCACTTTTCTTTAATACAACGCTTTGGGTACTTACTGGCTTGATTTAAACATATAAATGTTGGGCTCTTTGAAGACTGCGTGGTGAACGGTAGATTTCAGGCAAAAACTTTGCTGATTTTTAGATGTTTGGGTAAGAAAACATTAATAAATTAATAGTTTGGAAAAGCGCCCTCTGAGAAATTTCTTGGGAATTTTGTCAAATACACGTGAAGTTTGCGCTATCAAAAATGACGTACAAAATGTCTCCAAAAAATATTTAGGGATATTCAAAAACTGTAGAATCTAAAAGGAATATAAGTTTTGTTTATAGATTATTAATATGCATGGTAACAGTGTTAATGTAAAACTAGAACTAACACTATACCTAAAACTAGAATCATTTGGGTTTAGCCGCACGTCTCTAAAGACGGCTAAACCCAAATGATTCTAGTTCTAGGTATAGTGTTAGTTTTACATAGTAACAGTGTTAGTGNCAACTTCATCCCCGTTTTTAAAAGATTCCCAAACGACTTTATCAAAACCTTTAAATCCACCATGAAGTTGATGAGTATTATTATAATTCGCCGATATTTGATATTGTTGATCGCCGATAAAAAATCGAGCGTAACCAACTCGATTCGCTACTCGACCAACAGTCGCGCCAAAAATAAGGGTTTAAAGAATTTCGATATCCCGCCATATCATCAAACCCCGTAACAATATCACCAAAAACGCCATTGTCTAGTGTTTGTTTTAATTTTACACTAACACTGTTACTATGTAGAACTAACACTATACCTAGAACTAGAATCATTTGGGTTTAGCCGCACGTCTCTAAAGACGGCTAAACCCAAATGATTCTAGTTCTAGGTATAGTGTTAGTTCCAGTTTTACACTAATACTGTTACTAGAACGTTCCTGCCGGAAATGTCCCCGACCGAAAAATCTTCGAAAACATTCATCAGACGTCTTCTACAGACGCTATAACTAACAATTTTTGATACTCTTCGTCACTTCTTAGTTTTTTTAGATTATTTGCAAGCTGTTGAATTGTTTCAACTGGTGCACAAACCGTGCACTTTGGGCTTTGTAGTAGAAGATTTGCTCTGTTGACATCTAAAAGTACATTGCATACATTGCGATACCAAATTATTGTAATGCATATGCCCTGATAATTTAACTTCTCTAATATATTGCTTGCTTCTACTTTAGTATTATTTCCATGAGAATCCAGCACAGACGTGTCTTCTACAATACCAAAATGTGACGGGACAAAAATCTAATGGACCTGATCGCATTTATCCTACTTTCCCACCTCGAAGAACATACAGGTTTTAAAGTTAAATTAATCAGATGTTTGACAAGAATAAACCATCTATAAGTGGATGCAGAAAAAAATTATACAAGCTTTGTATTATTCCAAAAAAATTGACCATTTCATATTATAATACAAATATTTCATACTTGATTCTCCAGCATTATTTAAAACAAGATTAATAGAGTGACAGGAGCAAGGAACAAATAACGCTCTCGGATTTATATTTGAAATATGGTTTTGTAGTCCGTTATTCATACCTTTAATATTGGCTCCCCTGTCCTCTACAGTTGTAAATGTCTAAACCTAGTACTTTTATTGTGTCTAAAAATATAGATGCCAGACCGACTCCTGTAGTGTCAGTTACTTCAATAAAATCAATAAAATGTTCTACCACCAAATACGTATTCTTTGATTCGGTGTTAACAAATCGAATTATTAATCTAAATAGTTCTTGGTGGCTGATATCGGGACTTGTTTCCATGATTACAGAAAAAAATTCGGCTTTTTCGCCATTTCTATAATTTTGCTCTAAATGGCAAATTTAATCCAGTTAGTGTAAGAATAATTTCTGATAATCGTGATTAATATCAGTTTTTTATGCCTGAGAGGAACGTGGTTTCGGCCGTCCCTAATTTTGACACACACTTAGCATTACTACCGGCTGATTTACCTCCACGTATTGTATTATGTCAATGGATATTGCAAACATTAGTTCGCATCCCTCTATTCATCCCTCGAATTTTCATAATAATCATGTGTGAGCAGATGAAAATCCACATGAAGTATGTGAAGATCATTTTCAACATCAATTTTTCTTGAATGTTTGGGTTGGAATTGTGGATGATTATCTAATTGGACCGATATTTCTACCAGGAAGACTTACTGGTATGGTGTATCGCAACTTTTTGGCAGAAACGCTGCCTGAGTCTCTGGAGAATGTTTATGCACGATGGTGCACCACCACATTTCAGTTTGGTTGCTCGTAATTTTTTAACAGCAACATACGGAATCGCTGGATTGGTCGAGGTGGGCCACACGCATGGCCTGCTCTATCCACAGACTTAAACCCCTTGGATTATTTTTTCTGGGGATCTCTGAAGTCATTGGTGTACGCTATCCCAGTGGAGAATTTGGACGATTTGCGAAATCGGATAATTGCTGGGTGTAACTCAATTAGAAACGACCCTGGTGTGTTTGAAAGAGTTTGGCAGTCAAGAATGCTTGTATTCAGACTGGAGGAAGTCATTGCGAACATTTATTATAGATTGAGCAACTTTACATAAAATATTCTTAGAATAGGCTAAAGAAAAACCCCTTGAATTTTTGCCGCATGTTTACCTAACACCTTGTATATAGTGTTAGTTCTAGTAACAATGCCAGAGTAAAACTAGAACTAACACTAAAACTAGAAACATTCGGGTTTAGCCAAACGTCTTTTTCTAGACAAAAACCCGAATGGCAAAATTTATTTAGATTGCGCCGTTTAATGTTGTTGATTTCAGCTTATCCCATTATTCGGCAATATTATCTACAGCATATTGAAGTGTGCCAAAACTCATTAATTGACAATTTGCTATCGGTTTCATTAGGGTTTTTCTGCAAGTAATAAGCTTTTAATGTTAGTACTACTCCTTGATCCATTGGCTTCAATTTTAACATCTTCAGACAGGTCCTATGTATTGGTGACAAAAGTGGTTATTGAACCAATCTTGAAAGAGGCTTTTTGACATCCAGCTTTTTGTTGGATCTCCAAACAACAGGTAATCTAGTCTTATCTATTCCTTTTAAAGCTCTTAGATTTTCGGACGTATATATTAAAAATGGTTTGAGTTTAAAATCTCCAGCCGCATTTGTTTACTAAATACTTTAAATCCCGGCATAGCTCTTTTTGTTAGAAATAAATGTTCTATCAGGTATTCTTTTCCAGCATAGGGCCGTTTCATTTGCATTAAAAATTTGTTATGGATCGTATTTACCTCTTTCAATACTTGATTTCATTTTAATGTTCTGCAAGTTATGTCGCCTATTGAATTTTTTAAACCAACCTCGTCTTGCCAAGAATTTTTCACATTGTTGGACCGTCATTTGTCTCTTCACTATTCAAACGTACAAAAATAGATATTGCTTTTTTCTGGATATTCATTTGACTCATCGCCATTTTTCGTTAATTTTTGTTTTCAATCCAGATTATTAATAATTACTTCATTTTGTCCATTTTATCACTTGGTTTGCGTGAAGGAACAGAATGTATAGGAAGGTATGAGTGTATACATATTAAGAGTTAGTTCTAGAAAAAAAAAAATCGAATCAAATGAAATCTATATATTTACCTACCATATTAATTTTTGAACATAATCAAAATCATCCCAATAAATATCTTTCATAAAAAATATTCTAAGCGTAACAACATTAATGATAACATAATAAAAAAATTCAAAAATAATAATTTTATACGTAACATTTCGAATATTTAAACGAAACAGCACAAACGGAATTAAAAAGTATCGAACTTCAATCATTTTTTGCAATATCAACACGAACGTGGTACAAAAAACATAAAATATAGTTAATGTTACATCATTTTGCGCAGTACTTACAAACAACATACAATAAATCCCGAACAAATACGGAACGATCATTGCGAATCGAAACAAAGAAATTTTTTCGTAAAATCTAGACCAAATATAAAACGTGTAGTGTCTATTATCAGCTAATAAATACGGATGAACCAAGGTGTTGTAACGAACAATAAGCCCCATTGCAATTATGGCGATAAAAAAACAAATTGGTCTTTTACAAGCAAAATTTAAAAACGACGGTATTAAAACTAAAAAATGATGCCACGCAAAAATCAAAGTGAAAGTAGCAAAATAAAATAATTGTGGAATGTGTATAACCGCAACATGCGCCGTTTTATCTCCCACGACAATCCCTTTATTAATAACCAAAAAAGCTAAGAACCCTAAAAATAACATCACATAATAAAATGAATTTACCATCACAGAAACGGGTAATTTTTTTAATGCGAATACATTTTTGAAGTCGTTATACGAAAAGTGCTTAACATCTCTATCGGTGATTAACTCGTTTTTAACAACCTTTTTCGATTTTAAACAATAATGAAAATAATTATTCAAAAAATATCTTCCAAAAATGAAACCAACCCAAATCACGTTAGTTTGTCTTATTAATATAGTTACAAATCCGGCCAAAGCAGCAAATAAATGCTTGTTTTCTAACGATGCCAAAATCATGATTAAAACGAACGTCAGTGATATAACATCCGTGTAATACAAATTATTAAAAAAATACAAAGGGGGTAACAGCGATAAATTTAAAGCAGACAGCCATGATTTATTTCTCGAAAACTTTGGATTCAACTTATGGATGGTTTTAGAAAAAATAATAAAATTAACTAAACCGGATATAAAACTTATATATCTTAAACCGTAAGTTCCGCATAAGTTAAATGGTCCTAAAATTAGCGATGATATTAAATATAGCCCAGGAAGTGTTGTGATCTTCGGATTCCACTAAAAATAATATCAAAAATTAGATAAAACTATTTTATGTGGCTGAAGTTAGATTCATATTTGAATCTGTACCAGATTCAAATTCATAAAATTACAGTTGACCAGACAAGTATTGAACATATCAATTGAAAAATCGTTTTCTAAAAGTACAGAAGTTGTAGCAATCTGCGACTATCCTGGATAATTTGAATAGACCCTCTAATATGTTCCCTGTCTACCCTCACCCCCAGATACTCATCGATTTTAATAGCAGTCAAAAATTATTTTCTCGAAAACTAAGGACTGCAGCACCCTGGGACTAGTCTAGATCATTCGGTTAGGTCCTCTGGTATAATTCTAGCCCACCCGCACCCCCAGATTTGCCGAGGGGTGAATTTTTTTAATATTTCTCGTTTTCAATAGCATACTTAGATATTATTTTCTCAATAGCTAGAGACTGCAACACTCTTGGACTAGTCTAGATTATTGCATTAGGTCCTCTGGTATCCTTCTAGCCCACCCGCACCCCCAGATTTGCTGTAGGGTGAATTTTTTAATATTCCTCGTTTTCAATAGCATACTTAGATATTATTTTCTTAATAGCTAGATACTGCAGCACCCTGGGACTAGTCTACATTATTGCATTAGGTCCTCTGGTATCCTTCTAGCCCACCCGCACCCCCAGATTTGCCGTAGGGCGAATTTTTTAATATTCCTCGTTTTCAATAGCATACTTAGATATTATTTTCTCAATAGCTAAAGACTGCAGCACTCTGGGACTAGTCTAGATTATTGCATTAGGTCCTCTGGTATCCTTCTAGCCCACCCGCACCCCCAGATTTGCTGTAAGGTGAATTTTTTAATATTCCTCGTTTTCAATAGCATACTTAGATATTATTTTCTCAATTGGTAGAGACTACAGCACTCTGGGTCTAGTCTAGATTATTGCATTAGGTCCTTTGGTATCCTTCTAGCCCACCAGCACCCCCAGAATTGCCGTAGGGTGAATTTTTTAATATTCCTCGTTTTCAATAGCATACTTAGATATTATTTTCTCTAGCTAGAGACTGCAGCACTCTGGGACTAGTCTAGATTATTGTATTAGGTCCTCTGGTATCCTTCTAGCCCACCCGCACCCCCAGATTTTCCGTAGGGTGAATTTTTTAATATTCTTCGTTTTCAATAGTATACTTAGATATTATTTTCTCAATAGCTAGAGACTGCAGCACTCTGGGACTAGTCTAGATTATTGCATTAGGTCCTCTGGTATCCTTCTAGCCCACCCGCACCCCCAGATTTTCCGTAGGGTGAATTTTTTAATATTCTTCGTTTTCAATAGCATACTTAGATATTATTTTCTCAATAGCTAGAGACTGCAGCACTCTGGGACTAGTCTAGATTATTGCATTAGGTCCTCTGGTATCCTTCTAGCCCAGCCGCACCCCCAGATTTTCCGTAGGGTGAATTTTTTAATATTCCTCGTTTTCAATAGCATACTTAGATATTATTTTCTTAATAGCTAGAGACTGCAGCACTCTGGGACTAGTCTAGATTATTGCATTAGGTCCTCTGGTATCCTTCTAGCCCACCCGCACCCCCAGATTTGCTGTAAGGTGAATTTTTTAATATTCCTCGTTTTCAATAACATACTTAGATATCATTTTCTTAATAGCTAGAGACTGCAGCACTCTAGGACTAGTCTAGATTATTGCATTAGGTCCTCTGGTATCCTTCTAGCCCACCCGCACCCCCAGATTTGCTGTAAGGTGAATTTTTTAATATTCCTCGTTTTCAATAGCATACTTAGATATAATTTTCTCAATAGCTAGAGACTGCAGCACCCTGGGACTAGTCTAGATTATTGCATTAGGTCCTTTGGTATCCTTCTACTTTCTAAGACAAACCATATTGAAAATATGTAAGAAAATGTTTAAAAATTTCTAAACTTTGAAAGCCCATATCTTAGCCATTTATAAGTTTAGACTACAAATTTGTACACAACTTACAGGAACAGCCTGTATAGTAATATTAATGTTGTGTGAAATGACAAATTTGACACTTATCATCAAATGTCAAATTTAACTTATAAAACATGATGTTTAGTAAAAGGTTAATATAAAATCGTATTTAATTGGAGACTAGAACTTATATAAATCATAAAAAACTTAATTCTACAACAAACATAACCTTACCGTTGTAAAATTAAAATTACAATATTGAAGACCTTGGGAAATATGAAACTCCTCATCTATTATAGTTTTACTTTCTTGATAAATTTTGTTAAATACTATTTGAGATGTAGCTGTATAAATAATTATTACTAACCGGTACATTTTAATTCAGTTCTAATTTTAAGGTTATGTCAGAATTGTGTTGCAAAGGTATGTCTACTTCAGCGCCATCTGTCATCAAAAAGATCATGTTAATGCATGTTTCCAACCTAAAAATTGTTGACAACTCAATTACATATTCTCACTTGTGTTAAAATAATTATAAAATCTATAAAAATATCTACATGTATATAAAAGAAATACACTTATAACAATCATCTATGCGAAGTATGTAATTAAAACAATACCTGGGGATCGATCAAAGTAGGGACATTAATAATTAGAAAATGTTTACAAAATTAAAAAACGTCCTGTCGGGCCCCGATTCAGAACAGCCTCCAAAACAACCAACAACTAAAGAAACGGCTAAGTACCCTTATTCTAGACCTCATTTCTTGCAATTAAATGAGGATGAAATACAAGCTTCAATAGATCATCGCTTAAGACCTATCATAAGCCCCAGCAGAAAATTAGCCAACTTTTCTGGGTATGCAGAATGTATAAATGGGGGTAAAAGCAAATATAATGAGGATCAAGCTGTTACACACCAAGCTGTCTTAGCATCTGGACATGTTAAGATACCCTATACTTATTTTGCTTTATTTGATGGACATGCTGGGGTTGGAGCAGCTATTTGTGCAGCTAATCAACTACATCATGTTTTACATGTGAGTAATTTTGATATTTATTACATTATTACTAACCAATTTTTTTTCAATAAACAGCAAAGATTAGTTGATGCTCAAGATGATTTGTGGATACGATTTTTAGAAAATGAAAAAGGTAATAGTAGGCACGAATTGGTTATTGGAGCTTTAGAAATGGCTTTTTCTACAATGGTAAAAAACGTTATTAAATATTTATTTTAATAATTAAATAAATTATGAAATTTTAGGATGATATAATCAAAGATGAACTGATTAGGAAACAAAGTAATGGTGGGTGTACAGCAATTGTAGCAATATCCATACTGGGTAGTGTATATGTAGCAAATGCTGGTGATTCTCGAGCGATAATTTGCTCAGGAAATAATTATAAACCACTTTCTAATGATTTTACTCCAGAAACTGAAAAAGAACGTATTCAACAATTAGCTCAAATGAAACCCCACTTATTAGGTTGGTTTATTATGATTTATATATATATAGGTGTTTCATTTAAAACTATCAGGCCAAGTATCTCAGGAATATCGAAAATTTTATCAAAACTTCAAATATTGTTTTCTCAAAAACTAAAAGTTATTTTTCAAAACGGGTTGGTTCATTGGAAAGGGGACACTTTTATTAACGCTTTGGGAAATTTTCATACTCATATTCCAAGAAGTGGATTTTTTACGAATTTTTAAAACTTAATCGGCGGAAATTGCAAAATTCGAAAAAATTGTCGATCATTTCAAAAATTTATTTCTTAAGAACTGAAAGTGATTTTTCAAAACGGCTTTTTGCATTAAAAAGGGGATACTTTAATTAATAATTGGTGATATTTGCACAGGGATCCTTCAAGAAATTAATTTTATAGCGAATTTTGAAAATTATCGATGAAATTTGCAAATTATCAAAACTTCAAATATTGTTTTCTCAAAAACTAAAAGTTATTTTTCAAAACGGGTTGGTTCATTGGAAAGAGGACACTCTTATTAACACTTTGCGAATTTTTTAAACTCATATTCCAACAGTGGATTTTTTACGAATTTTTAAAACTTAATCGGTGAAAATTGCAAAATTCGAAAAAATTGTCAAATGTTTTTTTCTCAAAAAACAAACAACAGAGTATGAAGTAATAGGTTTTTAATATCCCGCCAAAGCCAAAGCGCCATCTTTATTTTTATACAATGACAAATAACAATACTTAAGAACCCATTCCAGAGATACTTGGCCTGGGAGTTTTACGTGAAACATCCTGTATATATTATATGAATAATTAATTTGAATTTATAGGCAAATATTATACGTTTATTGAATATATAAGGCAACCAAAAATGAAAGATCTTGGAAAGCGTATTTTATTTAGAGACGCTTTTATGAAAGGTTGGTCTTATAAAACTATTGTTCAGGAAGATTTAAAACCATCGTTAATTACCGGACAAGGAAAACGAGTATGTTATAAATAGGGCAACCAAAAATATGCTCCAAGAATTGTAGTTTAAGCGCTTAAAAATGTTCTATAAAAATTAAAAAAGTCGTTTGCTGGTAAAACATTTTTATACATTCAAAAAGTTTGTTCTATTAGCATTGAAGTTATATTACAGGCGATAAAATCATTATAAACGGTTTTTGAAAAAGTTCCTAAAACGGGTCTAAAGATTAAAAATTTTTTATACGAGTTATGACGTCATCGATATTTTTTTCAAATGGCAATCCCCCATTTTATTAGATTTTCTTCTGAATCTAGTACACTCAATATTAATATTGGTTACATAAGAAAATTTTCGAGAAAAATTGCTTTCAAGTTTTACTACTTCAAATTTTTTGACGTGATAAAAAAAAGCAGTAGCCATGAAGCGTTCTAAGTGTCATAAACTGATTTAACAAGTAGTTGACCTCTTTAATACAACATATTCTGATCGCCAACTCATTTGCCAAAGTATAGTGAGTCTACCTGTGACTTAATTTAAAAAACATGAGCATCTCTTGAAGCATTTCTCGAAGTCTGGCCTAGCACATGTTTCAGGAGAGGTTTAACAAAACATGGTTTTGGTTGGGCAAGAAAAATCCGCAAAATATCATTTCTATCCTCACGAACAATGAATCGTAGTTTTTGCAACAATGACGAAAATATCCGCAAAAAATTAGGAGAAACCTTAACTGGAAAGAGATGTTTAAATTTTTTCGGAACGATGTCATTCCTTCCATCCCGATAATGTTGACCCAACTCAGTTCCAACGGCAGTTATTACAACAAAATGGCGTGCCGCCACACTTCAAGAAGCTTCATTAACTCAGTTTTTGACACTCAGGGAATTAAATTAATAATTTTCCTGACATGGACGACTGCAACTTTATATCAAATTAAAACTTATTGCAAATAAAATATTCAAAATATGCATTATGTATAAAAATAACAAATACGGCTCAAAATTCATAGTTTAATCTGAAACAAATTTTTGTTTTGTCCATTCTTTTCTCAGACGTATAAAAAAAAATATGTTTGCATATTTTTGGTTGCCCAAATTATAAATAATTTATTAAAAACATAATTTTTTTAAAATAAATGAATTCAGAGTCGTGTAATGGGAACAATCGGTGTAACACGAGGTTTTGGAGATCATGATTTGGTATCAGTGTATCAACGCATCCCGATAAAACCATTTTTAAGTTGTCATCCGGAAGTTCAAGTACTCGATTTGTCGACAACAAAACCACAAGACGTTTTAGTAATGGGAACGGATGGTTTATGGGATGTTCTCGATGGTAATGGTGTTTCAAAAATTATAACCGACGTAATGGAAATTTTCGATGGTAGAGAATTATACGTTAGCGCTGCCACGTGTTTAGTGGGCGCTGCACGTGGTACTCTTAAAGAACATCAATGGTTAATGAAAAGCGGGAAATGCGCGTCAGTTGATGATATTTCGGTTTTTGTAATTCCATTGTATTCGTTAGCAACGGATCACGTAAAAATGAAAGATTCGTTAGATTTAGATGCTTTAAGGTTGGAATACGGGGTTTTAAAACAAGAAAACCCGCCGGTTGAGATAATAAATAAACAAGATTACGTAGCTAGTATAGTAAAAAAAATTAAATCAACTCAGAATAATGATAATAACCAAGAAAATGAATCCGACATGTGCATTGTTACCGCAAACGTTGATTGGAATGATAAACAGCTCAATTTCGATGTAACAGGAAACCTTCCCTCAAATAACGAACAATTTTTATTGATTAACATCAACTCGATAGACGACGTACAATTTTCTAATCAAAAGGAGGAAGTCAAAAAAGTTAAAAGGATCCGCACCCGCTCATTTCCAAGTTCCGATCTAACTAATATTCAACATAATAGCGAAATCAATCCTAGCAATACTGAGGAATTAGATAAAATGGTTTATATGATTAACTTAAAAACTAAACGCGAAGCTGATTCAAAATAAATTGAATTTAAATACAAAATAAGTAATAAATAAAAAAAGATGGAACACACTTGAATGTTTTGTGTTTCATTTTATGTTGTAAACAAAGGCTGTTGAAGATGGGTATTTATTAATCTTTAGTGTTAATAAGAATTTCTTTTTAGTTATTTTTTAAATATTTAAGCAATTCTTTTTCTGTTATTTTGGTAATTTTATTTTGCAAAATTTAAAATGTAATTCACATTCCGAGCACTTTTACGTATTTTCTATAGATAGTTTGTTTTATTTTTTGGATTCTCTTCCGTATCAACTTTTTGTACTTATTCATTTTGTTATTTATTTAAATATAAATGAAACGCTAAATATAATAAATATAACTTGTTTTATTTAAAATTTTAATCGTGATTTGTTCAACTATTTTATAATTTGATTAAGAATTATCAAGAAATTTTTGTGATTAATTAATTTTAAATTTAATCGTGACTCCTGAAATAAAAATTTTATTAATAAATTAATAATCGTTTGGACTCATAACTAAATTATCGATAGTTATTAGTTCGTTAGCAGTGAAAGGAAACGGTTCAATGGGAAACTTTTATAAGTTTTTCGTTTTTACAACATTAATTGTTGCAAGTTGGGGTAAGTAATTTTAAAAGTTTAAAGAATTGGAAAGAAAAATAAGTATGTAGTAATTTTGATTATTAAAGTTTAAGGTTGGTAATAGATTTACTAGGTTGTTTGTGTGCTATCCTTCTTGTTTAAAATGGCCGGTAGACTCGATGCGAAAGTGTACGATGTTTGTAAGTGAAATATAAAAGAACTACGCGTTTTGACAAAAATGTGTAAATGATATCATACAATAAATAGTAAAAATATGCGTATTTAATCGTTAAAAACGCTTGTTGACGTTAACGCTGGCTGTTGCGATCGTCCGAAGTAGTTAAAGTGTCCGGTGTGGCGCCATGTTCGCGTGCCAAGCCCAAGGGTTTGTTAATTTAAATGTATTTTTATTTGCTTTTCTACTCAAACTTTCCGTTTGTACTATCGGAACTTCAATAGGTAATCTAATTCACCACGGTTTCAACTCCAAACCTTCATTTCCATTCTTTACATTGCCTGTATTTGTAGAGTTTCCGCCTGATAACGATGAATTGATTACAACGATTGAAGTATTAGAAGTTGACGATCCTAACGCCTTAAATTACGGCGCTAACGTTACAATTATTTGCAAAACGAAGATATTATCTAGCTCTATGTGGTGGACTTTTAATGAAAATAATGTTAGTAGAGATGATGGGTAAGTTTTAATCCTATAATTATGTTAATTAATAACATTTTATTGTACTTTTCGTCTGACTAGTTTCGGTCAAAGGACATCTTCAGAGACATCTATAGAATTAACAATATTTTTTTTACAGATCTTATTAATAATATATTATTATACAGGTGTCCCACATAATCAGCAAAGTATATAAATGGCATTAAGGTTCTTCCTTAGACAAAAGTTGTTGGAAATTTACTACACATAGAGAAGATATTTGAACACTTATAAATAAAGTTTGGTTGAGAATTATTTATTTTTATTAATGCTTAATCACATATTTTGATGGTTTTATTTTTAAATGGTTTTGATTAATTCCACAATATCTCAAAAACTCCAACTGATAGCTATAGGGACATGTACTGAAGATTTGTAGAGAATTAAATTCTCTATCTGTTTTCTATTTCAAATTTTCAACTTTTGTGCACTTGAATATGGTAAAAAAGTAGTTACATTTTTGGACATCCTGTATAAGATACACTGATATAGCCAATGGCACTCTATTTAAGGATATCCAAGCAGCAACTGTCACAAATTTTAACTTTCTGGCTCACTCAGTCACTAAGAAATTCATATTTAAAGAACAGTGTTAAAAAAAAGGTTCTAATTAAAATAATTGTCTTTTTTAAATCATTATTAATGCTTAATCACATATTTTGATAGTCTTATTTCGCCAAATAGTAATGAAAAAATGAACAAGATCTGCCATTTTTTGCATGATTTTGATTAATTCCACAATATCTCAAAAACTCCAACTGATAGGTATAGATATGGACATGTATTGAAGATTTGTAGAGAATTAAATTCTGTATCTGATAAGAATGTCGAATATGGGATGTTCTATTTAAAATTTTCGACTTTTTTGCGCTTGAATATGGTAAAAAAGTTATTACATTTGTGAACACCCTGTATAAGATACACTAATATAGCCAATGGCACTCTATTTAAGGATATCCAAGCAGCAACTGTCACAAATTTTAACTTTCTGGCTCACTCAGTTACTAGGAAATTCATATTTAAAGAACACAGTGTTAAAAAAAAGGTTCTTATTAAAATAATTGTCTTTTTTAAATCATTATTAATGCTTAATCACATATTTTGATAGTCTTATTTCGCCAAATAGTAATGAAAAAATGAACAAGATCTGCCATTTTTTGCATGATTTTGATTAATTCCACAATATCTCAAAAACTCCAACTGATAGGTATAGATATGGACATGTATTGAAGATTTGTAGAGAATTAAATTCTCTATCTGATGAGCTTGTTGAATATGGGGTGTTCTATTTAAAATTTTCGACTTTTTTGCCCTTGAATATGGTAAAAAAGTTGTTACATTTTTGAACATCCTGTATAAGATATACAGATGTAGCCAATGGCACTCTATTTAAGGATATCCAAGCAGCAACTGTCACAAATTTTAACTTTCTGGCTCACTCAGTCACTAAGAAATTCATATTTAAAGAACACTGTTAAAAAAAAGGTTCTAATTAAAATAACTCAAAAACTAAAAGCGGGAAGTACCAACATATCTTATCAAAGTCAACATATTTTGGGTTGTAGAATCAGAAGACGCAATAAAAACTATATCATTCCGTTTAAAATAATATATGTTTATTTCGGTAGGTCGTTATAGAACATCCTGTATGTATAAAAATATTTTCCGTTTATAGTATGGTAAATTTCCTGCAACTTTTATCTAAGGAAGAACTGTGTATTTCGGCTTCTTAATGCCATTTATGGACTTTGACGCTTACGTGGGACACCTGTATACAGGGTGGTTCAGTTATTAATCGGGAAACTTTACTACGACGTAGTTCTTATCAAAATAACTCAAGTTTTTTATATAAACATCGCAAATCTTTTGTTTTCGAGCTATGACCCGTCAAAGTTGAGTCAAAAATTGACATTTTATCTTTTATTTCGGGTATAAGTAAACTGTAAAATTTTGTCCTCTAAGGCGATGAATATTAACATATCGCCATGGAATATTAACATAAAAAAATATGGGTCGTAATGCTTATTCGTTAGTGGTTCTTTTTTGTCTCTTTAGTTTTTTTCTTAAAGATAATAGTTTACGCGTAAAAAAATAAAATATGCTACCCTATACTGAGCCTCGGCCGCAAGCGACCTCGGCTTAATTAAACGATTTACATCATCAGACAAAGTTGAGGCCACTCGCTTCTGAGGCATTACAATACGAGAACCTTGCATCAGTTAGATATAATTTTAATCACTGAACCTCGGCCGCAAGCGATTAAATTAATAATATTGTTAATTCTGTAGGCCGAAACTAATCGGACACGAAAATTAATCCATGCGAAAAGTCAAAACCCCTCAATTTAGACATACGGGATTCCCATAATTATATTTAGGGGCTTTGACTTTTGGCATAATATATAACAAAAAAAAATAATAATAAATTTAAATATTTAGGTACATAGTCGATAGAGAAAGTGAAAATATAAACAAAGAATTAGCACAAAAACAAGAAGTATCCTTCTTACATATCTTAGGAGTAAGTTTAAAACACGTTGGAAATTACAAATGTCACGCAATGAATAAAACGGAAATTGATTTTGATCAGATCGTATTAAACGTAACTTTAGCGCCGCAAATTTCAATGTCGGAAATAGTGAGAACGAAAATACACGTAAACGTGAAGCTACATTGTTTGGTGCTGGGTTATCCGATAACGGGAATAAATTGGTTCAAAGATAAATCGGCGTTAGAAGCGGAGGCATATAAAATAAAATTTGTGAACGAGACGTACGCGGAATCGTTGTTAGAGGTGAGCAGTGTAACTAAGAAAGATAACGGAACGTATACTTGCAAGGCGCAAACGCCGTTTACATCGAAACAAAATGAAACCGCAATTTTGGTGTTGGACAAACCCGTTTTAAAGTTGGATTTTGTTAAATCTATCGGTAAATCAAAAATTTATATCAATTGGACGATGGATGACGGGAACGAGCCGAATAGTATCAGATACAGCATAAGATACAAAGAGGATGGCAATGAAAATTGGGTTTATTATCAACAAGAAATAAAAGCTGAATATCGCGAGCATATTCTTGAAGATGTTACTTTAAAACCGAACGCCACATACACATTAAGAATGGAAGCGATAAATAGTGAAGGAAGTAGCCCGTTTTCAGACAGCAAACCGATTCGTATTTTAACGGAAGACCCGGTTTTTACGCCGGAAGTAAAAGTGACTGGGGTCACTGTGAGTTCGATTACTATATCATGGACTGACCCTTCGCGCGATCTCGGCGAATACGTGCAATTTTTCAAGTTAAAATCTCGTCCAGACAATATGACCTCAATTTCTGAAGCGGTCTCTCATCTTCCATCAAAAAATCTTTACATGTTCAATAATTTAGATCCGGCTACCACGTATAATTTTCAAGTTTGCGCATGTTGCGAGTATTGCAACACCTGCGGACCATGGTCGTTAGAAGTAAATGGGACAACGATGGATGGTATGGCTGGTCCAGTCACAAACGCTTCCGTTGAGTGTAAATATGAAAACGTAACCCAAATGAGTTTTGTGTATGTAAGTTGGAAACCGCCATTAAAACGTCACGGCACCGTAGTAACATACAATGTAACATTAGAAGGCAACGCTTCGTTTATAAACGATCGAGGAATATTAGAATTAACAACTTGGAGACCAAAAGCACGCAGCATCAACGAGAATACTCTTAATACTCGTTTTTATAACGTTTCCGCGAATACTAATTACACCGTAACCGTTTCGGCTGTAACCAAATCGAAGAAATCCGGAGATAAAGTGGAATTATTTTGTACGATGCCGCCTACAATTCCCGATAAACAAAGATTATCCAGGTTTAATTGGAGAAAAATGGAGGAACAAGGTCGATGGGTTTTTAAGTTATTTATGCCGAGAATATCAGAACGAAACGGACCAATTTGTTGCTATCGAATTTATCTAGTTCGAATGGAAGCGCATCAAAAATTAGCTGAATTACCATCACCCGATGAACTGGAAATCGTGTCGTATAACGAAGCTCATCGAACTCCGAAAGGGGGAGCTTATGTTGCGGAGATGTTTACCAGTTCGAATTTTCATCCGGAAGTTTTTTTGGGCGATGATGATGTTTATAATTTTACAAGCTCCTTATGTGATAAATGCATAGGACTTCGACCATATACTCTACGCAAAAAAGATCGAAACAGTTATTCAAATAATACGACTGTAAATAGAACTCGAAGATTTACTAATTCTTTACCTCAGCCATTACCGCCTCACGATGGATTATTAGATATTAATAGTAATTACACTGGTTTTGTTGAGATTATAGTTGGAGGCGCTCATTTAGGCACTGAAGAAGTAACAGCGGTTTATAGCAATTATTTAATGATATTAAATCCAGGTCCTGATGTTATTACAGCACCAGTTTCCGGTTCTGTTGGAATAGTTGTACAAATTTTATGTGGCTTACTCGTCGTTGCACTTCTTTTGGCTACAGCGTTATGTCTTTTGCATCAATACACTAAACAAGCTCATGCGCAAGCTGTTGAAATGATCACATTCCGAACATCTTTGCGAAATCTCCGCGGTAGACAACGTTTAGTATCGCTAAATCCACCGGATATGTGCCCAATAGGTAGCGATGAATTAGTAAGCGCTTATATGGAACGACATCGCGATTCCGATTACGGTTTTCAACAAGAATTTGAGCTTCTCCCCGACAGGTTTAGCGATCGTACAACGAGAGCTTCTGATGCCAGGGAAAATGTTTACAAAAATCGATACCCAGATATAAAAGCTTACGATCAAACTAGGGTGAAATTATTCCAAGTCGATGGAATAGCTGGTTCTGATTATATTAACGCGAATATAGTGTTAGGTTATAAAGAACGCAAAAAGTTTATATGCGCTCAAGGTCCCATGGATACAACCGTCGATGAATTTTGGAGATTAATTTGGGAACAACACCTAGAAATGATTTTGATGTTAACCAATTTAGAAGAGTACAGCAAAACTAAATGTGCCAAATATTGGCCGGATAGATCCGAAGTCGATAAAGTTTTTGGTGATATTTCAGTGACTCACGTCCAAGAAACTAGATACTCAGATTACATCGTGCGAGAATTAAAAATAACAAGGGGTGGTTTAAAAGATAGCGAAGAAAGAAAAATTACTCAATATCATTATTTAGTATGGAAAGATTTCATGGCGCCGGAACATCCTCATGGTATCATTAAATTTATTAAACGAATGAACGAAGCTTATTCCCCGGAAAAAGGACCAATTTTAATACATTGCAGCGCAGGCGTTGGTAGAACGGGAACTCTCGTAGCTCTCGACTGTTTATTACAACAAGTAAAAGAAGAAGGACAAGTAACGATATTTAACACTATTTGTGATTTGCGTCATCAACGAAATTTCCTCGTACAATCGCTCAAACAATACATTTTCATCTACAGAGCTTTAATGGAAGTCGTACAATACGGCGACACCGAAATGACCGCGTCCGATCTAAAATCTTCCATTGAGAAACTCAAAAAAGTCGATAGATCACGATCAAAAATGGAGGATGAATTTGAAAACATTAAAAATACAATGGAAGATCGGAAATCGTGTAGTGTCGCGAGCGGTGATGAAAATCGCGAAAAAAATCGTAGCGACACGGTGATACCTTATGATAGAAACAGGGTTATACTAACACCTCTCGCAGGGAGAGAACATTCCACATACATTAATGCGTCGTTTATTGAAGGTTACGACAATTCAGAATCGTTTATTATCACTCAAGATCCCGTTGAATCGACCGTCGGCGATTTCTGGAGGATGATTGCCGAACAAGGTATCGGAGTTATAGTTATGTTATCGGAATTGGGCGAGAATAAATGTCCAAGATATTGGCCGGAAACTGAAACCGAAACGGTTTACGAACACATCACCGTACGATATGTCCGAGCAGAAAGCTGTCCTTATTACACTCGAAGAGAATTTTTGGTCCGGACAAGAGAAGGAGACGATTTAAGTGTTACCCAACTACAATATCACGGATGGCCAACCGTTGATGGAGAGGTATTTTTCTTTTTTGATCATTCGAATTTTAATTTTATAATTTTTATAAATCGTTAAGGTTCCAGAAGTAACGCGTGGATTAATTGAGTTAGTCGATTACGCTCACTCCACAGTGTCATGTTTATCATCACCCTCACCAATGGCGGTTCATTGTAATATGGGATCAGATCGTAGCTCGATATTTGTCGGATTAAGTATCTTGGTCCAACAATTAAGGATTGAACGTCGGGTTGATGTTTTTATAGTCGCTAGGAAGTTAAGATCGCAACGACAGGCGATGATTAATACATTCGTAAGTAAATTTTATAAAATGTTAATACCTCTGTCTCAAATTATGGTATACAAAACTTTGAAAATTACTTTATTGTAGTTGTAAAATTATTAATTCAATTTGTAACTTAATTTTATTAAATTTTTCACATTTAGACATAATTCAGCTGTTTCAACAATTCTTCGCGGCGAAGTTTTTCTTTATTCATGTGGTCAATTTTATAGTTATTGCCTCCTGAGGCCATTATGATTGATTCCATGCATTAATTCCATGTATTAATTCATCCATAGTTTTTGGCGATGTTTGGTGCTGCAAACACCGAATAGTATTGAAGAAAGCTAGGTCTAAAACGTTCTAATTAGGACTATTCGGTGGCTGTGATTTGAATTTAATACTCTTGATCCTTCAGCCTGCAATTCTGCATCGTTGTCATAAGAATGCGATTTTGCATTATCTTGTTGAACATAAATTGTCTTGGCTTTATGCGCTTTTGGGAATTTGGATCTAATGGGTCATCTTTTTGCATTCTGCTGCGTTAATAGACACGATGTTTTTGGTCACCGTTTCTTTATAAACAAAAGGCCAGCATCCTATTTTGCCGTTGAAATACTGTTTTCTGACAGTGTCATAGCGTGGTCTGGCCAGCGCAGCCATAATAGTGGCTTCACTGTTGAGGATATTCTTTTATAGTGTCGTCCCTCTTTGAAAATGTGAGAAACGACAAACTCCGAATTAAGTGGAGTTTCTTTGATTTTATCCAAATTCTCCGAGTAATTCTTGCGTTTTCGGCCACAATACTTTATTCTGGAAGCCACATTTTCACAAATATTTACACTTATATTTATATTACACTTAGGGAAACATCAAAGTTCCTTGCAGCTTGACCAATAACACCGCGTTTCAATTTGCTGTCGGTTTTGTGTTGTAACAAGAACTATAAAATCCAGTACGCTGTTCATAAGTTAGTTGCTTCGTCTTTGCGTATCTTGTAATTTGTCGGACAAATTGACATTTCTCAACTGACGCATGCGTAATAACTGAAGTGTTATTAGTTTTTAAACATGGCCGTCTAATATTTTATAGGAAACGCCGCATGTAGATTATAACTCGTTAATTTTAGAGAAATGTATACTATAATGTGTGACAGAGGTAGTATTTATTGTAATTAATTTTGATTTTGTAATTTTAGGGTCAATATGAATTTTTATATCGTGCCATACTGAACTATTCCGAACTACACGGTCTGTGTGAGACATAATTCCGGGTGTAGTTGGATTATTTAATAAGACATTCCCATGAAAAGTATCGCAATTGTGTGTAACGCTATAACTAGATCATTTTTGTATTTGCTTTAAATGTTCGGATATCGTTTTTTGTACTCGTACCAAATTCCTCCCCCCTGATTATTTTTGTTATTATTATTATTTCTAATTTGCAGTACATGTGATATTTACATTTTATTTTCGATGTAGTTGGTCGTATACTATTTTGTTCGGCACAATGTTTCATGACCTTACTAGATTAGTAACATTTTTATCGCTACCACATAAGCGTATTATTTCACACTTCATAACCTATTATACATATGCTTAATAGCGTAAGCGTACATATATATGTATATGATGACTATCTAACTATGTGTACACCATTTCACCCATAAAAAAGAATTAAAAAAAAAGGAAAAAAACATAACTTATCTCATTTAGAAGTTTCGACGTTTTTAGATCTGCTTTTGTTTCATGTGATACTTAATTGTAAAATGTACACTCAGCTCATACACTATCGGTTTACTGGCGTGTGCTCGAGTTCGCGTGCGTGTGTATATAAATATATATAAATATATTTTCCTGTAGTAGGTGAATCAGCCGATAAACAAAAATCGAAGATCTGATGGAGACTGTACATGTTTTTTACTGTAAGTTAAGTATTTATTTATGTGTATATTTTTTTGACGACTTTATTTGATTGTGTACAATATTTTTTTTACAAAATAAAAACTTTACATATAAAAATCGAAGGAACAGCGATATTTATTTTTTATTACCTGACTATTTTTCTTTTTCACAGCACCAATATTCTACTTACTAAACATACTACACATCATTTATATTAAACATTACGATTTTCCTTTTATTGGACGATTCAAACTCGATGTCGCATTCAACGTCGGCGCCTTACATTGTATTTGAGCACATTTATGTTTCTTATTTGAATATTTATTTATGTTATATAGTTGTTTACTTAAGATTTTTGGACCAATTCTTCTTAATAATCTAAAACAAAAAATTTTTTTAACCTCACATTTTACGCGGGAAGCGACCAAACTCGTTTTAAACACGGTAAGACTTTGGCGGCAAAGATGTGTTAATAATATTTTTTTATCTTACTTAAAAAATCGGTTATTATGAACATTAAATGCCCTTGTTGTTTTTCCAAACTCGCAAGATAACCTCTCGGAACAATCGTATCCTTCAATAGCTTGATAAATCACCTTGGCCAACCCCCCATCTTCCGGATTCACCCCCTTTTTTGGTTTAACATGACCAAACTTGGGCAAAATTAGCATCGATAAAACAAACATCACCGACATCCCAATAAACCCTGATATAGCCATAAATAGCGGTTCGAGCCCTTTTTTTTTCGGTTTCATTTCCGTGGGTTTTTCAATAATATGGATGTTATGCTAAAAATTACAATTAAGATAACAAAAATAACCGAAATAAATAAATAAATACCTGATGTGTGTGAGTATGAAATTGGTGAAGAGTGTCCGAATGCCCAATATCGTTGTAATAAGTTTCAGTAGCAACCTTTTAATGATACTTTAAAAGTTTATTAAAAAAAATTTAAAAAAAACTTACATCATGAATATGATTTTTATGTTTAATATCTTCTTTGGTGGGATTGATTGAGCTTAAATGACTAGCAAACGTTTTTAGTGGGTAATAATAGTAGTAATAACCAGATGGGTCATCAAGGTTTGGTCGAAAATCATCGGGATTTGAAGCGCCCTCCTCGGGTAACTCATAAACGGCCGCATTCAAATCACCTACATAAAAAAAATAATTATTTTTAACTCACCAAAAAATTTCTTAATACCAGTAGGGGTCCCAATTTTTAAAGTATTCCCTTTTTTTACCGCCGTTTCGTAATAATCAGCCAACTCATTCTTAGCCAGACTCAACGTGGGTAAAACATCCTTTTTTGATTCATCCGCTTTTCTTTCAACATCACTCATCAACGTTGGGATTTTCGGCGTGGTTGTAGTTTTCCTTAAACTCTTAATAGCGTTCTCTAAATACTCAGATCCATTTTGAGCTCGAGAAGATGTTATAATCACGAAAACCAACAAAGGAAACATAGTTTATACACGATATTCCATACGCGTTTAATCTAAGGAACGTTCGAAAGAAACGAAGAAAAAACTTTGGTTTTGTTTTGTCGTGATGTCTTCGTACGAAACAGTTAGCCGAATAAAATTACATGAATTTGTGAGTGCGGAGATCCGTAAACGAAAAGTTCAATGTCCGCGTATTTAGCTGGCTTACTAATGTCCGCGAATTTGACGGACGGAACGGGTACCCGGGATCATCGAATGCCGGTGCCCCAGTGACCAACATTTAAATAACTAGTTGGAAACGAAAATTATAACCAAATCGGAATTTATTGAAAATCAACTCGCAACGTTGCTCCTCTGTTTGTTTCAATTAATACCATCAACACAACTAATTGAGACACTTATTTGTAAGAGGAGACAATAAAAACCATTGCCGTTGAGTTCGCTTAAAGGACATTGACTTGAATTATTCTTCATTTTACTTACATAAACTAAAATTGTTGTGCAAAAAAACTATTTTCGTTTTTTCGTAGGGTTTTATATAAATATGATTAAATAAATAAAACGTAACAATAAAAGATTTTCTTTAATATTGTGTAATTGTACATGTTATTTATCAAGATGCATTGTTCTTGGTAAATAATGTCGCAACGCGTTCGAGTCATTGTTATGATGATTTTTTTTTCTATAACTCCGAAGTAGTTCGACGCATTAAAAGAAGACCTCGAGAGGGGAGTGTGATTTGTCGAGAATCGTCTGGAGTATACCGGATATAATAATTGCGTTCGAAGGACCATTTGTTAATTCCCATTAATTTTTAAACGTGGTTTTTGGCTGAAACCCGTCGCAATTGCGAAATACCGCGACGATAAACCAAGAGAGCATGCTGACGTCGTGGACGGACTACAATTGGGTGTCGTAAATTAGTAGACATCCACCGTTTTATTTGCTTTTTAATAAATCCAAACCGTGAACGATGAACGCGGCTATAAAAGCGCGTCGCAAAGCAAACCCAGAGATTATTTCTGTGGAGGTTGCTTGCAGCCCCGCAGAGCGCGCTTTAAAAAGTCTTTTACTTCTGAAGCCTACTAAAGGTAATCAAATTAATTAATTTTTAATTAACAAAATTAAAAATTAAATTTCTTTAGGTTTATTTGTACCAAATTTTACTGCCCCCCAACGCCGCCCAAATCGCCAACAACCGGGATCACCGTAGGATGGTAGAAAGTGACACCGTTTCAAAAAAACAAGAAGTCAAGGGTCTTGAAAACAAAGCCAACTTCGAAGAAGCAATCGAACACACCGGATATGGCAAATTTCATTACATACTATTAGCAATATGTGGACTGGTAAGCACCTCGGAGGAGATGGACGTCATCTCGTTGTCCTTCATCCTACCGTCGGCAGAGTGTGACCTTCATCTAACCACCGAAAATAAGGGATGGCTCAACTCCATCATTTTTATCGGGATGATGGCAGGGGCTTACTGCTGGGGTTCCGTAGCGGATTCCCTCGGCAGAAAAAAAGTCCTTATCGTCATCTCTTTTGTCAACGCTCTGTGTATCATCGCATCCAGTTTCAGCCAGTCTTATGAAATGTTTATGTTGTTTCGATTCTTAAATGGGGCGGCGTAAGTAGAAATATTAATTAATTTAGTTTAGTACAAAGTCCATACCAATTTAAAAGTGGTACAAAGTCCATGTTTTTAATGTTTACAGGTTAGGGGGCAGTGGACCAGTAATTTGGTCTTATTTTGCTGAATTTCAGCCAAAATCCAAAAGAGGTTCCATGTTATCTTTCATGGCAGCCTTTTGGACATTCGGAAACCTGTTTGTAGCAGGTTTAGCTTGGGTAATTATTCCCTCGGACATCGGCGTAGTTTCGGAGTATTTCACCTATAACTCCTGGCGTATTTTCTTACTTGTATGCGCCGTACCGTCTATAATCGTCGGTGTTTTACTATTTTTCCTTCCGGAAAGTCCCAAGTTTTTGTTATCAAGAGGGAGAAACGATGAGGCTATTGAAATTTTTAAAGGAATTTATCAAATGAACACTGGGAAAGACAGAAATAGCTACCCAATAAAATATGTTCTTTCCACCGACGTTGAAGACCAAATTCAGACGGTCAAAGACACTAAAATTCCACATACCAAAGTCGAAAAGTACAAAGCCATGATGGCGGATATCATGGATAATAGCAAGCAACTATTTAAAAATCCGATACTTAAATTTACAATGATTTCAATCACGCTTAACTTGACGTTCCATATCGGTTACTACGGGCTAATGATGTGGTTCCCCGAACTTTTCAATAGATTCGACGAATTCGCTCAAGACCATCCTGGAGAATCAGCTTCCGTTTGTCAAGTAACTAATTATGTTGTTGGATTGGAAGAAACTCAAAAAAGTTGCTCGAATAAAATCGAAAGCCAAGTATTTATGGAATCTTTAATCACCGTATCATCCGCATTGCCCGCCAATATTTTCGCCATATTGTTTATGGACAAATTGGGCAGAAAATTCTTTATGGTTTTCAGTACGGTTTCCGCTGGTATTTGTTCGGCTTCGATGTACTTTGTTTACAACCAAACCCATAATTTAATTGTATCAGCTGTATTCAGTGGTGCTATATCTTGTGGAAATGCAGCTTTGGATTGCTTAATAACAGAAATTTTCCCTACCAATCTCAGGTAAAATTTGAAACGAAATGTAATCAATTTTAAATTAATCGAGTTTTTTTAGAGCGACTGGTATTGCAGTTTCGATGGTATCCGCTAGATTGGGCGGGATAATAGGCAACATAGTCATAGCGACATTGCTGGATATGTATTGTCCAGCTCCAACATTCATAGTGGCCTTCCTCCTGGCTGGAGGTGGGTTATTATCGCTGTTTTTGCCAAATACTACTCGTACTGATTTGCAATAAAAAGAAGATAACTAAAAGACGACGAGTAGAAGCTTTATTGATGTTGAATGTTAGATTAGAAAATAATATTATAAAAAATTAATGAAATAAATAAATTTTATCAATCAGAATAAAAATTATGAAATTAGTATTAAAAAGGAAATAAAAAATAATTTCAATACAAAATAATCTCAATAATGTTCGTTTATTTCAAGAATAAAATTTTATAAATTACTGCCTAAATCTAAATAAACCTTAAAACATGACAATGACAACCGTTTTGGAAAAAAATAAGTAATAATGACGATAAAAAATTCTATTTAAGTATGTATACGTATACTTAATATCTTCCAAAAACAATCGTTTAAATTTTATATATATATATATGTATAAGTATATGTGATGTTAAAATGACTTAAAATTTTCCTTTAAATTTAATCGCACATGGACTGAATTTGGGAGATCATTATACGTAAACATTTAGGAGACAAACAAAAAAAATTCTCTTCCGATACGTATTCGTGTGCGAAACAAAGTGATCGTCTATAAAGCCATCCTTTGTCCGAGGCCAATAGCGTTTATAATGTTCTTACAACATCTAAAATTAATTTAAAAAATAACGTACGGTACATACATCACTGCCGAATGGTGGTGATTCTCAGCTCATCCGAAAATAAAATAAAAACAATTAGTAATAATAATAATAAAATTAAAACAAAAAAAAAGAAAAGAACCATCCCGCCGTAGGAATGTGTGATATAAACAGTTAAAAAATGTCTCTAAAACCTTACATACTCATATTAATAGAGGGCGTAAGGTTCGTTCGTACTTAAAATTCAATACATTATACATCTTGGTACTGTGTTGGAGAAGGGGGGTGGAATTTTTTTTTTCTAACTGTAAAGTAATTAAACGCATGAAGGTTGCATATCTAACCGTAAAGTAATTATTTTATTTTATTTATTTTTATTTATTTTATTTCATTATTTTGCATTGTATGATAATCTTAGTAAAGACCGAAAATCAGCCATCGCAAGGCTGATTACGCCGGTGAGCATTTGTGGGCGCCGGGCTCACCGGATAGAGCGGTGGACGTACTACTGTAACATTTTGGGCTTATGGGAGATTTGGGCGCGGGTGAATTTCGATTTCAGTGTGTGCGGGTCAGTGTCAATTTCATATACTAGGGGGTACTTTGAGGGCACCGTAAACACGTTCCTTCAAAGGAATATCTGCAAAACACAAAAGGTACATGACTAGCCAATAGCCGAAAATAGAGCAGAGCGTCGCGTATATTTCTGAGAAGGGGTCGCGGGAAGAGCTGAGCAGACCACCGCCCGGGTTAGTAGAGTTAGGAAGGAAGAGAGGCGTCTGACCGGCCCGAGAGGCCAGCGAGGGGGAGTTATTGCATGAAATACTCAGGGTGGTCCGAGTCTTTCTCAAACCGCTTGGCCTCCTCTTGCATGCTTTCTTTTATTTTCAAAATAGCAGCCGATTCCGTTTGATCCTGCAAGGAAAGCGACCTTTAGTGGTTAAGTGGGGTCAGTCTACAGAAGCGCAAGCACCGGACACCGCGACGCTGGTCGTACTCTACAGTGACTCGTCAATGTCTTAACGTCCTTCAAACAACTTTATTTCAATTAATCACACAAATCTTTATTACTTTATTAACAACTCTACAGCTCCATCATTTTACTTTGAATCGGATTTATGTTAATACTACTAATTTAACTAATTTAATAATAATTCTGTATTTAAAAAAGTCAAGAAACCACAGCCCAACTAAACTTATTAAATTTTGCTTATCTGATTTGACTCGTAAAATTTCAGGCAAAAAAAACAGGTAGTAAAAGCATAATAAATCATGCAATATGTAGTAAATTCTTTTTATTCTCGTTATCGGGACTTACTTAATCAAATTTCAGTTAGATGTACGTAAAGTGTTTCTTTTCGTGGTAAGTAATAAAAAATTAAAGACTTGAATTTAATATAATACAACGTTAAGACTATTACGAGTCACAGTATTTTTAGCCTTAATCACCGTAAAAAATCGAGTCGACTTTAATTTTTCGCTCCTAATCCCTCGATCGTTAAGTTCTCAGCACGAGAAAGTACTCACATTTTCTCCAGGACCGCCGAATCCCGTCAAGTTGTAATCTCCCATTCCGCTTCCGCTGTCCTCTCTTGGGGTGCCCGGTCCTCCGTTAGCTGGAGAATTCTTCATTCCGTCCATGCCGTCACCGTTCAGCACTGGACCCATCGAGTTCGGTCCCATCGGCCCCATTGGTCCACCTTCCGGACCGCCAGACATTGGGAATTCCCCGGGCATCGAACCGCCCACCGCCGGTTTCATCAGCGTATACATATTTTCACCACCCGAATTGGACGAATCTTGCGGACTTGGCATTATTGGTGTTCCTGGGCCCGGTGGACCCGCCGAACCTGGCGGACCACCGTAATTCCCAGGAGAAGATGATGAATAAATAGGCTATAAATATTTATATTTTCAAATATTTTATATTTAAATTTTTCAATTATACACTGTTGGAAATAATTCACGAGCACACTCTATATAATCTAAACGCATGAAGGTAAATCATGCACTACTTTTAAGTAGTTACATTACTTTAGTAGTACTTCCATACCAAATTTCATAGCGCTGGACACACGCGTTTAGATTATATAGGGTGTGCTCGTGAATTATTTCCAACGGTGTAATTAGTGGTGTTGTATTTATTTATACTTACTGTAGATGTGTTTGGTTGCCATTGTGGTCTCCCGCCGGTCATGGTCATAGGTGGCATAGGTCCGGGTCCTAAGCTGCTATTAGGCGGTGGAACTCGTACTCCGGGTCCATACGAACTGGGGCCGAGTGGTCCCATTCCAGGACCCCTAGGAGGATTCATCCTGGGATTCATGGGGTTCATACCAGGCGGTCCTGTAATTGTTATTAACGATTCCGTCGAGACTCTGCTTCTACATAAAAGCGTTCTTTTTTTATTATTTATTTATTTTTTTTAATTTTTTTAATATTTTTTAATTTTTTTTTTTTTTTCGTAGACAACATAAAATAGAAAAAAAAATAATAGATACATAGATGTCCCAACACGAATCGATAAGCCCACATATGATTATTTAATTTCTATTTATTAAAAAAAAATTAGTTTTATCGATACGTTTTGAGATATCTTATATTTCGAACGTGTAAGGGTGCTGGTACATTTGTAAAAACAAAACTTGACTCTATTGAATTTTTTTTCGTTTCGGTTTAGTTTGAAAAACGTCTACGTATATATTATATATATGTGGTAATGTATAGTAGCGTGAATATAGCGAAAGCATGCCAATAATAGACATGTTAAAAGCAATAAACAAAAGGAACAAACAATAAGTGAAAGTAAAAAAGAAGAATAAGCGGTCGCACGAGGTGTGTTATGCACAGTAAGTGTAAGGTGGGTGAAGGAGCGCATATGCCTACCTTGCCAACCTACAAATTCTCCGCCTTCACCTGGAGACAGAAATAGATGCATTACACGAGGCATTTCATGGATATTTCATGCTAGTGCTATTCTTCAATAAATTGTCGACCTTGGGATTCTCAAAAAATATAAATTATCTTCCATATGAGGGGATTCATCTTCAAACCGTGCGCATCGACTTGACAGGCGAAATATAACCTAACATTGATTGAAACTTACACTTCAATGATTATTTTTGAGAATCCTCTAAGCTAATGTTATGATATTTGTTATTAAAGTTTTTAAGGAATAAAAATAAAGAACAAAATTAAAATTAAAAAATTAAACAAAATTATAGATTAAAAAAGAAAAAAAAACGCAAATCACTTTGAATTATTTTTACTGAATTACTTGATTAGAAATACTATGAACGGATTTAACTAAGATGCACGATTACCGATCTCAGATCGATTATATTTTCGATGACGCAGAAGATTTTTATCAAAAGATCTATGAAAAGAGCACTGTAAATATCATTGAAATCGATTACCTTGCCGCGACGGATCCATATTGTTAGGCATCATTGGTTGTCCAGGCGGCTAAACAAAAAAGTAAACAATCAAAGATGTCTCATCAAAAAATAATAAACTTACACCGCTAAAATCTGTGCCTATTTGTGGCATTCTCACTCCAGGTCGAGGCCCTGGATACCTAGATGGCCCTAGAAAGGGCTGTGATGACATCATTTGTGTGTGTGGTGGTGGAGGTTGTGAATGTGGTGATGGTTGACTCGATGGATGCGTTGGAGGCGACGGTCTCATCGTCGAATTCTTCATTTCAAACAATAATAAATAAAACAAAAATATCTATCAAAAGTTACATACTGGGAAAAATCCGGGTGGGATTGGACCTCCAGGCATTCCATCGTTCGGGGGAATTTGACTAAGTGGACTTGGTGCTGGTCCTGTGTTCTAATAAAACAAAATTAAATTAATTTAATCATTAAATACCAACTAAATTAAAACTTACGTGTGCGATGCCGTTAACACCTCCATAACCGGAATTTACAAATCCCTAAAAAAAATACATAATGATAATTTTAGGTTTAAAGGTACTTTTTAATACTGAATACCAACGATGTATCTTCAGGCTCATTAAACATCTCAATTGATAGCCAAGCCTCTCTCTCAGTTAATATCATTTGAGTTTCAAAGTTTTAATTTAATCTATTTTGCTTGTGAGAAATGAGGAAACTTATAAATATAATTAAAATATTCTAGTCTATTTTCGGCTAAGGCTGATTCTGCAGCATCCCTTTCTAAGGCTCTTAACCACCCGTCATATGCCTTTTAGCTTCTAGTACTTTGCGCCTTGAAATCACTTGAAATCTATAATAATTAAGTGCATAACAGATCGACACTTAGATTTAATAAAGAATTCAAAAACAGCAAAGGAAATGTTGAAATCTTTAAAAGATGTTGAAAGAATGTTATATGCCCCTGTGGCAAGAACAAGTACAATAAGAGTAATGTTAGTTCATGCAATAAGAAAAGGATGTAATATCAGACAATTGGAGACAAATAGAAATAATTTAATGCATTAGCTTTCAAGAAAACGAAATGTGTAGCTTTATCAACTGCAGAATCCGAATTCATGGACGAGGTTGTATCTTTTTGTGAATAACTAAAACGATGCGTCTTATCAAAAATTTTTGAATAACCAATCAAATTGGTATTCCAGAGGCTCTGTTACCTACTTTTCATCTCTTGGAGGTATCTTCAGGCTCATTAAACATCATAATTGATAGCCAAGCCTCTCTCTCAGTTAATATCATTTAAGATTCAAAGTTTTATTCGCAATCCTCATTCAATTTTGCTTCTGAGTAATGACGAAACTTGCAAATATACTTAAAATATTGTAGTCTATTTTTGGATAAGGCTTGTAGACTCCAGTTATGACCTTTTAGCTGTTGTACTGCTTTGCGACCAAGATTTACTCTTTGCGCCTCTTTTTTTGGCAGCCGTCAATATCCAAATATTCCGCTAAGTATTCTGTCTTCCCTATGTTATATCTTTTCTATCTGTAGGCACAACGATTTGGTTTGGGGTTGGGTTGGGTGACAAAATTCAATTCAAAACTCTAAAGCTCCTTTGATGATTTTTAATTGCCACAAAAAAAGCAAAATAATATTCTAAAATTTGCTGAAATCGGCTTATACAAAGTGTTCCTGTAAGTTGTGGCATAATTTTAATCACAAATACTAGAGTTAAAATGCTAAACCCATAAATGGTTAAGATATGGGCTTTCAAAGTTAAGAAAATTTTAAACATTTTCTTCAAAATTTTCAATATGGTTTGTCTTAGAAAGATAAAATTTGGTAAATAGTGGAATGTTATCATGAAAAATTGTTTAAGACGTCTTTTGAAAATATATAACCATGGGATTAATACTATACAGGTGTTCACAAGGTTGTTTCCTTAAAACTTTTTTATTTTGTCATAAACCCTTAAATTTTTCAACTGATTTCAAAAGCCTATTTCATTTTAAAATTATTTTCACTCTTAGAAATTTTTGTTTAGACGCATCGTTTTCGAGTTATTCGCAAAATATATAAGCTATATCTTAAGCATTTATGGGTTCCAACCAATCAAATTGGTATTCCAGAGACTGTGATACTCTCTTTCCATCTCTTGGATGGAAATGGACCTCTCTCTCAGTTAATATTAAAGTTTTATTCGCAATGCTCATTCAATTTTGCTTCTGAGTAAACTTGCAAATATACTTAAAATACTGTAATCTATTTTTGGCTAAGACTTGTACACTCCAGTTATGACCTTTGCGCCCAAGATTTGCTCTATGGGCTAAATCTCTCTCACAATTTGGAGTCTTACTTAATAAAGATTCTAAGTATATAAACTCTATCTGTAGCTACAACAACTTGGTTGGGGGTTGGGTTGGGTCAAAAAGTTCAATTCAAAATTCTAAAGAATAAACGCAAAATAATATTCTAAAATTTTCTGAAATCGGCTTGTGTGATAATAAGGATTGTGAAAAAAAATTATATAAAAATACATGTTGTATGTCTTTATAAATAAATAATTAATAAAGAACACATTAATTAATTAGTAATTTAAAAGTTTTATCAAATATATATCGTATTGTATTTAGAGATCGCAATGTTGCCAAGATTCAATCCAAGTATTGATCACGGGCGCGCGGTTATTTACACGTACTTTAGGCATATTTACACTCCGAAGTTTGTGGAACGCGCATGCGCCGTCGAAAATTGAACATTTTACAAATTTTACGGTAAACCCAAATCAAAACTTAACCCACTTACGTAGTCGTGAAATGCTTTGGCTTCAGAAGAATGTTCGCATGTGTCCCTTCGTTCGGGGGCGGCGCAGTAGAGGTCCCAGAAAACGCTAAGACACAAAAAAAGCAAAGGAAAAAGATGTAAATGAAGATTAGGTTATGTTGTGAAGGGGGATCAAAACTTACCACCACCAAGAGTGTAAAAATCCAGGTGGTTCGCCTAATGTGATGTTCTTTTCCCATCGTATCTAAAGAGAAAAGAGGTGATAAGAAAAATTGAGATGGGGAAATGAGATTTTTTACCTCAGATAGGAAGGTTTGGGCGGCTTTTTGAGCCCCCACGTGTAGAAGATATTCATAAACGTACAGAGCCAGTCTAAAGGGAATTAAAAAAAATTTGGGACAGGTTAAATTGATCGCTCTGTATATTAAATATGTTAATTTATTTGAACTTACTTTTCCCGTGCTTGTGCATCAGATGGCACTGTAGATCCTTTACCTTTATACATTTTTTACTACACTCTGAATACTGTTTACATTAAGATATATATCGTGTAAAAAGTAACACTAAAAAAAATAAATGAACCACTGACTATATAAACAACATGATTATTGTTAGAACTATGTCTAACTTTATGTCACTGGTAAAGAGTGGCGTAGCAAATATCACTTCTTAAAAAATCGAAAATTGACCGAAAATGAATCGAATTAGTCTTAAAAATGATAAAAAGGTTGAGAACTGCGTTTAGTCGTTCATATTTGATCACCTTTATTTATTAAAATATCGATGTCCACACGCGATCAACAAACCAAAATATTAACTTTTCTGGTACACAAACAGCAGCACGGATAGCGACCCTCATTTGCGCTTGCGCAATACGCCGATTCGCCGTCCCCGTCTCTACGCTTATTATTTCTCCTAATTATTATCGATGTCGCCAGATTTTCGACATTATCTCTCTTGGTTCTTGCGTTTATTTCACATCGACGTTTTTCATTTCATCGCCGCGACCGACATTTTCACTGAAATTTTCACTAATTTTTTAATAACAGACTCTCACGAACGCGCACAAACTCTCGACGCTCACCGGAAAACTAAAATTGGCAACGTTCGTTCGTCCTTTACGAACGTCGCGACCTCTAGCGACGTGTCAGCTTATTACAATCAACACAAAAAAAAGATAAAAATAATAAATAATCAAATATATATAATAATCAAAAAATATTTATTATTAAATCCCTAACTTAACCAACTAATTTAATATTCGATTCAATATAAGTTTCATATAATTTAATTTAATTAAAATATGTTATGAACTAAAATAAATGTAATAAAAAAGTAGATAACCCATTTAACAAGTTAAATTAGCATAAACAAAAATGTTTATCACTATTAAGTTAAAACGATAGCATTAAATGTTTGTTTACTATTTTATATCATCGCAGCAACTACGCAGGAAAAGAATAACAAGATAATTTTGTTTTGTTCCAACCGTTATCAGTTCTAATAATACGCTCGGTGTGAATGCATGTTCAAAGTTTTTCTTACACATAAAAAGAAATATTTAAAAATTTTAATAATACGAACGATTTTAGGAAAGAAATTGACATAAAATATATATAGATCTCTTCGCGCGTTTTTTTAAATAGCCGCCACCTGGATTCCAAAATGGCATTGCACGTAGTTGTTTTGATGTTCGATGTTGTGTGAGTTGTTGCGTCGTCCATAGTTGCTCGTACCATATTTTCACAAATAAAATACGTTTTCAGCATCAAGTCGGTGCGTTTTCGTCTTCTTGTTCCAATAATCGTCAAAATTCCGCCCACAGAGTAAGTAAAAATCCGTATTACTTTCCCTTGATATATATACACACCATTTTTTTTTTGTTCCTTTTGGCCGTGATGCTCGAAAATGGTGGTCTTCGAAAATGGTTCTTCAAATTCTTATTTTGTTTTAAAACATTTTCTTTTCAGAATGAAAGTACCTCCAACTAACATCAATGGCTTCGAAGCCTACAGTGATGAAGCATACATCTCTGATGGTATCACTAATCATCTCACCATTGCTAATGGTACCGTTGAAGAGTATAGCCCTCCTGTTCAAGATAGTGACTTTTCAGAATATATGTGGATGGAAAATGAAGAGGAATTTGATAAAGAAGTAAACTTTATTTCTTTTTAATTCATTAAAATAACTATCATAGATATAGCAACATTACAATATCTTTGTTTTTACAACAATCATTAATAATTTGCAATTTGATCTAATATTGTTCATTTGGCTTCAAAATGTATGTATGCAAAGTTTCATTTTTTATCTTTTAGTATTTAGAAAAAAAGGGATACATACAGTGACATAGAAAAGTATACATACACCATTTTGAGTAATTTATGGAATTTAGATGTATAAAATGTTTATTAAATGAATTAGTATTAAGTATAATACTTGAAATTGAAGAATTAAATGCGTGTTGAACAACATTTATTAACAATAATAACCAAAATTAATTTTTTATTCAGATGGGTCTGATACTTTATGAACACCAACCTTAATTTAATAAGATTTTGTATTTAGGAGGCATCGCCTCGCCTCTTGATGTCTTAGAAGATAAAGTAAAGAACAATACTTGAATGAGAAATCGTTTATTTTCACTTCGCCAAGGTCGTATTCATAATGTATCAATTCCAGCGCCTCGTCCGCAAGCGACCTCGGCGGTATTGATGAAATCGTGCGCTTGATGTCTTGGAAAGTAAACTAAATAATACTTTTATGAGAAATCGTTTATCATCACTTCGCCGAGGTCGCTTGCGGGCGAGGCGCTGGGTCTGATACTTTATGNTGCCCACAAGCGAATTCGGCGGTATTGATGAAATCATGCACTTGATGTCTTGGAAAGTAAACTAAATAATACTTTTATGAGAAATCGTTTATCATCACTTCGCCGAGGTCGCTTGCGGGCGAGGCGCTGGGTCTGATACTTTATGAACACCAATTCAATGAGATTTTGTATTTAGGAGGCATCGCCTCGCCCGCAAGCGACCTCGGCTATATTAGGTAAATTATTATGAAGACTTCAAGTGAACGATTTCATTTAATACCGCCGAGGTCGCTTGCGGGCGAGGCGCTAGATTTGATATCATGTAGTCATAAAATTAGTTGAGTTGAGGTACATATTCATAATGTATCAATCCCAGCGCCTCGCCCGCAAGCGACCTTGGCGAAGTGAAGATAAACGATTTCTCATACAAGTATTGTGTACTTAGTTTACTTTCTAAGACATCAAGTGAACATTTTCATGTAATACCGCCGAGGTCGCTTGCGGGCGAGGCGCTGGATTTGATATCATGTAGTCACAAAATTAGTTGAGTTGAGGTTCGTATTCATAATGTATCAATTCCAGCGCCTCGTCCGCAAGCGACCTCGGCGGTATTGATGAAATCGTGCACTTGATGTCTTGGAAAGTAAACTAAATAATACTTTTATGAGAAATCGTTTATCATCACTTCGCCGAGGTCGCTTGCGGGCGAGGCGCTGGGTCTGATACTTTATGAACTCAAANCGACCTCGGCGGTATTGATGAAATCGTGCGCTTGATGTCTTGGAAAGTAAACTAAATAATACTTTTATGAGAAATCGTTTATCATCACTTCGCCGAGGTCGCTTGCGGGCGAGGCGCTGGGTCTGATACTTTATGAACTAACCTTAATTCAATGAGATTTTGTATTTAAGAGCCATCGCCTCGCCCGCAAGCGACCTCGGCGAAGTGAAGATAAACGATTTCTGATACAAGAATTGTGTATTTAGTATACTTTCCAAGACATCAACTGAACGATTTCATATAATACCGCCGAGGTCACTTGTGGGCGAGGCGCTAGATTTGATATCATGTAGTCATAAAATTAGTTGAGTTGAGGTTCGTATTCATAATGTATCAATTCAAGCGCCTCGCCCGCAAGCGACCTCGGCGGTATTGATGATATCGTGCACTTGATGTCTTGGAAAGTAAACTAAATAATACTTTTATGAGAAATCGTCTATGCTGGAATTGATACATTATGAATACGAACCTCAACTCAACTAATTTTATGACTACATGAACAAATCTAGCGCCTCGCCCGCAAGCGACCTCGGCGAAGTGAAGATAAACAATTTCTCATACAAGAATTGTGTACTTAGTTTACTTTCCAACACATCAAGTGAACGATTTCATCTAATACCGCAGAGGTCGCTTGCGGGCGAGGCGGTGAAACTGGTATCATGGCTCCTCAATGCAAAATCTCATTAAAGTTTGTGTTCATAAAGTATCAGACCTAGCGCCTGGCCCGCAAGCGACCTCGGCGAAGTGAAGATAAACGATTTCTCATTCAAATATGGTGTACTTAGTTTACTTTCCAAAACATCAAGAGAACGATTTTATGTAATATCGCCGAGGTCGCTTGCGGGCGGGATTGATATATTGATTCAAAACCTCAAAAACATATTAATTGAGGACTGGAATAGAATTTCAGCGGAAACCACAAAAAAGTTGGTATGTTCTAGAAAAATAGAATCAATGCTGTAATTGCAAGTGTTAGAAAAACTGTGTTTTGTCCGTTATTGTTAATATATGTTGAACACACACGCCATTTATTCTGCAGTTGTTTTATGTGTTACTTCTAACTTGCATAAATTGTGTATGCAACTTGCAATAAAATCTGTGTCATTGTATGTCGCTGCAGTAGTGCCTGTTTTGGATATATTTGTCCCTGCATTAATAAAATAAAAGAGCAGATAGAAAAGAAATATCTTTGACATCTTGACTTGTGACATCTTTATCTATTGGGAGGTGTCCTTTTTGTAGTCCTTTTTGAAGCCTTGTCTTTGAGAACGTTTGTAAGTTGCTTCTGATCAATGAAAGGAACTTTTTTATGGCTAACTTCTTCATAAACAATATGTGCATTATAAACTGAAGTCATGAAGACTCTAAAAAAAAATTTTCTTCCACCATTTTGTGCTTCTTCAGTCCAAATCGTATAATGCCCATATATTTGTTATAAATATATGGACAATTATTGCTTCTGGACAATCAATTTCATTGGCGCTTCCATCTTTCAGTTTGCGATTCGGATTTCCGACTGTAGGTAATTACTCAAAACCAACACGTCTTTAGTGTCTTTCCATCTGAGTCCTAATAAGCTTTCATTGCAATCAGCCATTCTTCAGCCTTCTTGTTTTTAGAAAGGTGTAAAACCAAGCAGGATAAAACCTCTTCAAAATAGTAAAATTTAGATGCATCCGCCGGTTTTTCTGGAATAGTGAAATAAAGTTCCGACATGAGAAAAAGTTTTTTGAATCGCTTTCTTCTTTGCTTTTTCCAGTATTTCAACACGTAAATTTATGTAGTGACTTATTTGCATTATTAGACTTTTTGATTTATAAAAACAGTCGAGCATTGTTGAACCTCTATTTAGATCAAGTTTTATTATAGGTCTAACTTCTTCCTTGTCCAAATAAAATATTATCACTACACGGAAATAATCCCAAAAACAATAGCAGTAGGAGCACACAAACACTCAACTGGTCTGTAAAAATCTGCTGATAGGAGCTACACGTGTTTGTAATCTAAACTAAATTGGACTTACACATAAAGTGAAGCAACAGTATTTTTCAAACATCTTTGAATTGTATATATATGTTGTGCAGTGATTGAGAAGATTATTACTGCTTAAATCTTCATAAATGGGCTTTGAATACTTATTAAGAAATAATCTTCAATAAGTGGTTTTTTCTTGTTTTGGACACTCACTTGTATGATTTTGTCTCCGGGCTATTTAACATCAATTACTTTTACGCTATAATAACAATTTTAATTATTATTATTATTCCATGCAACTGAGATCAAAAAGCAACTGTTTTGCAACAAATAATTTCGTAGCATTTCTCACAAATTTTAATCAAATACAGATATACTATGAAATACTGATAGATTTTATTTTGTTGTTTAGGTAATGCAAAGATTAGAAGAAGAAGAACTCATGGAGCAATGCATGTTACAACATATGATGGATGATCAACCTCAAAATAATGCAGAGTAAGTAATAATTAATACGTTGTAATGAATTTATCATAATTACTTTTTGATTTAAAGAGCTGTGGTTAAAGATACTACAAATGGAAAACCCGAATCACAAAAACCAAGTACATTAAATCCAGATGCCGCAGAATTCGTGCCTAGCTGGGGTCGTCAGGGAACGTCCGTAAAGGAGACGTCAAAATCATCCTAAACTGTCTTGATAAAAATAAAAAAAACACGGACGATCTCAAGGACCGACCAACATGGAGACCACTACCTATCTTTTTGGCGGCGTGGCGTTCGTGAGTAGTATCGCAGTGTTGAAGTGTAAAAAAAAATATCAAATACCGGTTACAAGAAAAAGTAAAAAAAAAAATGTACATGTAAAGAGACTTTACTATGCGGCTACTCAGAACAAGTTCTAGGTTACGATGTTAAAATGGGTGAGGTTATGTATGTACGGAAATTTAAAAAAATAAAAACAAGAAAAAAATAATAAAATAAAAATTTGCGCAGATAAAAAATTTAAAATGAATTAGAAATTAAAAAAAAATCTTTAAAAATTTCTGGTGTGTTTAGTAGTTTATTTTCCTTTTTTTTTATAAATGAGTTTCAATAGTTTTGTTTTTGTCATTTCGTATAACACAACCTATCATAGTGATTGGCTGTGATATATTTTGTATATGTATGTATACAATGCGGCTGTGTGAGAAAACGAAAAAAAATTTTTACAAATAGTTTAACAATTTCGTTTTATTTTTTTTATTATTATAAACAAATTTCTTATACATCACAATGGATACTTAAAAAACTGTATAAAAAGCATATAAGCTGTACTGTATAAATTAATATTTTCATATAAAACCACAATCAACTTATATATATATATTTATATTATCCGCGGACAACGTGAAGTAAATTTTACAGGTTATATATAAGTTGAAAGTGTATAAAACCATATTTACTAATAATTAGTGTCATTATTTTTACTTTATAATTACATTTTTTTCATTATCAAACACACCAGTTGCGTGTACATAAGAATCCTAAAAAAGAATTTGTATTCAACATGTACCAACTATCTTAAAGTGGGCATAGCCCTTTAACATTAACATAAGAATCTGTACTTCGTTTCGAGTTAAAAAAAAAAAAAGTACTACGTCATTTTTGGTTTTTGGTTGTGAATTTGTATAAAAAATAAGCTTTCTTTGTTAAGTGTATTTAAACTACATATAATAAATTAAGATATCAACAAATTTAACGAATTTTTTTTCACTAATATATAATTAATAATTTATTAAAAGTTTAGTTTGGAATTTTGATGCACTAAAAATTCCCAACCCAACTTCATCAATTTATTGTAAGTTACTGAATACAAATTAATTTTATGATGTCATCCTATCGAATCCAGCGCCTCGCCCGCAAGCGATCTCGGCGGTATTGGATTAAATCGTTCCCTGATGTCTTGGAAAGTAAACTAAGTACACAATACTTGTATGAGAAATCGTTTATCACCATATCGCCGAGGTCGCTTGCGGGCGAGGCGCTGGGTTTGATACTTTATTAACACAAAATATCATTAATTTGTGTTTAGGAGCTATAATATTAAATCTAGCGCCTCGCCCGCAAGCGACCTCGGCGGTATTAGATAAAATCGTTCACTTGATGCCTTGGAAAGTTAACTAAGTACACAATATTTGTCTAAGAAATCGTTTATCTTCACTTCGCCGAGGTCGCTTGCGGGCGAGGCGCTGGTTTGATACTTTATTAACACAAACCATCATTCATTTGTGTTTAGGAGCTATAATATTAAATCTAGCGCCTCGCCCGCAAGCGACCTCGGCGGTATTAGATAAAATCGTTCACTTGATGCCTTGGAACGTTAACTAAGTACACAATATTTGTGTAAGAAATCGTTTATCTTCACTTCGCCGAGGTCGCTTGCGGGCGAGGCGCTGGGTCTGATACTTTATGAACACAAATCTTAATTCAATGACATTTAGCATTTAGGAGCTAAGATACCAGTTCCACCGCCTCGCCCGCAAGCGACCTCGGCGGTATTAGATAAAATCGTTTACTTGATGTCTTGGAAAGTAAGGTAAGTACACAATACTTGTATGAGAAATTGTTTATCATCACTTCGCCGAGGTCGCTTGCGGGCGAGGCGCTGGAACTTATTCATTATGAATACAAACCATAATTCAATAAGATTGTGTATTTAGGAGCTATGATATTAAATCTAGCGCCTCGCCCGCAAGCGACCTCGGCGGTATTAAATGAAATCGTTCACTTGTTGCCTTGGAAAGTTAACTAAGTACACAATATTTGTGTCATCGTTTATCTTCACTTCGCCGAGGTTGCTTGCGGGCGAGGCGCTGGGTCTGATACTTTATGAACTCAAATCTTAATTCAATGACATTTACCAATTACGAGCCAGTTCCACCGCCTCGCCCGCAAGCGACCTCGGCGGTATTAGAAGAAATCGTGCACTTAATGTCTTAAGTAAATAAATTAAATAATTTTTGTTTTTTAATTAAAAAGAAAATTTGTGTCATCACATTCTAAAAAAATGTATCAAAGAGTTCGAATTTCTATAAAATATTTAATAAAATCATCAATAACAAACATTTTTGTTTTAATTATAACTCCATTTAGAACAAGCCCCAATTGATATTCCACACGTTTTAGCGCTTCCTGCAAAATCATCGCTGAGTCATAATTATTTCTAGAAGAATCTTCATACTTATGTCAAAATCAATTTTAAATAAAATATATCAAGCCTGTAAGTATTAAATTATGTTTCCGTATTATTATGTAAGGTTTAATTTATCTTCAAAAAATTGAAAACTTAATTATTAAATTCGATTTTTTCTACTTTCGTGTAAATTGAATCGACAGAGAAAGATAAATAAATTGAATGTCGTGTCGGTCGTCATTATTGTCACACGCGTCAATAAATGTAAAAAAGGCAGGAAATTTCGAGGTCCGAGTCCATTATAAAACCAAATTGAATGCGGTTCAAACGTTGTTTTTTGCAATAAGGAATAGAAAGTGGACGAAAGTGGACCCAAAAGTTTCTCTTTAATCATTATGACTTTAATGGTGAGTATAATTTTGTTTTTGAAATTTATATAATGTTATTTCCTTTCAAAATTTGTTTTTTGTTTATTAATTAAATATTTGAAAAGAACCGATGTCATCAAAATTAATTAATAAGTTATTGCAATGTCACTAGAGTCAGTAAATTTTTGGGAGTGGGAGAAATAAAATCGGAGGTTGACTCGTCACACTCGCCAGTTGTATCCTAACAACGTGTGTTTCGCGTTGCTTCGTACAAAACATATTGAGTTATTAACGTAAAAACGTGAAATAAGGAAAAAATTGTATTGATAACAAATTTTTGAATCGTTATTTATATCTTAAAGTGGTCGAAATATCGATTGAAGCGAACCTTTAGTAAATAAAGGGGAAAGTTCTCTCATCTCAATCATTACCTTGACTTCATTTTTTTTCTCAATTATCTTGATAATAATCTATTATAACAGGTTAATATCTCCAAAAGTAATCGCCTTGCGAAAAAATTATTGCAACATTTTTCAACAAGTAAGTTATTATTTTTTACTTTTACTTTTATAATCATATTATGTAACTTAAAAAAATCTTATCGACGGTTTATATATAATATTTTAATCATATTTTAGCTCCAAGACAAACAATGCCTTGCCCATTTTTAACCCGTTTAACTCAAAATTATATTAGAAATTACGGTCCGACTCTTTTAAAAACTTATGGCGGGCAGTGTCCTGTTATGTCTAAAGCCTTACATCACGCTGAAGGCCAAATAAGCAACGCAACTCCAACTACGGTTCCGGACGATTCCACTGCCCAAACCAAACCCAATCTTTGCCCATTTTTGTCTGAGGTGGGTAATGTGGTTAAAGAAGTTGACAAACAGGATGTTATTGAACTCACCACTGATAATGTGGAGTCCTCTTCCAAAACAACCTCTACTTTTCCTTATGACAATTTTTTCCACCAACAAATTATTAAGAAAAAGAAAGATCATTCTTATCGCATCTTTAAGAAGGTTAATCGCCTTGCTGGTGAAGGGCAATTTCCTTCTGCCAAAGAATATTCTTGGGGAGAACGTTCCATCCTTGTATGGTGTTCAAATGATTATCTAGGCATGTCATGCCATCCAGAAGTAAAAAATGCAGTTCAGTAAGTACTCACATATTCAATATCTTATTGTTTGATAAGATAAAAATAATTGAATTATTTTTTTTTAATTTATTTTTTTTATTTTTTTATTAGTGCTGCTTTAGATGAATATGGTGTTGGCGCAGGAGGAACTAGAAACATTTCTGGAAATTCAACCCTTCACGAACGTTTAGAAACCCGTTTGGCACAACTCCATCAAAAAGAATCGGCTCTTCTCTTTACGTCTTGTTTCGTAGCGAATGATTCAACTTTATTTACATTGGCAAAGCTGCTCCCGGGTTGTCACATCTTCTCAGATGCTGGAAATCACGCGTCTATGATTCAAGGAATAAGAAACAGTCGGGCTCCTAAACATATCTTCCGTCATAATGACGTCGGACATCTAGAGGAATTATTAAAAAGCGTCGATAAAAATGTTCCAAAAATTGTTGCTTTCGAAACTGTGCATTCGATGACTGGCGCTGTTTGTCCTTTGGAAGAACTTTGCGAAGTCGCGCATAAATATGGTGCGTTAACGTTTGTAGATGAAGTCCATGCTGTTGGGTTGTATGGTGATCATGGAGCTGGGATTGGCGAACGAGATGGTCAATTACACAACATGGATATAATCTCGGGTACTTTAGGGAAAGCTTTTGGAAATGTGGGTGGTTACATAGCCGCGTCTTCGAATTTGGTGGATATGATTCGATCTTATGCGGCGGGATTTATATTCACAACTTCATTACCCCCTACGGTTTTGGCGGGAGCATATAAAGCGATTGAGGTGCTTGCTTCAGAAGAAGGGGTGGCTTTAAGGGGTGCTCATCAAAGAAACGTCAAGTATTTGAGAGAGCAATTAATAGGGAATGGGTTCCCTATTGAGCATACTCCAAGTCACATCATTCCCGTTAAAGTCGGCGATCCATTACAATGTACCACGCTCTCAGATAAATTATTAAGAGAAAAAGGACACTATGTACAAGCGATTAATTATCCCACAGTTGCTCGTGGGCAAGAAAAGCTAAGATTGGCTCCTACCCCACATCACACTCCCCAATTAATGAATTTACTTGTAAATGATTTGAAAGAAATTTGGAATGGTTTAAATATGCCGTTAAAGGGATTACAATGCAATAAAGTAAATTAATTTATTATTATTGTGGTTATTTAATTAATTTTTTGTGTTGTAGGAATGCGAATTTTGTCAAAAACCAATTCTATTTGATTACTTCGAAGCTAGAACACGCGGAAATTGCCGCTCAGAGGTGCAATGCGACATTCCTAATTGTCCACAAATGGTGGCCAATTAGTAATGATATCAACATTTATTTTCCTGACATTATGGATATAGTTGGTGTATGGGCGTATATCCAGCGCGATGCAATAACGTTTGGGTTTCAATAAAAAATGACAATTGTTGTTTAAAATATTTTATTTTTGTTATGGGGCTAATTGTAAAAGTATAGGATGTATAAAAAAAATTATTTGTTTTTTTTTTAACCCACTTCCTCGATTGTTATTTTATGACATTTGGGTTGCCTATAAATTACAACATTCTAAAATTGGTATTATTAAAAAATAAATTTGTTAATTAATTAAACGAATGATGTAAATAATAAGTGATTAATAAAATATTGTAAAATGATTTGAATTAAGAAATAATAAAAAAAAATTAAATCGATTTTGATACAATTCTATTAAACGCCAATTCGATCAAATAACCAATTTTTAGTAACCCACTTTTAATTAAATTAACAAATTAAATTAGCACCGCATTCATTTAAAATTGTAATCTTTTAGCTTAAAATGAAAATGGTATTAAGATTAAATATAAACGATTAATAAAATGAAATTTGAATAAATAAACTTTTTCAAATTGGATAAAATCAAGCATGACAGATGTGGTATGTAATGTCGACTGGTGGGGAGAGAAATGTGTGAAGAGAATCAGTGATATGAACGAATCTGAAATATTGCAAACCGTCAAACATTCGTTTTGCGGCCAAGTAGGGCTCACGGTGAATATATAATACGCGGCAGGTGTAGTGCAAGTTATGCGGTGGCCCCCGGTATCTTCCTAACGGGTTCGTTAGGTGACCCGAGCTTTTAAAAAATGAGTCACACCAGCGACAAATCGCTCTCTCAACCCCTTAGGGTCGACACCGAAGACAATAACACCACCAGTAACGAAAATGGTACATATTTCGAGGAGGTTAAAGAAAATTACAATCAAAGTAACCCAGCCATTGATGATTCATTGGGACCTTTACCACCCAAATGGGAAAAGGCTTACACTGAAAGCGGAGAAGTTTATTTTATAGAGTACGTTACTTATTTAGGTTATATTTTAGCAAAAAATAAATTTAAGAAAAATAAGTTAAAATTTGTAATATTATGTTTATTTTTATTTCGTCAAGGTCGCTTGCAGGCGAGGCGCTGTGTCTGATACATTATGAATATACAGGGTGTTCCGGTGACTCGCGGCATAAAATTAACGATTCGTGAAAAAAAATTATTATAAAAGTCTTCAAATGGCCAAGAAATGTTAACACATTTTTCTAAATATTTTCAATACTATTTATGGTAGAGCGTTGAAATTTGGTACAGGGTAAACAAATATCAAGCAAAATCATTGAACCAATTTTGACTTTGATCGGGCGGCGGCAACCATGCTATACAGGTGTCCCTAAAATTTGTTTGCTCAGAACTTTTTTGTTCGCTCGTAACCTTATATTTATTTTTGTACTTTTTAATAGAAAATTTATTTTAGAAACTTTTATCACTCTTTGAAAATTTTGATAACATTGACCGTTTTCGAGTTATACGCGAAAATTAAGCTTTGATTTCAATCATAACAAACAAAAAAAGGAAACATATTCTGCAAGATCTGAATTGGCGATGACAATTGAAAAACGAACTTAGCTAATAATCATTATTTGCATAAATTTTATTTTAGTTGAATAAGGCCCACTTTTACCACCTCTTTATAAATTTATCCTTATATATATAAATTTATCTCTTAGCCAATGAGAGTGCTTAAAATCGCCGTAACCATGGCAACTATCCTCTAGATAGTTTATCAGGAGGATGGTAACAGTGGGCCTAAAAGAATGTAATTTCCAAAACAATAAATTTAACAACAAACAAAAATTCTAACAAAAATATTAACAAGAACTATAAAATTATAAACAAATAGTAATAAATAAAAAAGAACAAAAAAATACTAAAGCAGATGTTCAAAAACACTCCCGCCGGCATCAATCACCGTCTTAAATTAAAGCGCACACTGCGGAGGACATTAATTTTCGTTTCGAAGTTGATTAAATGAATCAACAATTCGCAACCTCAGTTGATCAACTGAAGTTATTTCAACGCAGTAAACTAGCCATTTAATCTACAGGTGTAATATCGGGGGGGCAAACTTATCGGTGCACCTACTCCTCGTCCAATCCACCGTCCCGGAAAATATTCCCTCAGAAATTCTTGGACAGCCTGTGTGCTATGCACCATCACGCATATACCACATTGCTTGCCTTGTGTTTAAAGGAACGTCATCTAAAAAATCATTTAATTCCTCTAAATGTCGCCTGTATGTATGTCCATCCAGCCTTGATGGCAAGAAAACGGGTCCAATAATTACATCGCCCACAATGCCAGCCCAAACGTTAAGAGAAAATCTCCATTGTGATTTCCAAGTTTTCTTAAATCTTGGATTTTCGTCCGCCCAACTATGTAAATTTCTCAAATTGGTGATTCCATCTTTAGAAAAAGTGGATTCATCTGTAAAAAGCACTTTTTTGGGATTTTGTGCTGCATTATTTATCAATATTGCAGTCGTAGTGGATAATCAGCCAGTAGAACTTCCTGAACTTTGTAACAATGAAATGGATAAAGCTGTTGCTCGTGAAGAACACGCCAGACAGTTGATTTTGAAGTTAAAAACGTCCCATTTTCCCTTAATCGGGTTTCAATCCTTAAAAATGTTTTTCGATTGGGTTACATTTCTCCCGATAACGGTTAGTGGCTGCTACGGCGTTTCCATGACATTCCCCTAATGTCAAAATCATGTCAGTTTGTTCACTAAATGTGTAACTCTCCATTTTGAACACTTAAAATTAATAAAAACTTAACTAACATAGCACTATCGTTTGTGTTTAAACGACATAAGCAAGTTGACAGCTCAATTTGTTTTTTTTTTTAATTGCCATGGCCAACCTTGACTTTTTCGAAGATTTTTGTTTTTTGGTGTTATAAATCGAAACTTAACATTTTCGCGTATAACTCGAAAACGGTCAATGTTATCAAAATTTTCAAAGAGTGATAAAAGTTTCTAAAATAAATTTTCTATTAAAAAGTACCAAAATAAATGTAGGGTTACGAGCGAACAAAAAAAATCCGAGCAAACAAATTTTAGGGACACCTGTATAGCATGATCAAAGTCCGATCAGGGACGCCCGATCAAAGTCAAAATTGGTTCAATGATTTTGCTTGATATTTGTTTACCCTGTACCAAATTTCAACGCTCTACCATAAATGGTATTGAAAATATTTAGAAAAATGTGTTAAAATTTCTGAAGTTTGATGGCCCATATCTTGGCCATTTGAAGACTTTTATAATAATTTTTTTTCACGAATCATCATCATTTTTGCTCTAGTATATGAGGTTAACTTATGCCCCAAGTCACCGGAAGACCTTGTATACAGGGTGATTCACATAAGAACCGACACAGAGCAGGGACATGTAGAGGACAATAAATTAAGATGATTTAACATAACTTACCTCTATACTAAGTTGTACACCTGAGGAGTTATAGGCCTTCAACGTTGGCTCTTAAATTTTCAAAAAGTTCAATATTTTCGTAATACATTAAGGTGGAAAAACCTTAAACAAGGGTATTAATTGATAGCAAATTGAACTCAATTGAGGCATTTCAAAGGGCTGATTAAGGGTGATGGTTCCCTAAATTTTGGCAGATTTTTTTAACCTTTTGGTGGATTTAATACATCACTCTTATTATTTTTTAAAAAACTTTATCGTTTTCATAAAAAACTTAAATAACTAAAGACCCGTATTTCGTAATGTTACTTAAAATAAGCGAAAATTCGAAAAAACTTGACAAATAGGTTATAAAGTTATTTGAGACAAGGTTTTATAACCTATTTGTCAAGTTTGACGTACAATTTCACAGCCGACTACCGAATTTTCGATGATAAAAAGTTGCGCATATAATGTTTTATTTATAATACTCCAAAAATTTTTCGGTAAATTTTCAATTTTTGCCGATAGGGCGAAAACAAAAGACGATAGCTGTTCGCAGTTTTCGGCATTAGCATTTTCTCGAAAAACGAGATTATGACATGTAAGCTACTTTTTTTCTATCTCTTTTAGTTTCGGAGATAGCCTATGCGGACAACAAAATTGGGACATCCTGTACTTATTAGTTTACTTTCTAAGACATCAAGTGAACGACTTCATCAATATTTATCCTCGTCCGCAAGCGACCTCGGCGGTGGAATTGATACATTATGAATACGAACCTCAACTTAACTAATTTTATGACTACATGATATCAAATCTAGCGCCTCGCCCGCAAGCGACCTCGGCGAAGTGAAGATAAACAATTTCTCATTCAAGTGTTGTATCTTCAATTTACTTTCTAAGACATGCACGATTTACGTAATATAGCCGAGGCGATGGCTCGTAAACACAAAATCTCGTTGAATTAAAGTTTGTGTTCATAAAGTATCAAAGCCAGCGCCTCGCCCGCAAGCGACCTCGGCGAAGTGAAGATAAACGATTCCTTATACAAGTATTATTTAGCTTACTTTCTAAAACATCAAGTGATTTCGTTATATTCATGATATATTAGTTACAGCTAAACGTGATATCGTTCATTTGATTTCTTAAAACTAACTTTTTGTAATTTTTTATTAATCATACATGAATTGCGAAAATAAATGACTCAAGAATGATTCATTCCCATTAACACATAAATTAAAAAAAAAACTCATTATTTATTCTCTGTATAGCCATTCAACTGGTACTTCTCATTGGTTAGATCCGCGTTTATCAAAGTTTCAAAAGAAATGTTTAGAAGATTGTTTGGACGATGAGCTTCCATACGGTTGGGAAAAAATTAGCGATCCTCATTACGGTACTTATTTCATTGATCACGTCAACCGAAAAACTCAATACGAAAATCCCGTAATTCAAGCGAAAAGAGCTGCTTCTCGAGCATCCGCTAGAGTAAGCACGGCGTCGTTTACGAAAGATCCATCGGAATTATGCGGTCAAAGATTTAGAACGTCGTTGGTAAAATCATCGCGAGGACTTGGGTTTACTATCGTTGGTGGTGATGATGCAATCGATGAGTTTCTACAAATAAAATCTGTTGTTCCGAAAGGACCGGCTTGGTTGGATGGTAAACTTCAAATGGGTGATATAATAGTTTATGTGAATGATACGTGTGTATTGGGATACACCCACAATCAAATTGTGAGGTTATTTCAATCAATTTCGGTTGGATCAACGGTTGCTATTGAAGTATGTAGAGGTTATCAGTTACCGTTTGATCCAAACGATCCTAATACAGAAGTTGTAACAACGATAGCTGTTGACTCAAATTTGCAAACGTTGCCGAACGAAAAATGCTTAGGTACTTTAGATACAAATTATAATTTTTTGGACGCCGATAATATAAATGACGATCTTGATGGCACCAACGAAATAGATGACTTATTGAAAGGTATAAGCGTTGGTAAAGTTGAAGTACGTGTTAGAATTGTAAAAGGTACATTAGGTTTTGGATTTACAATCGCAGATAGCGCTTGTGGTCAACGAGTTAAAAAAATATTAGATCGGCAAAGATGTAAAAATTTAATGGAAGGCGACATTTTATTAGAAATTAACGACGTTTCTTTACAAAATATGACCCATGACGAAGTAGTTTTGGTTTTAAAAAATTGCCCGTTTAACAACGAGGCCACAATTTGCGTACAAAGGGGCGCGGCAACAACAGCAAAATCGCCACCAAATCGAAATCGACCCCGGAAACTCGATAACCGTTTCGGCAATAAAGATGGAACTGCAACATTTAGAAGTAAAACACCAACAGCTGATATTTATAGTACACAACCCCGCGAAATCTTACCTAGCAGACCTAAAACACCAATCGTTGATACCAGAAATATCTCAAAAACATCACCCAAAGATGTCAACTCGAATTCAGAATTGTACAAACGCGATTACGTTAACGAAAACTTCCAAGAGAAATCTCATATGTGTTTATCTTTGGCTGATAACCATGGTGGCGACGAAGAAGAACTCGAAATTAATAATATTATTCAAAATAATCATACTCAAGAGTATCACACATCATCTTCAGGAATGTACATGGCTTTACCCCATCGATTTGATTGTTTGTGCTATAACTGTCAAAATCATCGCGGGATGATTGAAAATAATACTTGGAGAGTTCAACCTCCTTGCGATTATATGGAGTATACAGTTACTTTACATCGACAAGAAACCGGGTTTGGGTTTCGAATTGTTGGTGGAATTGAAGATCAATCACAAGTTAGTTTTATTTATTACACTTTTGGAAATAATTCACGAGCACATTCTGTACAATAAACCTTTATGCTCCTCAAATATTATGGATTTATTATTATATAGGGAATTATTTCCAACAGTGTATTTAATTAATTAATTATTATTAATTTTTTTTTATATAAAAGGTTGCTGTTGGTCATATTGTACAAGATGGAGCAGCCGATTTAGATGGAAGAATACGTTCAGGTGACGAAATAATCTGCGTGGATAATCTCTCGGTTGTTCAAGCTTCTCATAGATTGGCGGTTAAGTTGGTGAATGTTGCAGCGACTAGGGGACAAGTTGTTTTAGTATTACGTAGGCGATTATGCCCGCCGATTGGAGGGGGGCCCGTTTCTCCAACTCAACCCGCCGTAACTGATTATCATCCACAAACATATGATGTGGTGGTAAATCGTAACGAAAACGAAGGATTTGGGTTTGTCATTATCTCGTCTGTTAATAAAGCTGGTTCAACAATAGGTAAGTAATTCGTTTATTTTATTTATTTGATAAAATTAATAAATCTTTTATTAATTAAAATAGGTCGTTTGATAGAAGATAGTCCCGCCGAAAGATGTGGAAGATTAAGGGTTGGAGATTATATTCTTGCGGTAAATCACATAGATATAATGCACTTAAGTCACGGCGATATCGTGAATTTAATCAAAGATTCCGGTTTGTCGGTTACATTAACAATAACTCCAAATACTGAACAATGATAATAATCAGTATGCCATTATTAATAAATTAAAAGAGTAGCTATTAATATTATTACAAAAAAAAACAAATATGAAATGTTTTCTGTTATAACATATCAAATTTCGTTGATTCTATATTAAATATATATAAATATAAATAGTATGTATACATTTCCATAAATAAATAGGTGAATCCGCGAGAGAATTTTACAAATTTATAATGTTGATGTTTAAAATTTTACATTTTTTACCTATGTACAGTAACTTAAAAATTTATACTTCCAAATCCATAATCCAAAATTTATAATCACGAATTTATGAATACAAAACTTTTGGCGTTTAAATTTTTGAGTTGCTGTATATATTGGGCAATATTAAAGTTGTTAAACGTCAAAAAGTAATTCTAGACGATAAAAAACGTTTGAAACAGTTGGAGATTCTCCAGCTAAAAAAAATCTTCAGCTGTTACTAAAACTAAATGAAATAATTCTTTTTACGACTCAACTATACATATATATATATAAACGTATAGATACACCAATAACCGTTATTCCACGTAGATATTCCAAAGTTTTTTTTTAATACCGTTTCCAGAGTCACTGTGCAATAGTAAATTTTTGCTATGATTATTTATGATTCCGAAATCTTCTTTCTTTTTTATTTACACACTCTTTTATGTGCCTTAAACATTACGTTAACTTAAAATGTCCCAATACTTTTGACTATTAATGTATAAGTTGCTTAAAAAATGATGTAGCAAGTAAATTCTTATCGGTTGTACGATGATAGAAAAAAAATGTGATAAGATTCTTTATAATTTTTAACTTGAAAATAAGAAAAAATGAGAATCCATCAATTATTCCATCTTACTCATCATCATATTTCAATTTAATACCAAGAATGAACGAATCATTCCAGTTTTTTTTAATCGTTGAAACGTTGTTGACATAATGTGATAGAGTTTGAGTCTCACTGCCAGACTGGTTGTTAAAAGTTGGTGTAAATAAGTCCTCTTTTTTTTAATTTGTAATTTATGATAGTAAATATAATGTTTCAACATACGCATTATTCTAAAGAGTTAATCCAATACAAAAAGAACACGACATTAACCATCAATAAGAAATAATGAAAAAGAATAATTTCGTGAAACGACCCGACTGAGTTTATTTTTTAGTAATTAGTGTACTTTGTGCATTTTGTAATTTTTTAATGTAGGTAATTCAAAAAATAAAGTTAATATTTAATCATTTAAAAAATTGTTTTCATTTTTAGCTAATCCATAATGTTTCAGAATTTTCACTGTATGAATAATTCCACGGCCGTCTTCGAAGACGTCGGCCGCCTAAGTGTATTTAGTGCCTCTTATGTGCCTTGGATGTCTTGGACAGTAAACAATACTTGTATGAGAAATTGTTTATCATCACTTCGCCGAGGTCTTAATTCAATGAAATTTTGCATTTAGGAGCTAAGCTACCAGCTCTACCGCCTCGCCCGCAAGCGACCTCGGCGGTATTAGATGAAATCGTTCTCTTGATGCTTTGGAAAGTAAACTAAGTATACAATACTTGTATGAGAAATCGTTTATCCTCACTTCGCCGAGGTCGCTTGCGGGCGAGGCGCAGGGATTGATGCATTATGAGTACGAACCTCAACTCAACTAATCTTATGACTACATAATATCAAATCTAGCGCCTCGCCCGCAAGCGACCTCGGCGATATTACATGAAATCGTTCTCTTGATGTCTTGGAAAGTAAATTAAGTACACAATACTTGTGTGAGATATCGTTTATCTGCACTTCGCCAAGGTCGCTTGCGGGCGAGGCGCTGGGTCTGATACTTTATGAACACGAACCTTAATTCAATGAGATTTTGCATTTAGGAGCTAAGCTATCAGCTCAACCGCCTCGCCCGCAAGCGACCTCGGCGGTGTTGGATGAAATCGTTCTCTTGATGCCTTGGAAAGTAAACTAAGTATACAATACTTGTATGAGACATCGTTTATCCTCACTTCGCCGAGGTCGCTTGCGGGCGAGGCGCTGGGTCTGATACTTTATGAACACAAATCTTAATTCAATGAAATTTTGCATTTAGGAGCTAAGCTATCAGCTCTACCGCCTCGCCCGCAAGCGACTTCGGCGGTATTAGATGAAATCGTTCTCTTGATGCTTTGGAAAGTAAACTAAGTATACAATACTTGTATGAGAAATGGTTTATCCTCACTTCGCCGAGGTCGCTTGCGGGCGAGGCGCAGGGATTGATGCATTATGAATACGAACCTCAACTCAACTAATTTTAAGACTACCGGATATCAAATCTAGCGCCTCGCCCGCAAGCGACCTCGGCGATATTACATGAAATCGTTCTTTTGATGTCTTGGAAAGTAAATTAAGTACACAATACTTGTATGAGATATCGTTTATCTGCACTTCGCCGAGGTCGCTTGCGGGCGAGGCGCTGGGTCTGATACTTTATGAACACGAACCTTAATTCAATGAGATTTTGCATTTAGGAGCTAAGCTATCAGCTCAACCGCCTCGCCCGCAAGCGACCTCGGCGGTGTTGGATGAAATCGTTCTCTTGATGCCTTGGAAAGTAAACTAAGTATACAATACTTGTATGAGAAATCGTTTATCCTCACTTCGCCGAGGTCGCTTGCGGGCGAGGCGCAGGGATTGATGCATTATGAATACGAACCTCAACTCAACTAATTTTATGACTNGATTATATACCGCTTGCAAAAAACTAGATATTGCTTCTTAAAGACTGTATACTGCTTCCAGAAGATTGAATACTCCTTCAGGAAGACTAAATCTTCAAAAACTGACGATTTTGTGTTGATATATCAATTGCAGCGCCTCGCCCGCAAGCGACCTCGGCGATATTACATGAAATCGTTCTTTTGATGTCTTGGAAAGTAAATTAAGTACACAATACTTGTATGAGATATCGTTTATCTGCACTTCGCCGAGGTCGCTTGCGGGCGAGGCGCTGGGTCTGATACTTTATGAACACGAACCTTAATTCAATGAGATTTTGCATTTAGGAGCTATAATACCAGCTCCACCGCCTCGCCCGCAAGCGACCTCGGCGGTGTTGGATGAAATCGTTCTCTTGATGCCTTGGAAAGTAAACTAAGTACACAATACTTGTATGAGAAATCGTTTATCCTCACTTCGCCGAGGTCGCTTGCGGGCGAGGCGCAGGGATTGATGCATTATGAGTACGAACCTCAACTCAACTAATTTTATGACTACATAATATCAAATCTAGCGCCTCGCTCGCAAGCGATCTCGGCGAAATGAAGATAAACGATTTCTCATTCAAGTATTGTGTACTTATACAAGATCTAGTTCCTGCCATATTGGTGTGAATAAAAATCTAACAGAAGATGAGATGCTAACAAGCAGTTAAAGTTGGTTTCTTTCAACTTGGCGTTTCCTAGGAAGAATATTTCCTTTAAACGAATCACGGCCGTCTTCGAAGACGTCGGCCGACCCACAATACTAACTTACTACAACCTACATGTTATGTAAGGTCATGAATGTTTACAAAAAGAATGGCCTTACATAGGTCATTGTTGTTGACAAACGTGTTGAATGTTGGGCGTGGTCAGATATGTTTACTAAGATCAATGACCTTGGGAAAAGAATGTTATTGCGTAACTTAGTCATTATTGAATTACGGCAAATAACGAACTTTTAAGGATACAATAAAAATAAATAATTATTTGTAAACTTTAATGAAGATCAATCATAAATACAAGTTATTCTACTTAGAATAAAATTTACAGTTACACGACTCTCAGACTTTTTCGATAGAAAAAAAAATAAAATAAAATAAAATTATTAGAAAATAAGGGGAAATGGTTAAGTAAGAAATTAATTTTCTACGTATACAAAAGAAAACTAGTGTCGCGTAAATGAAACGGGAGCATAAAGGGGGAAAAATATAAATTAAGATATTTTTTAAGGAACAAAAGTATACAATATATTCCGACAAGTAGGAAAAATTGAGCTACGATTCCAAAGGACTTTTCGTTTTTTTTCTTCTTAAAAACATCTTAAATTATCTAAATACGGAGATATTGTGATATTTGAATTTTCAACTTTTTTTTTATTTTTTTCGGTCGCAAAATATACTTATCTTCTTTTTTTTATTTTTCATTGTGTTTCAATTAGACAGTACAGTATTGAAGGCACTGTTTAAACCCATTCTGTCTATGCGTAAATGTAAAATTTGGTAGTATCTTCTTGGGCAGTGAGTATCACATAAGGCAGTGACTAAAGTTAATTTCTCTTTATAATTATCATCTTCTCCTTTCGCTGCCGTACATTGTCTATACATTACATACAAACACTATAAACTAGTACGCACAAAAAATTAATATACGAATAATAAAGTCAAAAATTACAAAGAATAAAAAAGATTAAATAAAAAAAAAAGAATGATATGACATACATGTATATAATGAAATATTCATGTGTTTATTTGGCAGTGATATGGTGGTTAAAGAGAAAAAAATCGAAATAAGTCACCGAAACAACAAAAAAAATCGTGTTCAAGCTGGGGAAAATTGTATCGTCACTTAGTCGTTAACGATTTTTAAATAAATATATTTATTTCGCTCAATATATTTAGCTATGTATTAAAAATTAGATGAAATATTTACATTTAGAAGTGGTAAAAATTACGCTATGAGATCACTGATTTAGGTGTTATTCCTTTTTTCTCCTGATCTAATCGGATTGACAATTTTTCTTTTCTCGTTATTTACACACTCATCCACATTCGCTCTAATCATCACTTTTTCATCTCATTCACTCACATTTTCTCATTAATCACACCAACAATAATAATAATAATTGTTAAATAACAAGCGATACAGACAAATTTACAAGTTGTACTTATTTACGTGGCAGTGGTAGCTTCTGTTTATCTTCTCTCTCTCTCATAATTTGTTTTTTCGTGCTGTTTTATCCCTCCTTAGAGGTCCAATGGTTACGAGGGCAACCGATATATATCTGCCCCTGTATTCACAGTCGAGTGTAATACGAAATTATCGTAAACGTCCATTAACTCCTCCATGCTGTATTCTTCCAAACACACAAACCCTTCCAAATTCGTTGATTGTTTCCTCGCGCAGTCCATGCAATGAACGACGTGTCGTTTTTCTTGTTCTCTTATAAATAATATGTTAAATACCTCAATCTAAAATTTAATAATCACAATTATATGCACAAAAAAAATTAAATCACTTTATAACTTACATCACATTGTCCACAATAATGCGAAGCTTCGTTTTTACCTCTTCCATGAAACTTGACCTCGACATGTTTGTGTCTAACAAATTCTAATATCATTGAGCATTGTCTTAACGTTCGTAATAAACATTTTCTAAAAACAAAAAAAAAATTGTGAGATTTTATTTAAGACCCCTCTTTTATGTACTTACTTAATTAAACTAAAAAGTTTTGGATCTGAAACTTTAATATTCCTAGCCAGATTCCACGACAAATGCAACATCGGAACGATCGATTTATAACTCTGCAATTTGTTCCACTCGTACCGTTCGATGGCCAATTGATACTGTCTTGCTGTTAACGGTCCGACATTCCAAGCGATATTATTGCACCACCCGACTGCTTGGACCCAATGCACACAACCGGCGTTCACCCAAACCAAATCGCCAGGTCGCTGCGTGAATCGATAAACCGGAATGTTGTTCTGATATAGATCGTCTAGAACGGGCCACCAAGATCCATGAAGGTAATTAATTTGATTTTTCTCGCACAAAGTGCAAATCGCGCCCCAGTAAGCATCCGGAACGGCGAACCACTCGCAATCACCCGGTCCAATATTGATGTTTATTGAGCAGAAATTGTTGTTCTCCTGGTGACCTGGCGTTCGACTTCCGGGAACTTTCATGTAAAGTTGCACCGTGTTCATTCCTAAAATTACGTGACCAACATGCGAAAGCATGTTTCCAGCTGAAACAACTCTAGCAAAGGCAGGAAGTTTCATTAATTCTTGAAGTTGTGAACGCCATTTTCTTTCATCTGACAAATCTACATTTGTTCCAAATCTGAAATTATAAATATCATATTTTATAACCCCAAAATAAAGTAAATATAATAAGTTTTTAGTATCAGTGACACAAAAAAGTATAGAAAAGCACCTCGGTAAAATTCAACATTTATTAACAATAACGGACAAAACATAGTTTTTCTAACACAAAAAAGTATAAATACGCTTAATTATATTTATAAGCAGGACGCTAAAAACATAGTATTAATAACAAGTCATCAAATTCATTTCTAATTGAAAGCAAGCAACGCTACCAGGAAATTATTGATTATCATCGCTTTAAACGTTACGATATTTCCGGTTTCTGAGTAAATTACTGACGTAAAATATTTTGTTACAAATGACGATCTTTTTGACATAATTCACAACGCTCATCGTGAATGTGGGCGAAGTGGAAGAGATAGAATGATAAAAGCGATAATTTTGAGAAACAATAATTTGCTATTTAGAGCTCTGTCAAGTATGCCACAAAAAAACGAACCAACCTAAAAAAGGATTAACAGTTAAACCCCTGTTATTTAAAGAACTTTAAAGAAGATTTGTCGTGATGGTGATTTCGACATATTTTTAACTACCAGGATCATCTAACTAAGTTCATAATTTTACGTCCATTGAAGACGAAGACAGGTAGAGGAAATGGCTCATACATTATTGATGTTTTTTGTATTTTGGGAACTCCCAGCGTGTTGCAATCGGACAACATATAAGAGTTTGCTAATCGGGTAGTTGAAGAGTTAAGGGAAGTGTGGCCCGAGCTAGCAATAGTCCATGGCAAACCCAGACACTCGCAAAGTCAAGGGAGTGTGGAAAGATCTAACCGGGACATAGAAGATATGTTATTTGCGTGGATGGAAGGCAATAAGACTCAGAAATAATATCATCAATCAATCAATAATCTTCAGAAAAACAATGCGGAATACGACAAACACTTTTTGAAGCGATGTTCGGTACAAAAAAAATAACAGTTTCTATTTCATTAAAGGAAGAAACGCTCATATCGGAATACAGTCATTGCCTGATTCTATCAAAAAAGTTCTTAGAACTGAAGAAGATCTTGAAAAGGCACTTGCAACTACTGTGGAGCAGGAGAATTCCACTTGTGGTCCTAATGCAGAAAGTCTTGGAGGATCAACTCCGTTTCCTGATGCAGAAAATATTAAAGGAACAACTCCTGCCTTTGATGTTGATATGGCAAAATTGGAACCTGTTTGTTGCATATGCGAAAACGAAATTTCAGGAGTCCACAAAATGTTCATGTCATCTGTGCCCAGAGTACAAGTAATACCAACGAGGGTTAGGGAGCATCAGTTTTATGTCTGCGGTGTGCAACAAGAAAAACGATGACTTCAAATCAAGAGAAAGCTGTTGAAGGATTGAAAAAGCAGGCAGAGAAAATGAAGTTTACATCTAATAAAAAATTTCTCCCGATTGAGGTTGGAACATCAGTTACTGTGCCTGTTCTAAGCCTTGACAAAAGGAAAGGAGATGCGCGAAACTTAATTGGTGTAGTTTTGGAGACAACAAATGATGGACTCTATAAAATTGGAACCAAGTAAGGAATTATTGCCTCGCTGTATTCGAGAAATCAAATTTCTCGTCTCAGAGATTTCTGCGTCAGATTAGTAGCCAAAACTCTGCCTTCAGGGGCCAAGAGTTTTTGAAGTGTAACTGCAATAAAAAATGTCAAACAAATTTATGCAAATGTAAGAAGGCTAAAGGCTAAAGTGTTTTGCAACTCGAAATGTCACCATTCAAACTTACGTATTGTTATTTTTTGTATGTATGTTGTTAGTCTTTTTTTATTTACAAAAATAGAGTTGTATTGGGGAAATTCCAATTCCGTTATTTTTATTATTAGTTAAGAAGCTAAAGAGTGCGCACACATAGACAGCTTGTTGATAACGCTGATAGCAGTAAACAGTGTTTTGAATATGCGCACCCTTAATTTGCCTAACCCACTTAGGGTTAGTCCGAAGTTAATTTACACTTTTCGGACTTTGCCTGAGCCTCATTGATTGCCGGTAGCAGATATATCAATCCCAGCGCCTCGCCCGCAAGCGACCTCGGCGATATTACATGAAATCGTTCTTTCGATGTATTAGAAAGTAAACTAAGTACAGGGTGTCCAAATTTCGATGGGTTTGCAGGGTATCTCAGTTATTATGAAAGATAGAAAGTTGCGGCTTTCGCGAACCTGAGCTACTTTTTTGTGAAACTTACAATGGCGCAAACCAAATTTTCATAGCCCTCTTCGTTTTTGATATACAGGGTGTGTTTCAAAATTTACGATTTTCAGACACCTCCTGTATCTCGGCTATCCGGAAATGTAAAAATGGGTTCTAATAGATTTTTTCACGTAGAATCCAATGCTGCACGTAGAATTGTTCTAGTCATCACGGTTTTTGAGTTATAAAGAGTTAAGTATTTTAGAAGTTGAGTATTTAGTATTTGAGTTGTGTTTATAACTCAAAAACCGTGATGACTAGAAAAATTCTACGTGCACCATTGGATTCCACGTGTAAAAATCTATTAGAACCCGTTTTTACTTTTTACTAAGTTTCCGGATAGCCGAGATACAGGGGTGTCTGAAAATGGTAAATTTCAAACACTCCCTGTATATAAAAAACGAAAAAGGCTATGAAAATTTGGTTTGCGCCATTGTAAGTTTCACAAAAAAGTAGCTCAGGTTCGCGAAAGCCGCAACTTTCTATCTTTCATAATAACTGAGATACCCTGCAAACCCATCGAAATTTGGACACCCTGTACATAATACTTGTATGAGAAATCGTTTATCATCACTTCGCCGAGGTCGCTTGCGGGCGAGGCGCTGGAATGGATACATTATGAATACGAACCTCAACTCAATTAATTTTATGACTACACGATATCAAATCTAGCGAAATGAAAATAAACAATTTCTTATTCAAGTATTGTATATTTACTTTACTTTCTAAAACATCAAGAGAACGATGTATCTAATATAGCAGAGGTCGCTTGCGGGCGAGGCTATAGCTCCTAAATACAAAATTTCATTGCATTAAGATTGGTGTTTATAAAGTATCAAACCCAGCGCCTCGCCCGCAAGCGACCTCGGCGAAGTGATGATAAACGATTTCTCATACAAGCATTATTTAGTTACGTTCCAAGACATCAAGTGCACGATTTCATCAATATCGCTAAGGTCGCTCGCGGGCGAGGCGTTGAATTGATACATTATGAATACGAACCTCAACTCAACTAATTTTATGACTAGGTGTTATCAAATCTAGTGCCTCGCCCGCAAGCGACCTCGGCGAAGTGATGATAAATGATTTCGTTTGGATGCCTCCTAAATACAAAATCTCATTAAATTAAGGTTGGTGTTCATAAAGTATCAGATCCAGCGCCTCGCCCGCAAGCGACCTCGGCGAAGTGATGATAAACGATTTCTCATACAAGTACTTTTCTGTTTAAAAAATGAATTTTGGTTATTATTGTTAATAAATGTTGTTCAACACGCAGTTAATGCTTCAATTTCAAGTATTATACTTAATACTAATTCATTTAATAAACATTTTTTACTTCTAATTTCCATAAATTACTCAAAACTTTTCTGTGTCACTATAAATTTATTATACAAAAGTGCCATTTTAATATTATACTCTGTACAATAATCTTAGGAATAAAAATGATTAGAGACGAGCCTCAATTAAAATTTTCCCGTCTTAATTTATTATTATTAAAATTAAATACTCACTTTAACGTTTTGGGTGAATTCGGATTTTTGATATTATTGGAAGGCGGTGCGGGAACGTTTTTGTTCTTTCGTCTAACAAAACTGCTCGAATCCTTAGAATCGGAATCGGATAAACTATAACTAACGCCGGTGGTCTTATCCTTTTCTTCCTTGAGACTATCCTTAAAACTGGAGGCTTGGTACTGCGCGTATCTGGCGATCGTCGTGTGGGATCGGTGCGAAACGCAGGCCCATACTTTACGTCCGGATTGCAGGTCAAAGTTTTCGTCGGATGGTTGTTGGTATTGCGTGCGCACCTCTACACTGTGGTCGGGATTCGCCTCGACGAGTGTCTTCGTCGAGAATAATCCTAAATCGAGTTTTAAAGCAGACGCTAAACCTCTCACAACCGCAATCGGATGCTTCAAACAAAATTCTTGTAGTTGCGGACTAAATGCGTGCTTTTTGTTGTCTAAATATACGGAAGGTGTTGGTGGCAGCAATTGTTGGTGGTTTAATTTGTGTGAAGGCGGTTCAGGAGGGGCTGGAGGTGGCGCGTTATCCGATATTAATGAGTTGCTTATTTCTCCTTTAACACCTTCTCCCCTAAATATAAAAAATTGTTATAAAACGGTATTTTATAGTATACAAGAATTGTAGAATTATAACACACTTGCAAAGTTCCAAGATTGTTTTAGCATCCATATTAATGTTATATTCAGTGTCGGGTCGTTTATCGGTTTCATAATTTTCTGATTCCCACGGAATTTCGTTTTTGACCGTTAAAATTTCCTGCGGTGGTGATTTCTTCTCCTTGATTTCCTCTTTTATATCGACTCTGGTGATGTCCTCGTCTCCTGGATTCGACGGCGAAAACGGACCCGACGACAGGCTGTTATCAACTCCAGGTTCTTCCTTGATGTCGATCTCGTCGGATCCAAAGTGTTTAAGCAAATTCTCAGCGAGCGTCGTGGCCATACCCTTGTGCGATAGAAGATCTTGTAGATCGGCTTCACTGATCTCACTGAAATTTGACCCGGTAAGAGGCATAGGTACAGGTGGTTGAACGGACGGTTGAACCAATTTCGGCGTGACAACGTTCGTTCCGTTAGCTTGCGTTACGCCGGTTACGGCTAGGGTCGTCGTTGCTGTACTCGCAGGAGACCCCACCGTTTGTTGTCTTTGGTTGCGGAGCTGTTGCTGATGCTGTTGCATAAGGCGATATTGGTGTTGTAGTTGCTGTAATGAGGTCTGTTGTTGCGGATTCAAACTGCTCGCGTTTTGCTGTAGGTATTGTAACAACTGGAGTTGTTGTTGCGTGAGATAAAACGGAGGATTCGGTTGTTGCGTAGGCGTCGTCGTCACCGTCGTCGTTGTCGTCGTCGCCGGATTGGGTGGTTTTTGATCTCCTCCGTCGTTTTTAAACCGCTTGTTCGCGCCCCCCGGCGACGGATATGGGGGAGGCGGACCTTGCGGAGTTTGGTTGTAAACTTTTTGAAATCCCTGACTGCCGGTGCGAGTTTGCGGACCGCCCGTTTGTTGTTGTTGCCTCGATGACATTTCTGCTGATATTGGTAGGTTCCAAGCCTCTTCAATTGATAGTAATGTACGACGCCTAAAAATTTTATTTTTGTTACTTAATTCCAATTTTGTGTTTTAAGGCAAACTTACGCATTGGTGATGCTAGGCATTGGACCGTTTGAGAGATGCGTCTGGAGGAAACTGATTCTTTGGGTGAGATTGGGGTTCATGCCAATGGGAGGCAAGACGGTCCGATTTGATTTAGTGGATATGGACGGTTCCTCAACCACCGAGCGGTTCTTCAGACCTCTGCTGGAGTTTAAATAGCAGACGTACGCGTCCCTCACCTGCCCACACGTTTCATACAATATCCCTAGGTTCGCCCACGCGGCTGAATGACATTTATCTAATTGCACTGCGCATATATACGCTTGCAACGCATCCATAGGTTGACTCTGCTGCTGATAAAGCACTCTACAAAAATTAATTTTTAATAAATTAATTTTTAATTCGTTAATTTTATATTACCCTATTGAGCACCAAGTATCTGCATTCCCTTCGGATTTTTCAACGGAATTCCGATAAGAAATAAAAGCATCGTGAACTTTTCCTATGCTAGCGTAACAGCGTCCTAATAAATATAACGTTTGACCCGATAATGGATCAGCTTGTATTGCTTGTTGAAGGCATTGAATCGCTAGAGGGATACGTGCAACCTTTTCGCCCAGAACGTCATAACAGTGGTAGAGCCAACCTACAAATTATTTCGATTCATTAAACAATTTAATCTTTTATTCTCTATATTTCTTACCTAGTTGGCGATAGATGTCTGCACGCAGGGTGTTGTTGATCGTTTTGTCCAGAAGGAGAGCTTCGTACCTTTCTTTTGCTCGCTTTATCTTTCCTTGCAACTCAAACACATGGGCGATATGAAACTTAACTGCAAAGAAGAGTAATCAAATAAGTTTGCGAAATTCGTGCCAAACCTTACGAAAGAAATCCCCCAACTTTCGTTTAAAGAAAACTGCAATTCTTGGTTCTTAATTTAAAGTTAAAAATTGTATTAAAAATGTAACGTAAAGACATTTTAGAAGATTTTTTTTAATTATAAATTATAAAAAAATTATAGTTTATCGATTTTTTTAAATTTTCGTTATGCGATTGGCAACATTTGCAATAAATAATCGCATCTCAATTCTAACTTCCGCTAAATCTTCCTTTTCCGATTCCGACAGCCACAAGAAGAACATCGTTTCTAGGGTCGTGGTAAGTTATTAATTAATTTATATTTCCCTTCAACTATTTCATCTTAATAATCAAACATCATCGTCATAAGTATCATTACCGTTTTTAATTATTCTTTTTAATGATTTTACGAGAAATTAGAAATAAAAAATGGTGTTTGATGTAATTTTATATCCAAATCTTTCATTAATTATGGGATGGGATAATTTAAAACAAAATTTTCGGTAAATACCAGGTTAATTTTAATTAAGTTGTTGAATAAGATTTTTTTTTTGTGGCGCCATTCATAGACGATTCTAGAACACGTGTGGGGTGCAATAACGTCTTTTATGACCTTGAATAACTTTAACAAATATTTTTCTTCCAACGATTGAAACTTTTTTTTATTATTAAATAGATGATGGGGTGATTCAATAATGCGAAATAATCAAGGAATCAAATCAAGGTAGGATTTTTAATTAATTTTTAACAAAAATAACGTTTATACAGGGCGTGTCAAATGTTTGGAATAGCCATTAACTTCGCCATTTCTGGTTTTAAAGAAAAATGTTTCAAATACAAATTTCTTTATTCATCGTGGCGCATTTTTTTTATCTCTACTCGATGAACATATCAAATCAATTCGGCAATTAATACGTTTTTGAGGTCCTGTTTATTTTTTATGTGCATTTTTCGAATTCGACGTTCTAATTCCTCCACTTTTGATGTCTTGGAAAGTAAACTAAGTACACAATGCTTGTATGAGAAATCGTTTATCTTCACTTCGCCGAGGTCGCTTGCGGGCGAGGCGCTGGATTTAATATCATAGCTCATAAATACAAAATCTGATTGAATTAAGGTAAAATAAATTAATTAATTAATTAAGAGAACGATTTCATCTAATATCGCCGAGGTCGCTTGCGGGCGAGGCGCTGGATTTAATATAATAATAATTAATATAATATAATAATTAATATAATCATAAATACAAAATCTGATTGGATTAAGGTAAAATAAATTAATTAATTAATTAAGAGCTATGATATTAAATCCAGCGCCTCGCCCGCAAGCGACCTCGGCGATATTAGATGAAATCGTTCTCTTAATCTCTTAGAAAGTAAACTAAGCACACAATACTTGTATGAGAAATCGTTTATCATCACTTCGCCGAGGTCGCTTGCGGGCGAGGCGCTACATTTTACGTATTTAATATCATAGCTTATAAATACAATATGCATTATGAATACGAACCTCAACTCAACTAATTTTATGACTACATGATATCAAATCTAGCGACAAAATCTTTTTATGACCTTGAATAACTTTTTAACAAATATTTTTCTTCCAAAGATTGAAACTTTTTTTTAATTATTATATAGATGATGCGGTGATTCAAGAATGCGAAGTAATCAAGGAATCAAATCGAGGTAGTATTTTTAATTAATTTTTTACAAAAATAACGCGAATATATATAATATAATATAGCCAATAATATGGTTTAAAAAAAATGTTTTAAATACAAATTTCTTTATTAATCGTTACAATCAAAATAGGCATTTAAAATAATAATAAGAATTTTTTATTTGAAACATTTTTGTTTATTGGTTATATTCCAGACATGTGACACGCCGTGTATATTAAAGGGAAACTGTAAACGTAATTGTTTAAATAAGTAATAATTCGTGTAATGTGGCGGTTTAAAAATAGAATAAGAAAACGGTACGGTTTTGCGTTTCTGAGTGGGGCCGACAGGACAGTGCGAAAATAACTGGAAAAGTAAACGTCATTGCGGGGCCGAGGTAATTCCACTATGAGTTAGCGTTCTGACCTTGATTTTAAAGAATGCGTGACGTAAGAGTCCCGCCACTTGGCGGGTTCTTAACCAGCTGATATTCAGGACATTAACATCGCGATTTTTTTTTGCTCACATTTGTTTACTACGAAAAAAAACTGTATATTATATGTATATACCCACGCGCGAGCCGCCGCGGTCGTTGACTGCGCCAATGAAAATAGTTGATTAAAAATAATCGTCGCAATTATTTCTGTTTCTATTTTGGGAGTCTCCTTCGTTCCAGCAGCTATGCAATAGCATAGCAAATGCATTTTAATTTTCTTTTCAAATAATTTTTTCTAAAACAATTCTTAATTATTATCTTTATTTAAAAATTTCTTGGACATTATCGTAACAAGAGTTGAATTATAAACGGTCAAGCTTGGCTTTGCGGAGGCATGCAAGCGAGGGATTATTTAAAATGCAAGGACCTACTGACCTAGTTAGATAAAAGGAAAAAACCGTCCGTTCTATCAAATAATCGGGCGTCGGATAGAGCGAACGCGAGGCCACGAACGCCGCCGCGCGTTTCAGTACAAAAATAGAAATAGTAACGAGTCTCGTTTAAACAATCCTCCTTTTAAGCTGGGAAACAATTATTAACGCATCGATTATTTTAATATACTCACTGGCGATTTTGTCGGCAGTACATGGACTATTGTCCACCAAAGCAAGTTGAAAATGTTTGAGGGCGGATTCGTATTCTTGGGTGACTTTAAACATCAACCCGAGCCGAAGGTGCACTTCGTTCGCTCGTTGAAAACAAGGCGACACGTATAAGAGTTGTTGGAATGATTTCACAGCCCTGAAACAAAAAAGTTTTATCTAACAACCTTGAGTTAATTAACAAATAATTAATATTGTGTGTAACATAGAGATTTGTTTGTTCGAAAACCTCGTTCGAACAAATAAACCACGAAGGCAAAGTAGATAAATGCAGCCGAGTAACATCAATTGGTATAAAAAACGGCCTTGCTCTAATTTCGCGTAAATTTAAACCAACTAGTTAGTGAGAAAATGTACCGCTTTTTAAACATCAAACAAAATCGAGGGAAACGAAACACGCCCTCCTCGTATCGTGGGGGATTTTCTCGGAAGCAGCACTTGAAAAATTCATCCGTCGGACGTTCAACCCGCCCACCCGAAGGGGTGCAATTTATTTATAAACTCGCCCCTCCTGCCACTTTTCTACTAGCGATTATTTTCGATACGCCATTTCTAAATGTACAAGAGAAAGAGACCGCAATATGTATATATATATAAAGTGCAGCGAACCGTTCCTGCAGTATTGCGTTACATAAATCTACAATTTCCGTTCTCAAAGGAAATTGTGCTTTTGTACGTTTTTTCCCTACCGATTCCGTTCCGCGGGTGATTCACTCCACATCTCTCTACTTAAATTCTAGGAAAAAGCCGGCAATTTGTCCGCAACGAAACCTTAAATTATATAATTTTTACGATCGATAAACAATTTCACAACCAATAAATTCGTAACGTTCTCATCTTTTTAATATCTTTTATTTACTTTTGGGAAATATAAATTTAATACATTTTAAATTAATCTTATCTCTTACCATTAAAAATATACATCTTTAACTATTTTCTTCAAATTCAATTTCGATATTTAGTTTCACATAACATTGAACTTGAACTGTTACGAACTGTTGCTTCTAACAGCCAGATGAATAATGAATATCTAGATGAATAATTCCATAGTTTTAACGGAAAAACTCGTCGAGTGTTTTCCAGGAAAGTAAGAAAATTTAGAACCTGGTACGTTACTCATGAACGCGTTTCCCGGCGATATCGAACGTGATTCATTTCGCGTGACGTTTACCGTAGATTTTACCATCCGCTTCCGTTCTGGGGTTTTCTATCATCGTTTTCTTTATAATTTTGATTAATCCTTGTAGGTTATATAAACACTGGAAGATGATGTAACTTAAAAGTTAAGAGGGCGAATAAAATATAATTATAAATCTCTATTAGTCTCTAAAGAACGAGTACAGAATCGCTCAAAAATTATGAAACGAACGTTTGTGCAACCGACGATTTCCTTTCAAATAAACTTGTTTGTTGTATCATGCAAATCGTATTTGATTGATGAGATGATGACGAAGAGTTTTTCTTTGAAATTGTGCTTTTTTGTATCTCTGAGTTACTTAATATTGTTAATATTTGACCGCAACTGTATATAAAGTTTCGAAATCTTGTCTGTGTCCACAAGACGGATAAAATTTATTAGTATTTCGTCACACGAGCCTGCACATTTGGTGATAAGGCCGATGTTGAAGTAATAGCGGCGGCGTTGCGAAATCTAATTGTAGGTGTTTGATTGCGCGGGTTCGTCCACGTTGCCACGTCTTTGTTTGCTGAACGTAGTATAAATACAATAGATAATTATATTATTTCCGTTACGTTGCAATTTGATATAAAGACCATTGTCCTATGCCAAAGATACGTGTGATAAAAATCGGTATAATGCCCCCTTTCATGCGTCGCCTAGTTATCGTCAAATGGATTATTAAGGCGATAAATCATATAAGTGTGTACGTACTTGTTCGTCCACGAAGATTTTTTTGATCTGATTTACATATCTCCCCTTAAAAAATTTCAGTACAAATTATTAAATAAGCGCCCTTTTCCGGACCGAGTTTACACCTCAAATTAGATGGTACGTGAAGATAAAATGCAAGTGCGTTCGCCAGCAACTAAAATATGTAAAATCTTTGGCACGCCACACCTGTTGACCGCACAACCCTTTCTTATGTTATTATCCTATATTGTTCTTCAATAACTTATTCACTCTTTTTACACACTTTTTATTTAAATGGTTTAGCCCGTAGCAATTAATGTTATCAGTGGTTAATGAACGAAAGCTGGAAGACGATACATTTATGGTGGTGCCAGTAGAGGAAGAACAGACGTATGTTTCGTTTTTCTCCTAAGCGGGCGCGTGTGATGGTAAAACTTGGTCACGTAGGATCGGCACGGAAGCAGATGGAGTGAAGAAGGCGACCAGCTGCTTCGGCAGCTGTACAGGTGAACCAGGAGACAATGGTTTATAGTAAAAGGAAAGTTCCCGACAAAAGGTCCGGGAAGGTCCCGGAACGGACTCCTCTTCGACGTTCCCTTCGTAGAGCATTTGGACAGGTATAGACTTTCGGTCATTGACGCACAAGTCCAAGGTTACAGACAAGCCGGCGGCGAGCTGAAAATTTGACCTTCCGCAATTGCAACCGTTTTGGTTCCGACGACGGAAAGCAGGTCAGCTCCGAACCCTCCGGAGCCCCTTTGTTCTCAAAGTAACAATGGTGCGTTTTTTTTTCAGCCCCCGGTTTTGCCGAGGGGTGTGAAGCCGGGACCGGTTTGATTTCGTTTTCAAACGGCCTGGTAAATCAATACTCATAGGAACGTGGTCCAATCGCCCTACGTGATAAGGTTATTCACTCGGATACCGAAATGAAAGGGTTGAAACGAAAGGGGTTCCTCGTTGACCATCTGGTCTGCTTGGTCAAAAACTTGGTGGTTCCGCCAATCGGAAATAGTTAAAAAAATCAAACAATAAATATCCATCCTTAGACTGCATTGTACGCAGTGTACTCATTCTGATCTGGGCGATGACAAGCCGATTCAAAATTAACTCTTGCACTCCGGGTTTGTTGATGTCGTCACGATGACGAGAGGAAGGAAGGAAGACATTTAACAGTGACGTCATAAGGTCGTCGGGGATAACGTGAGATATGTCATTGGCATCATGGCGGATGAGAACGTTGGGACGGTTTTAATTTTCCGGAAAATTAATACAAAAATGTACCATCCCGTTTCCGGTGGTTTTGATCAAACAAAGTCGATGCCGTTCCGGCAGGTCGGGAGGTCCTTCAACTTACCATTACCCAAATCGTCGTAGTCGAAATTGCTTATCGTCCTCGCTGCACGTCGTTTCCGATTTTCGGTACATTTATTGTGCTTGTTTAAATCCGGCGGCTAACTACACACTTAAAATAAAAACTTTACATCGTCGTCGCGAACCCGCAGAGATCGTTTCAAATAATAATAAACAAACAAAAAATTAAGTTGCACCGCACCGACGAGCAACACGCCTCCTTTCTCCTTCCCGACTGACTCCTCGGATCCCCTAAAACTCGGATCACCTCTGAGCCGCCGTATCCGTGTAATAGCTGCTCCGGGGTGGGATGGTACCATCAAAAGGTGCCTTTATGTACCATCGCCATAAGGTCTAGTTTTCCGCGCCACACCGTCGTCGGAACGCTCGGACCGTTCGGAAACGCTCGGAAATCGCCAGGGCGCAAGTCCAGGAAGAAGGCACGCAGGCAATGTCCTTTGTTCAATTGCACTTGCACAAATATTACGCAACGTTCGTGTGGTACGCTGACACGTGCGGCGGTCCACTATAATATGCCCTGCTTCTCTGCTTTTCACTATGCACTCTCTATACCTGTCTAAATTCTTCTCTCACTCATCCGTTTCATACCGAAAAACGAAAACTCCTCAACCATAGCACCATAGAGAAGAAAACGTTTCTCGTTCGCGGAAGGATGCACCTTCCACTATTGTTTGGTCTCCTCGAATTCTTTTTTTCCATTTCAATTCTTCTAACATTGTCGTAAAAGTTTCTTTTGATAATTTCTTTTCAATGCACACTTGGGACGTTTTTTGTTTTCTTTTTTACAACTTGTTGAAACATCTTTGTAAAAATAAAAATTTATTATGTCTTAATTTGGAATGAAATAGGTGATTGATAATTGAAGAATTTATTATATATAGAAATAATTTTAATTCGTCATGCAATGATAAAATAATCCAAGAATTCTTATTCTAGCTAATATTAATTCATATTCTTATCGCATTACTAAAACAATATTAATCCAACTCACCGGTTGGTCAAGTCGTTTCCAGAAGAAACCCGATATATTAAAATTGAGTTCATTTATCGTAGTAGATAGTGAAAATATTTCACCCTACCTAAACTAGTTCAAGTCCAGCGCAATTCGAACTTTTGCGATTAATCGTCAGAACGTTTTCGGCAGTCCGAACCGAACGGATCGCAAGTAAGAATCAAATTCAATTTTAATTTCTTTGTGTTTAACTTTTTTCCACTTTTGTTGTAGTTAAAAATTTATTTGGCCATGTTTACCTCTTAAGATTGTGACGTCAGCGGTGTATTGAACTCAACTCGCACTCTGATCAACGGGGAGAGGCGTCAGGACTTTGACCTCACCTACCGTGACGTCGTAATCATCTTGAGTCTCGTCCAAAGAGGCTCCCAAAGAGATTTCTGTATCGAGACGGGTTTTTGATCATGTTTTTCTCCTCCAATTGAAGAGGATACCAACAATGTATTTGGTAAATGAAAAATTCTCGATAATTATATCATGAAATTATGCTTTGACTATTTATGATTTCGCATATTTACAAAATACGTTTAAATTTAACTACTCACATTATAAAGGCAAGTATGCCAAATGTGTTTTGATACAATCACATTTGGAATCTTACCTTAGAATGTAGTAGTATCACTCACCGAGGAAATCAAACGAACCTCATAATTCTGAGATGATCTTATCTAAATATGTTGAGTTTGTTAAAACATATTTAGAAGATCGTCCTAGAATGTGCTGGTAAAATTCGCCTCAATTAATTTAATATTATAAATTCTGAGTAATTGCTTTGATAGTTGCAATGGGGGGATCGAATTTTCGTTGTTTGTTACGTCGATGTCTTTATCTTGGTAACTAGATATTTTTATTGAGAGCTATGTTGCCACAATTCCTACGAATGTATATAATCTCTTTATTAACTCAAAATAATTTTAATTTTCGATTTCAATTTACATTTATCATTGTCAGAAGTGGCCGTATTTTTTATATGTTAATACGTCACTTTTGACAATGTGAATGTATTTTAGATATATTCTACATATGTATGTTAATAAGGCGCTTTTGATGTGTTGGGTATCGTGATAAAGACTGAGTTAATTTGTATAAAACTTTATCTTATACATTTCTAATTGCCGGGAGTGTTAGGATTTTTTTATATAAATCTGACATTCTTGGCAGTTTATAATGTGTTTTAGATATATTCTCCTTAAACGTTTCTATCCATCATTCAATATATTCGGAAAATTGAGTTTATTTGTATTAAACTTTATCTTATATGTTTTTAATTGCAAGGGATGTTAGATTTTTTTTTGATATAAATCTTGTCAATTTAGAATGTGTTAGATATTAGTAACGCATTATCATCTGTAGGTGTTAATTTTCTCCAGATATAATCATTTTTGTATTTCTGGTAATTTCCTTGTCCTAGAAAGGATCTTGGCCCGCTGCCTCTATTTTACTGCCGAGTTCTTCATCCAGGTTGCTTTTATTGTTTATCTTCCAGACTTACCATCTTTTCTATTGACCTTAAAAGTGTTTTGTGGTACATATTCTGAATCAGGCTATATGAATTTGTATAAAATTGTATCTTATACATTTGTAATTGTCAGGAATGTAAGGTTGTGTTTAAATATTAATTTGCACTCTTGACAATTTAGAATGTGTTAGATATATTCTTCACAAAATGAGTTTAGAACATTTATTGGTTGCGCATTATTTTTTTCTGGTTCTACGAAATTCGATCCAATAAATAATTAGGGTTTTGAAAAGTTAATGTTATAAACAAAATTACAGGCGACCAATAAATAAAAATGGGTGTGCGTGGTTCTACCACTATCATTATGTCTCGGGATCCCCTTTGTTTTGCAGGACGGTTTTTAATAGACGCCAACCATAATTTAGCGTAAACGAAAAAAGAGAAACCACGGTTCGCCGAAATACCTGATACGTTATTGGACCTGAGAACCGTCGAAGGGTTTTTTTCTTTATTTTTATGTATTCTTTTTTATTTCTTAGAGTGAGACTTGTCTAGCCGACCTTGAAAAGTACAGTGGCCGGCTGAGAACTGTCTATACACGCCAACATTTGAGGTAAACGACCTCGATTTTCAAATCGTTCCGGGAAAAACAGTGCCATCTCTCGTCGCCACCGTCCTTTGTGTGCGCGCGGCTTTTGGGAATGAAAAACGAAAGTCTCTCTCTTTTCTCCATCACCGAGGACGATTTTATTATTATTATTCTTTTTTTCGAGAATTTTAAAACCTTTTCAACCCATCGACCGGTTTAAAAATAAGACACCTTAAATCTTTTTGCTTCTACGGTCAACGCCTCTCTTCTCCAGTTTTTATTTTAAGAATCGGGAACGCACAAATTATTTTTTTTCTTACGCGTGGTAACAAAATTTCTTTAGTTGCATTTTACGCATAGAAAATTTTGGTTGAACAAGCCACCCCTTTAGTACTCATTACATAATCAATAGGGACAATCCGTTTTTTTTATTACAGTAGCGCAGCTGTTACACACGTGTTCTTACGCTTCCAATTTTAACGATTATGCAAATACGAAGGGGTAGGGTCCTCAATTTGATCCATATCGGCAAAGTGCGATTGAATCATCGCTTTTCCTGCTTTTGACACGGTTGTTGTTCTAGATATGGTATCGCCATCTATACCCAGATAGATCGACTTATAGGAATGCTTTAAAAGCGGTCTACTTGCTACTAAATTAATTGATTTAAATTGTTAATAAATCTTTATTTATTCTATTAAAAGCGATAAATGATTTATTTTCGTTTTTTAGTAACTTACCATTGAAAGGCATTGTAATGGAAATAGACTAATCCTAATCCGTACAGGAAGGTGGTATCTTTCCAATTATTTTCACCTTCGATTTTATAAAACATTTGATATGCTGACAAGGCTATAAGAAATACTTTATTAAAATCTTGCTTATGACAAAAATGTTTGTCATTACCTTTTCGATACTCTTCAAGTAACAAATGAAAATGTCCCAACTTTACCCATGTTTTTGGATCGATGCTAATGTTTTTTGTGCTGGGCTTGCTAGACAATGAGAAGTCCTGCTTCTGTTGTCGCCTAGCTTGCACAACCATAAGTTGTAAATATTTGACAGCCTAAAAGTTAATAATATATATATATATATATATAATGTATCATTGATTTAGGGTTCTTACCTTTACAACTAAGGCTTTCTTTTTGGCGTTTTCAGTGGCGTTTAGCTGCAAAAATCCATACTGCCGACTAAAAACAGATATTAAAGTGTTTAACTAACAATATTAATCATGTTGATTACCTATCCAGCTCGGAAAGGACATGCAATTCCTGGGCGGTCATGCTTATGTCGTCCGGATCGTCAGCGCGAATGGCCGGTTTATTCATTTTACGATTAAATTACAACCACGAACATACAATGATGCTTTCGCGGGAACTCTCAGGATCAAATTTCTATAAATAAACACTTCGCGAGACGTAACCAGATAAAAATGCCCAACATTTAGCTAATTTTTCAATATGGCGTCTTACAGGTAACTGTATTCCAAAATGACACTTTTAATTTAGCTTATTCTTTCATAGAGTGCGTTTATCTTCATATGTGTAAATTAAAATCAAATATGAATTGTAATCACCTTCTACATATTAGACAGTTCCTGGTCTTAACATTGTATTTTAAAATAATGTTGACTTAGGGACTGTCAATATTGTGGTAGGTATTTTCAGCATAATAACAACTTACACAAATACCAAACAACTTCTTTTTAAGATTGATTAAGGGGTAACGCCACCCCTGAAGTTTAAAAAATTCGATTTTTTTTAAACCATAAGCAAGGGAACCATAAGCACGCCTACATAACAAATTAATTGAATTGGTTAGTCCTAACTGTACTCTAAGCATCCTAATATTAATATCATCCTTATTAACAAATAAACTACCCTTTTTAGTAAATAAAATACATTAATTCTTGTCAGGGTTGACCAAAAGAGCAGGTCTCTTAATTTCCATACATAAGTTATTTAAATCCTCCGTTACTTTATCACAAGCTTCCGATTGCTCACCAGGCAGGAAATCTAGATACAGTTGGGAAGAATTAACTTTGAGAATAAATTGCTGGTATAGATTGTAAATAAGATCCCACCTTAACCGCCTGCGTTCTATCAAACAGATAACTCTTAAACAAAGAAACAGCACTCTCAGACACACCAACAAATTTAAGAATAGCCAAGAATAAGAAGGAATAAGTTTAATGTTCTCGATGCTGTTAGAATGATCGTTTCCCCTGATAGTTAGAATGATAGGATGTTTGGAAAAACTTTGAACGGATTGCTTTACTGATTTAAATATTATTACTTTAGGAAGGCAAGTCGATGGAGGTTGATAATGAAGATGTCGTTGGGCTCTTGGAGTAACGTGATAAGGAGCTTACCTGATGAGGTCGAGCTGATTGAAATGATTGTAATCACCTTCTACATATTAGACAGTTCCTGGTCTTAACATTGTATTTTAAAATAATGTTGACTTAGGGACTGTCAATATTGTGGTAGGTATTTTCAGCATAATAACAACTTACACAAATACCAAACAACTTCTTTTTAAGATTGATTAAGGGGTAACGCCACCCCTGAAGTTTAAAAAATTCGATTTTTTTAACTTAATTCACTAATTTAGGTTTTAGAACGAAATTCAAACGGCAATAATTTAAAATGATATCAATTACATTATAGTGATATAATTTAATGCAACGGTTAAATATAATTTCCTCTATTATAATATAGATGGCACTTAGGTATTTTCAGATTATTATTTCGAAAGTCAATTGTTTATATTTTCAAACAATTGAACAATCGTACGCGTCTGTTTAGCAGGTACTTAAAAATTTCGTGTAATGAGTGAGTAAATTGTATTTAAGTCGGAAAAAAGCCTCCCATGATTTATCAACACGTGCTTCTCGAAATAACATTAAAGGGAGGAAGCTGCAGAATAAATACATATTGAAAAAGAAAAATTAAAACGTGAGTCTGCATAGAAGTTGAAGAAGTCGCATGATGACTATGACATCAATATTTCTTCGACCTTCGAGTACCGTTTCATAGATTTTCTGATCGTTTTCTCTACTTTGTCTGAAATATTAGTGTGCAAAGAATGCAAAATAATAATGTATAACAAAATTTTGTGCTTTCATGAACTTGCCGCCTCCAATATATCACTCTTTCTACTATACTATTGTAAAAAGAAAAAAGCGGCTGCTGCGGAAAAGGGACTCAGTGAAGAAAATGGGCAAAATGACGGCTTGACAGTATTTGGTGATGGCGTAAACGAGGATTTTCTTCTCTATTTGGAATTGCTTCGTTAATTGGCTGGCACACAGGAAAAGTATTAGATGTAATAGTTAAATCTAAATATTGCAAATCATGCGAATACTGAAAAAAACAGAAGGAACTACTGAGTATAAAGAATGGATAGAAAATCACGCAAACGAATGTTAAGCTAACCATGAGGGATCATCCAGTAAAATGGAAGTGGATTCAATCATCAAAATGTTTCTCTCGCCCAGAAGAACTGCATGCAATAAAATATCGTTATTATGACGGAGACAGCAAAACATTTAAAGGAATTCAAGATTGTCAACCATACGAAAATTTTGCTGTATTTAAGAAAGAATGTGTGGAACACGCTTGTGTAACTTAAAAAAAGACGAAAGGCAATAATAGGAATTAGCAATAAGGAACAAATATTCGATAGAAGAAATTAAGAAAGCTATTTGGGCAACGACAGCATTATTTCTGTCCTGCCGGCGAAAATTCATGGTGCTCTTACGAAAAAGGGCACGCCAAAGATGATGTTGCTAATCATAAACATAAGCCGCCGATGCGCATTGAAGTTTTCGAAGCTATAAAGCCCATCTATGAAGATCTGAGCAAAGAAGAACTTTTAACCAGGTGCATAGGAGGCTTTACTCAGAAAGTTGCTCAAAAAGTCCTCGATCTAGCAACAGACTTGGATACTTGTTACTATAATGATGGCTACAGCAGCATGATGAAGATAATGGAAGCTTCAAGTCTTGTTATAGGCCCTGCTATAAGTTTTGTGAAGAAGCCGTTGCGCGCCGCGTTAAATTCCCTGAGCGGAACGTCACAGATATGGCTAAAGAAGCAAGAAGGGCTTTATTATCGGAGCGCAAAGAATCGGATGAGACCACTACGGCCGAGGAAGGGTAGCATTTTATATGAAAAATATTCATTCGAGAACGGATGGCGACATCGAGATGCGGTTTTCACTAATATTTAGTAAATTTTACGGTGACTAAGGATCTGTGAAGTAAATAGTACCGTTCCATTTAACTTTTCTTCAAAAATCACAAAAGTATGTAATCGCTGCAGATAACGCCCTCTAGCTTATTTGTTTTAAAGCAAACAGTCTTACTGAAAATATCTTTAATAGCAGCATAAATTGCTCTTTCAAACAACACCGAAAATATTCAAATCGGTTGAATGGTCCAGGAGATATTGAAATGTAAACATTTGAGAACGCATTATGACAGATATGAAAAATATCGCAAAACAAAAGCGATGCGGTAAAAATTATCCAAGCTATTAAATGATGTTGTCAAAGTTATAGCTCATCGTTTCCAGCTATTTCTCTTGCTCAGTTTGCCTATAAGGATTTTTTCCCAAACCTCTAGGCTTTACCGTTGTCGATATACAGCCGCTCTATACCCTTAATGGGACACCTGTATACATTTTTGTTTCATTTAATCTTAATTTGTTGTACTGTGGCGTCTGAAGTGTGTTTAATTTAAAATATAACACCTTCTTTCCCACAGTACGATACATTAAGATACAATAACTGCAATATTTAAGTTAATTTTGAAATGCGTCAACTCCAGTACCTGGCAACACCAATCTGATCAACTGGATGGAATAGTAAGATTTTTTTTTCTGATTTTAGTTGACATTTCTTCAAATCAAATCGAGACCAAATCCAATGTGATCGTTTTAATCTTACTTTGTAGTGCGGTAGTGACTGGAGTGTGTTTTATTTACAATATAACACCTTCTTTCACACCGTACGATACATTAAGATACAATAACTGCAATATTTAAGTTAATTTTGGAATGCGTCAACTTCAGTACCTGGTAACAGCAATCTGATCAACCGGATGGAATAGTAAGATTTTTTTTTCTGATTTTAGTTGACATTTCTTTAAATCAAATCGAGACCAAATCCAATGTGATCGTTTTAATCTTACTTTGTAGTACGGTAGTGACTGGAGTGTGTTTCATTTAAAATACAACAACTGCTTTCACACCGCACAATAAATTAAGATACAATAACTGCAATATTTAAGTTAATTTTGGAATACATCAACTTCAGTACCTAGCAACACCAATCTGATCAACTGGATGGAATAGTAAGATTTTTTTTCTGATTTTAGTTGACATTTCTTCAAATCAAATCGAGACCAAATCCAATGTGATCGTTTTAATCTTACTTTGTAGTGCGGTAGTGACTGGAGTGTGTTTTATTTACAATATAACACCTTCTTTCACACCGTACGATACATTAAGATACAATAACTGCAATATTTAAGTTAATTTTGGAATGCGTCAACTTCAGTACCTGGTAACAGCAATCTGATCAACCGGATGGAATAGTAAGATTTTTTTTTCTGATTTTAGTTGACATTTCTTTAAATCAAATCCAGACCAAATCCAATGTGATCGTTTTAATCTTACTTTGTAGTGCGGTAGCGACTGGAGTGTGTTTTATTTACAATATAACACCTTCTTTCACACCGTACGATACATTAAGATACAATAACTGCAATATTTAAGTTAATTTTGGAATGCGTCAACTTCAGTACCTGGTAACACCAATCTGATCAACGGGATGGAATGATAAGATGACTATTCTGGTTATGAGCTAATTAAACTGATATTCTATGGATTATTAATATTATTAAAGTTTTTTTTCTGTTTATAGTTGACATTTCTTCAAATCAAGCCGAAATCAAATCCAAGATGATCGTTTTAATCTTAATTTGTTGTACGTTGGTGACTGGAGAGTGTTTAATTTAAAATATAACACCTTCTTTCACACCGTACGATACATTAAGATACAATAACTGCAATATATAAGTCAATTTTGGAATGTGTCAACTTCAGTACCTGGCAACACCAATCTGATCAACGGGATGGAATGATAAGATGACTATTCTGGTTGTGAGCTAATTAAACTAATACTCTATGGATTATTAATATCATTAAAATTTTTTTTCTGTTTATTGTTGACATTTCTTCAAATCAAGCCGAAATCAAATCCAAGATGATTGTTTTAATCTTAATTTGTTGTACGTTTGTGACTGGAGAGTGTTTAATTTTAAATATAACACCTTCTTTCACACCGTACGATACATTAAGATACAATAACTGCAATATATAAGTCAATTTTGGAATGCGTCAACTTCAGT